CGAAACCAGGTCTTCTCACTTGCGAAGCGAGTGTGCTAACCTAAGTGCTGTGCTGAACCCCACTGATTAGATCATTGCTTGTAATCTACTCCCACTCACCCATTGTCCTCCCTCCCTGGTGCCCTATGCATCTTTTGCAATTAGGTCTTTCACATAATATTTATCCCTGGGATGTGGTGGGATCAAACTTTCCTTTCTGCTTGTAATTTCACGTGATTTACAGAGTTCCTATTTTAACCCAGTCTTGCGGATGGCTCCTCTGTTTAAACCCGCAGTCTTTATGTGAATGAGGGGAACAGGGTGAGAAATGCGCAGGAACTGGTCTACAGAAACGCTAAGCTTTTGAATTGACGCAAGAGATTTAAATACATTAATATTTTTTTAAAAAAGGATGCAAGGGGATCTAATCTTGTTAGATGCCAGACTCCTTTCACTTTACGTACCCAGCCTTGAGAGCTGTCCTGTGTGTGCCAGTATGGAAAATGATTTGATTGTCATTTCCAGCAGTTTCCATACCGTGCTAATGACATTACATAAGAACATAAGAATTGCTGGACGAAACAAGACCGAGGTCCACCCAGTTCACCTTCCACCATCCTGGCAGTCGCATGCACATGTCATGTCCCAAACTATATACTGTATCCCGAGATATTATTTCCTAAACTAAATCTATCTAATTTGCTTTTGAAAGCCAAAACTTCCAACGTCTCCCTAGGGAGCCTGTTCCATACATTTGCTACTCGCTCACTTAAATAGTTTCTTTTCAAATTGTTTATTTTTATTTAAAATGTTATTTTTTATCAAAAATAAAAAACACAAAAACTTAACGCAAGATAGTAATGTATGTAAACTAATGGAATAATTGAATTAGGAGCGGTGGAATGTATCCAATAATTCAGCTCCTAACGCCAGGAAGTTTCAGGCATGTAAACTATGTCTTCCTGACATCATGTGGTGATTTAATTTTTCCATGTCGTATCACTCCTCCTTGCTTATTCTATACTTAGCCAAGTATTACAGTGCCTTTTACCCAACACCAGGTTCCTTTGTGGGGGAAAACAGTGGGAATACAGCATATGTACTTGTTTGAAAGTGGCTAAATTGGCATTATAGTGTGTGTCTGTGTGTGTTGTATATTATAATAATACATTCAACACGTCTTTTGCATCAAAACTTTCGCCCACAAAATACACAGTCACTCCACTTTATATCTTTGAAGCACTTTGAGACATCTCAACAATGTTATAAGGCGCTATGCCAAATGCAAGGATTATTATTATTACAGGAGGACGTCTCAAAATGCTTCACAGGATTTACCATAAAGTCCAATAACTGTAGATACACTCACTGACGCAAATGTAAGCGAATGTCTTTTCTCTTTCCTTTGTCACCTCTGTGACCTCTTTACACCATACCAACCTATCTGCTCCCTCCGTTCGGCAGTCACTGGCCTGCTCCATGTCCCCCATCCTTGCCACCCCACCATCGGCAGACGGGCCTTCAGTCTTTCTGCCCCACCCTCTGGAACTCCATCTCCAAAACCCTCCGCCTCGCCCCCTTGCCTCCTTCAAGTGTGTAAATTCAATGGCTGCACAAATGTTGATGGTCATGGTAGCCTAGGAGCAAGAGATAATGAATGGGTGACAAATCTATGGGCATTTTAGATGTTATCTCAAATGTAGTACTTGACTGTTGGCAGATGGAAGCCAAGGGTCCAAAGTGTAGCCTGCAATTAGCAGAGTGACGACTGAGAAAGTGAAGCTTAATAAGCTATAAGAGTGAGGGTGAGGGGGGAAACTGTTCCAATGGAAATTATTTGACTTATGGCAGCAAAAGAAACTGCTAAACTGACAGTAATTACTCATGAAGCACTTTATGATATTTTCAGGTGATAAGGCACAATCAATATGCAAATTTGTCTTTCGTTTGCTGATTTAAATCAGCTCCAACTCGAGCATAGTTTCTTTTATAGTGTCTCAGTGAATTATGCACTGCCTTTTCCTAATTATATTTAGGGAAATGGAGGGAAGTTTAAATTATACATGTTTTGCCCACAAAATACAACGTCAATCCAATTTACAGTATACAAAACTTTTTGCGATGTCGCAACGACATGATAAGGAGCTGTATCAGATACAAGGATTATTATCATCATTATGTTTCCTTTGGAAAAACTATTTAAAATAAAATTACCCCAGACACATTATTCTTAAATGTTTTGGGATGCACTTAATAAGAATAAGAATAACAATAAAAAATTGGATTTATATAGCGCCTTTCACGTTGGAAGGATGTCTCAAGGTGTTGAAAGATAATAATAATAATGACAAACCTTACATGGTATCTTTACTTGAGAACGTTTTGGGTGAAAATTGAGTGATTTCATAGCAGATTCGATGCAACAAGCTTGAAAGAAAAGTACAATCTTTTATAAAAACAAACGGGATTGTTGTCGTTCTGAAAGTTTCAGAAATTTATGCAGTTTTAGCAGGTTAGACTCCAGCAGTTATCCCCCAACGCAAGCACACTCTGGGGTCCCCCAAGCCTTGGCTCTTGCTAACCTGCGCCTAATGCTTTCCAGAATTAGGTAAACGGGATGGTCTTTCCAGGAAGAGAGAGCGTATTCTATTCTAACAATCTATCTCTGGAATTTCCATGTGTAGGTGGGATGCATGGAATCCTGAGTTTGGTTTGGAGACTCTTAAGCACAGTGATGGGTTTCCGCACGTGTCAGACACCCGGCTGTGGAGGTGTGTGTGTGTGTGCGTGCGTGCGTATGTGTGGCAGCGGGTGGGGCGGGGGGGGGCGAGATGGAAAGAGAAGCTGCTTTGTCATTCCAGATCCATCCCACTGCCCCCCAGTGGTCCTCCCGCCGTGCCAAGGTCTGAAAATAGCAACAGTTTCACGGTCAATAAGTCAGGAAGTGAGAAATAGCTCAACTCCTGGCATGAAAGGCAATATGGTGCCACACGGCCCACACACCCCCCTCCACCCGAACAAGTGGGGGTGATGAGGCCCCCATCCCTCCCGAATAAGTGGGGGTGATGAGGTAACACAACTCGTGCACCTGTTACAGAAAATAACACACACAAATTGTTGTTTTTGAGTCATTTAACTTTTATTGTAACTGATCGGGAGGGAAGTTATTAAATATCTGGTGTTTAGGATAACAGAGAAATGGACATAAATAAAAGCGTAATTGCTACATTTCCTGAACTGAATGGATTGGTGAATCCAATCCTCTTCTTCTGCTCTCTCCCCCCCCCCCACTGCTTTCTCTCTCCCCCACCCCTTTCTCTCTCTCTCCCACCTAATCTCTCCCCTCCCCAATCTCTCCCCTCCCCCCATCCCTCTCCTTTCCGTCTCTCCTCCCCCCATCAACTCCACCCAATCTCTCCCCATCCTTCCCCCCACCCAATCTCACCCCATCCTCCCCCCCACCCAATCTCTCCCCATCCTCCACCCAATCTCTCCCCATTCCCCACCCAATCTCTCCCCCCCCACTCAATCTCTCCCCATCTTTCCCCCCACCCAATCTCTCCCCATCCTTCCCCCTACCCAATCTCTCCCCATTCCCCACCCAATCTCTCCCCATCCCCCACCCAATCTCTCCCCATTCCCTACCCAATCTCTCCCCTCCACCTAATTCCCCCATCCCCCAATCTCCTCCCATCCCCCAATTTTCCCCCATCCCCCAATTTCCCCCCATCCCCCAATCTCCCCCCCCACCCAGTCTCTCCCCATCCTCCCCGCACATCCCTTCTCTCTCTCTCTCCCGAGAGGCGAGAGGGAGGAGGAGCCACGCGGACACTTCGGGGCGGGGTTACCGGCCGGGCCTCTCCTCCTCTGCTCCAATCAGCATCCTCCACATGCGGTCACTGGGCGGAGGGGGGGGAGAGAGGGGGCGGGGTCAGCTGTCACTCAGAGCTTATAAAGGTGCCGCCGCGGGCGCCGGCCGCTCACACGGACTGAGCCAGTGGTGCGGAGCGGAGTCCAGGAGACCTCCCGGCCTCAGCCTCAGCACCAGCCACAGCGACCCCGCTCCCCCTACCTTACCCCACCCCCGGCTTGGCTTGGCGCACTCCCTCCCCCCCACCCACCCCCCACCTCCACCCCCCCACCCGGCCTGTCACTGCGGCTCCACACCACAGACAGACAGACAGAGAGAGAGAGAAGGAAGAAAAGAAAAGAGAGATTCCAGCTTCCAACAAGACAGACAGAGAGAGAGAGTGTGAAAGAGAGAGAGAGAAAAAGGGAGAGGGGGGGGGTGTGTGGGGAAGTTTAAAGAAAACCTTTGAAGCAAAAAAAAATTATTAATATTGTGTTTTTGGGGGGAGGAGGCGGAGGGGGAGAGAGAGAGAGAGAGAGAGAAAGAGTTTTATTTAAAAAAAACTGCTAAAGCTCCCCCCACCCCACGATATTAGGATTACAGCAAAAAAAAACTGGGTACAAAATCTCTTTAGTTTTTTTTTGCGAAAAAGAAGACATTTTTTTTGGGAGGGTGGGGGGTGGGTGGGTTTTAGAGAGAAAATTTTTTTTGAGGGGGGAGGGGGTGGGGGGAGGAGGAGGAGGAGTTAAAGGGAAGAGAGGAGAGAGAGAGAGAGAGAGAAAAAATACTCTTGGGAGACATTAACGTTGTAGAAGATTTTTTTTTCCACACAACACGCGAAAAAGAATTGGTTAGGAAGAGAAGAGAGGAGGAGGGGTTGTTGGTCAGTTGATTCCTTCCTCGAGAGAGAGAGAGAGAGAAAGAGAAAGAAAGAAAGAGAGAGAGAAGGCAAACCAACAAACCAAGCGCCTTTGGTGTGAGAGTCGCTTCTGAGGACCACCCCCCAACCCAACCCCAACCCTAACCCTCCTCTCTGGTGAGAAGCCAAGAAACCCCCTCTCTCCCTCTCTCTCCATCCATCCATCCATCCATCATCTCCTCATCTCTCCCCTCCTCCTTCCCTCCCTCCCTCCCTCCGCCCGCCCTCTCCCTCCCTCTCCACCCCCCCCCCACCCCCCTCCAAAAAAAAGAGAGAGGAGAAGGAAACGGCGCCAGGAAACCAGAGGAGGAAACGTGGAGGCCAACACCATGGAGAACGCGCACACAAAGACGGTGGACGAAGTTTTAAGTTATTTTAACCTGAACGAGACCACGGGCCTGAGCTTGGAGCAAGTGAAGAAGCAGAGGGAGAAATGGGGACCCAATGGTATGTGTGTGGGGGGGTCTTTTTTTTTTTGGTGGGGTGGGGGGGGGGGGGGGGCTGGTGAGGAGCTGAAGTTGTTTTGGGGTTAAGTTATATATTTTTCTTCCTTCCCCCCCCCCCCCCAAACCCCTCTTCCCAACCTTGTCTTGGGGCCTTCTTTGCTGTGTAAGCAGCCGGTGTGTGTGTGTCTGTGTGTGTGTGTAACACACACAGAGAGAGCCATTGCTAAACATGGCTGACTTGCAGTCTCATGGCTTTAGATCTGTTAAGGGTTTTCCCCCTCCCCCCCCATCTTCCCCCTCCCCCCCCCCCCATCTTCCCCCTGTCCAAGTCCCCTTTTTATTGCGTTGAAATGAACCCCACAGACCCCTTCAAACAGGCCACAACCTGCCCTAACCTTCTCTCTCTCCCCCCACCCCACCACCAGCACCAACACCATACAACACACACTTTCCAACCAACCTAAGGCCCCCGGGCCGCCTTTTGCAGGAGGGTAGGCTTTTGAGGTCTCTATTTTTTCTCTCTCTCTCTCTCTCTCGTCTCATTGCCTGGACCTACCCACCCCCATCGTATCGTAGCGTGATCTTTTTTTTTGCTGTGGCCACAGAAAGAAAATGTCGCAATATTTTTTTTAGGGGGGGGAAAAAAAATGCACATTATATATATATATATGTGTGTGTGTGTAAAAAGATATTAAAATGACATGTAACGTGCGCAGAATGTGTGTGGTGTGTGTGTGTGTGTAGGGACTCGTTTGCAATCCTCTCACTACGTTTTCTGCCCTTCGCTGTCCCATCTATAATTTTCTTTTTTTTGTGTGTGTGTGTGTGTTTTCTGCGAGAGATCATTTAAATAGGGTTTGATAGCAAAGGATCAAAAAAAAACGTTGGGGTGGCAGGAGGGGGGGGGGGGGAGAGAGAGAGAGAAGAGATTCGAGTGTGCAGTTGTGTTAAAGTTGGTGCTTTTTTTAAAAAAATTCCCCCCTGGTCGTTATTGTATTCAGACGTGTGCCCTTAATGCAGTTTTTTTCTCTCTCTCTCTCTTTCCTTTTCTTGCATATTTCCTCGGGAAAACGCGGAACACGAACTCGCAAACCATCAACCAACAACAACAACAACATCGCCCGAAAATTGCTCCATATTAAATAGAATTACCAGCGGAAGAAGGTACGGTAGATGTCTCTTATTTCCTCGTGCTTACTTAAATCGTACTTTTCTGTGAGTGTTGGGGTGTGGGGTGGGTGGGTAGGTTGTGGGGAAGGTGGTTGGGCTTTTTTCGGTGGGGACGGGGTGAGATGAAAGTGACCTGAGCTGCTGTTGTTCTCACTGCAGGCAAATCGCTATGGGAGTTGGTGGTAGAGCAATTTGAAGACTTGTTGGTCAGAATTCTGCTGTTGGCAGCATGTATATCATTTGTGAGTATTTCATCAGAAAACCCGTACGGCATAGCTTCTTTCTCCCTCCCTCCCCCACTCTCCATTGAGTGAGTAAATCGTTCCCTTTTCTTCCTCTTCATCCTAGCTTTCTCTCCCCCTGCCCCCGACCACCCCAAAAACAAGGTCAGTTATTAAAAAAAAAGGGCACCGTTAATAATCCGTGCACTTGATATAGCGCCTTATGATGTCTTTGAGACGTCTCAAAGCACTTCGCAGAATTATATTTGCATAAGGTGAATTGACCGTATATTTTGTGGGTGAAATTACATCGATTAACAACTGTGACAGCCAGGATACAATATGTTCCCATTACTGAGTTGACTATGAGTGGAATGGAATTCTGGCTCGGGTCTGCCTTGATAGTGACGATTGCAAGGTGGCGGGTCGAAGCTTTGTGACAATGACGAATACTGATGTGTGCCACCACTGCAAACTCCTGTTGACCAAATTTGGTCTGCGACCTTCAGGGATGACAGCCACACGAGTGTGCGTGTGTGTGTGGCATCTCCCCTCTCCTTGACTTTTTAAGGTTTATTATGGAAAGGCGTGTTTAAAGCCGTTTTGGGGATCGGCGCGGACGGTAATAGAAAACAATTTTCGCTCCTGGGTAGGGTTACAGTGGTTCGTTCGGCTGTCCTTGCTATTGACAGATGTAATTGTTCCAGTTACATTGGGTTGGAACGCCTCACGCTCTTGCTAAATTGGCTTTTCGTAGAAGTGGCAACCGAGTGGTTTCACAATTCTGAGGGGCCAAAATACAGTTTACAAGATATCCACACAAATCCAGGGTTGATGCTACTGCTCTGGCTTTCATTTTTAACCGCAAAATTAGCAAAACAGTGTTTAACACAACCATTTACTCGAGCAGATTGATTTATGCCCTGGTTCTTAATTTTCTTTTTTTTCTTCTCTGTTTTTATGTTAAATCCTGATTCTTTTTATTATAGGGTGGATGTAAGTCTTGCGCAGATAGCTTGAATCATTTTTGAGAGAGGAAATGGGTTATTCACCCCCACCCTCCTCTCTCTCCTCTTTCCTTGTTTCTTCCCACCCTCCTCGCCCCACCACCTCGTTTTAACTCTCAGTGTATTCGTGCGAGATTAGTGTGACCTAGTGTAAGATAGAGACTATCTGGTATAATTTATCTAGTCTGTGGTGATTGTTTCATTTTATTTAAGTAATGTAACCGAAATCGTTCCTGTGTTTAACCCTTTGTCGTAAATGGCACTGGCCTGTGAAACACAGCGATACCCTGTAGCTGAGTAGGTTGAGTTATTGTGCAACAGCTGTGAGCCTCCCTGTCTTGTCTTTTTTTTAAAAAAAAACAATAAATTTTATATCAAAAAAAATCTTAAACCCATGTGTATCCATTTTGCAATCGGGCCTCGGTGACGAAGTAACATTGAATCAGACGATTCTGCGGTGTTTTAAACTGGTGAGTGAAATTTGATGACGTCTAAAAGCATTAGTCCCGGCTTTCTGAGGAGCGCGTCTTGTTTGAGGTTATGCAGTGCTGGAAATGGAAGATATGTTCTTTCAAACTTTGAAAATCTGTTACTTAAAAACACACATGTACCTGTCTAACCGAGTATTATTTAAGTATGAGTAGGGGAGGAGGTTTGCAGGTATGTTCAAGCTAAGAGGACTCTTTATCAGAAAGTTACTGGAAGAAACTAATTAACAACCATTATTATGTGTGTATGGAGAAGGAGGGACTCAAAATGATCTAGAACTTGCTTTCAAAGAGCCAAATCATACCATAAGCTATACATGTGTAGTTTTATCTGGAGAGACAGCAGCAAAGTGTAAATTATTTAGATTGGGAGTTTTAAAGGAAGTTTATTTGGTAAGTGAGTGTTCTGATAGTGTAGCGAGTGTGATTCATTCTTTGGTTGACTCAATGAAATTAGCATTTGCTGACATTTAGCATTCGTGACCAACAATGTTAACAATCTGCAACTTTGTGTTTGTTTGTGCGTGTGTGCGTGCGTCTGTCGGGGAGGAGAGAAGAAATGTGAAAGTTTCACTACAGTAGAAATCTGAAAAGCAAATGTACAAAGTAAGTAGAAAGTTGAGGTGTGCTTTCAGTTTATGTACTGGGAGTGGCAGTGAGCGAGTTTGCTTGCTAAGAAGTCTTGGACTTTCACCTTGCGGACGTACAATGAAGCTGAACTTGAATCGTCATTTATCACCGGGTTCTGTCAGGGCAGTCTGGGAAATTGAGTGAAAGGCAGAGAGCCAGAGAGAGGGTGCGATTTTCTCTCTCCCCACCCCCCACCCCCCCATTCATACCTTCTAGTGTCGGAGCTGAGCAAAGAAACTTAGACTGGTTGCGATCGATTGATTGATCGACTCTGGGGGTGGGAAGGAAAGTAAGAATTTTGAGCTGGCGGTTATTGAGGCTGAGACAAGTATGGCATTTGAAACAGAATTGTATACTTACAGTAAACTCCTGATAATGCCACCCTGACTTAACTTGTCACCGCCACTTAAGTCATCATTACAGTCGATATCTCGGCCGTACTTATTTATGTATTTCTTCGCCCACAAATTAGTCCATGCACTTTACAGTATATTCTGGGAAGTGCTTTTTGACTTGTCCTTTCCGTTGGAGTGACGAGTTATCTGATGTTTACTATGTGTGATGCGAGAGAGAATCTGAAAGGATCGGAAAATCAAGGGATGGGGGGGGGGTGCGAGGCGAGTAATTGGAGTTGATATACAGATCAGCCCTAGTCTAATAGAGTGGCAGAACAGGCTTGATGGGCTGAATGGCTTACTCCAGTTCCTAAAGAGAGAATAGAATTGGATTATCGTAGGAGCACATACATTCGTAAGGAGTATGGGCCAAATGGCCTCTGTGTTAGGAGTGGTGTGACACTGAACTTGGGCATTCGTCCCAACAAGCCCACACCTGTGCTTTAGACTGCCTCCCTTTCCCCAGTGTTAACTGTGGGGCGTGGTAGAAAAATGCTGTGATAAGCAAATGCCTAGAAAGGGTGCTGGTTTTGGTGGGGTCAATCAGAAGGAGACAGGATGTACAAAAGGATCCTTCGAGTGGGGCCAAGAGGTGTGGGTTGATGGTTGGATGGAGTATTGTCGTGTTGTGAGCTGAGGATAAAGGAATTGCTTGATGTTATATAATGATTCTCAATCCACAACACTGGTGTGTTAAGTAATTCCTTTATTCTCAGGTCACAATGCTCCAACCATCAACCCACACCTTAGTCTTACTCCCAGGGTCCTTTTATACATCCTGTCTTCTTCTGATTTGCTCCTTCTTAATTGCCATTGATTTCTTCAAAGGGATATCTTGCACTATTCTTACTGTGTGTGGAGCGTGTAATAATCCTTGCATTTGACATAGCGCCTTATCATATTGTCTCAAAGCGTTTCACAGGGATACGTACCCTGTAACGTGGATTGACTGTATTTTGTGGGAGAAACGTGGCAGCCAATTGCGCACAGCAGTGTCCCGCAAATAGCCATGGAGTGAGTGACCGATTTTATTTGGGGGGATTGTTGGCCAGGAAACTTCCTTCTCTTTTTGAATAATGCCATGGGACGGTTTGACGGGACTTCGGTTTAACGTCCCATGCAAAGCACGGCGTCTCTGACAATGCAGCTCTCCCAGCACCGCATTGAAGTGTCAGCTGCTGGATTGGTTACACTGGATTTGGCAAAGGATCCGGACAGGGTTTCTAAGCGGAGCCTCACACTCCCTGATGTTTTTGCTGCTTTGGGAGCAAATTGAGGGGAAAGTTAATGAGTGCAGGTGCCGCTGGCGGATGAGGTTTTAAATGAGTCCGTGTTGAGTCAACAGTGGAGCTGCTATTCCAAACACAAAGCTTTCTCGCCACCAGTAAGTGGCAATGCATTTTCATTTCCACCACCCCCCAAAAAAACACCTTTGTCTTCTTTTCCCCTCTGAAGGGGGCTCGGCTTCATGATCCGTTTGTTTCTTCCCCTCCCCCCCCGTCCCCTTTTACGCTCACCTTGCGTTATACCCGCTCAATTGTTTAATCCAAACCAAGACCGAGTGACTGATTTATTATTATCACAATAATAATCCTTGCATTTGATACACTGGCTTATCACGTTGTTGAGATGTCTCAAAGCACTTCACTGCATATATTGTAAAGTTAATTGACTGTATTTTGAGAGCGATCCTCAGAAGCCAATTGCATACAGCAGTAGCCTACAAACATTGGATTGAGTGAACGTTTGGGGGTACGGGGAAGGATTATTACCCCCTGCAAAGTGATCCGCCAATCGACTAACAATGGGTTCCTACTTACTGCTCGATAAACAGGCGTGTGTGTGTGGAGTAAGGAAATTTGCGTACCGTTTCACCCCACCGGCGAATCAAACCCAGGTCCTCTCGCTTGCCAGGCGAGCACTCTAACTAACCCACTTCGCTACAGGATTCCAGAATGTACGAGGAATGGTTAGTCCTCAGTGTGTTTTGTGCTCACTCTCTCATTAAAGTTTCAGAAGTGACATTTTCACTTGGAGATATATTATATATATAAGAAAACATATAGGTATCTCATCATTTCGATAAAACATTAGCGTTTGGAGCTAAAATGATTCAGTGTCACCTCCAGGATATCCAATCTGTTGGGGAATGTGGAAATCCTTTCCCGGGGAACCTCTCAGTCTTGTTGCCATGTACCCGACTGCAGCCAATTGTAAAAGAAACGTTTTGCTGTGTGCGCTGATCTGTTAATCCACAGTAAAGCAAGGAGGTGCGTTACAGAGCTCTGGGTTTTAAGTTTCCATAAAGAAAGTTGCTGCTTTGTAAACGATTGAATTCCACTAAAACCCACCGCTATTTTTAGCCCCATAATTGCAAATGGTTCCTTTCTCCCTGCGCACTGACTAACTGTCCTGACGGGGAAATGTGAGATGATTTCTTTGTAAATGGGCCCGGACTTTAAAGCTCCCTTTAAACTGCATTTAAATTGATTTGATAGCGTAGCTACAGATGAACTATTTCCTTGGGGACAGAGTCCAGAGTAGGGGGGCATCATCTTAAAATTAGACCTAAGCCATTTAGGAGTGAAATCAGGAGCAAATTTTCATGCAAAGCGTAATGGAAATCTGAAAGTTTCACTCCCCCCAAAGGGTTGTGGATGCTGGATCCATTAACATTTTCAAGACTGAGGTGGATAGATATTTGTTAGGTCAGGGTATCAAGGGATATGGGGCAAAGGCTGGTAATTGGAGTTGAGGTACAGATCAGCCGTGATCTAATAATAATAATAATCTTTGCATTTGATATAGCACCTTATCGTGTCTTTGAGACGTCTCAAAACGCTTCACAGAATATACTGTAAATTGAATTGACTATATTATGTGGGCGAAAACATTTTTTAGGTGAAATCTAATAGAATGGTGGGACAGGCTCGATGGACTGAATGGCCTCCTCCTGTTCCTATGCTTACTCTCAATCTCCCGTGTGTGTTGAGTAGGGGGGAGGGATGTCAATCAATCCACTGAACAAATAAAGTGTGCCTTTGTTCATGTTATTCCCATTAAATTTCATCCGGTTGGGGGTGAGTGGGGAGAAGGGGATGAGAGGAGGGGGGAGAGAATACACTCTGAACACATTGACGTTCAAAGGCTCAATTTGGAAGTCTTTGAATTCGGTTGAGCATTTGCTACGAGCACTTTGTACTATCCCTGTGGAAACCGAGAGAAGAGCAAAGGCAAATCTGTTCCCTATTGTCAATATTTACATTTTTATTCATGCTGGGAAACTGACCAACAGCCGCATGGTGGGGGGTAGGATACAGAGCGCACATCATATAAACAAGACACTTCAGGAGAGAATTGCATAATAATGCAGTTGGGAGCTTTACAATACACAGGCTTTATAATAATAATAATCCTTGCATTTGATATAGCACCTTATCACAGAGTTGAGACGTCTCAAAACAGTTTACAGAGTATACTGTAAATTGGATTGACTGTTTTGTGGGCGAATCGTGGCAGCCAGTTCCACACAACAGTGTCCCACAAACAGCCGTGGATTGATTGACTAAGTTTATTTATTTTGGGGGGGATTATTACCCCCGGAAAACAATCCGCCAAGCGACTAACAACGGGAGTTCCTACTTACTGCTGGGGACATGTGGCGTAAGGAAACGTACCTAAAGTTTGCGCCTGGCAATCGAATCTGAGGTCCTCTCGCTTGCAAGGCGAGTGCGCCAATTCCACTTTATGTGGGCGTTGTGCCCCCCAAGTGAACAATGCAGTAACGGGAATGCCTTTTGGATGGGTGGAAAAAAACACTTTTATTTGTTCCATTTTCAGGTTCTGGCCTGGTTCGAAGAAGGTGAAGAGACCGTAACCGCCTTCGTGGAGCCCTTCGTAATCTTATTAATCCTAATAGCGAACGCCGTGGTGGGGGTGTGGCAGGTAAGTCAGCCAGCCTGTGCCTTAGCACAGTCATCAACTGCCTCCGACTAGACTTGATGCCTTGGTTTGTGTCTCGTTCATATCACTTGATTGAAGGCAAAAAATAAAAGGGGTGGGGGGTGTGTGTGTGAGAAATACAAGTTTACAACAGCGACAAATTACATTTACACACTGCCTTTCACATCGGGAGGACGTTCCAAAGAGCTGGGCAATGAGGGGGTTTGAACCCAAATTAGGGGTTGGGATCAGATAAGGGTGGGGTTGAGATTGGACGATGCATGTTGACTGACGGCACAGTCAAAGAGGAAGGTCTTGAGATGGGCCTTGAAGGAGACAAGCGAGGGGGCAAATCGAACGGGCTGTGGGATGGAGTCCCAGTGGGTGAGTGCAGAATAGCTAAAGGCATGGCCTCCGATGGTGGAGCGGGCAGGGCAGAGGATGGGGCAGATAGGTACAGTTTTAGGAGGTCACAGAGTGCAACTCTGTGTACTCCAGGCTGCAAGTACACCCTGTACTGTGCAGGAGCAAGTACAGGTTGCAGTTGTTGACCTTGAAATTCAGAAGTTTTTCCCGGTTTATGCTCAAAAGCCATGTCTATCCACACTTTGAAGCCAGTCATCTTGTCGGCTGTATAAAAGCCAGGGTTATGCAAGTCTGTCTGAGTCACAGTGAGTAGATTGCTGTGGCAAGCACGTGCCTAGGACGCGTGAGCTGTGTTGGAGGAGTGTGGGAGGTAAAGAGAAGGAAGAGAAGGCGTGTAGAGTGATTGTTGATAAAGGACGGCTGGTTAACGCTACGAGACAAAGGCTTTCAAGTTTGACATTGACCCGTCGCTTGTTCATTATACTGTAGTGGGTGTTGCTCTCCCCCCCCCCCTCTCTCTCTCACTTTTTCTAAATTGGATTTCCTATAAAACACAGTCACTCTCCACTTGACATTAAATTATTCAATGCTTCGTGAAATGTGCTGTATCAAATGCAAGAATTATTATTATTCATGAGAGATGAAAGATGACTGAAAATGCAGTCCAAACAGATGAGTCTTGAGACTGACCTTGATTTGGGGTGGGTAAGAGTCAAAAGTTCCAGAGACTGAGAGCAGGTAATAATAATAATACTTGCAGTTGATATAGCACCTTATCACGTTGTCGAGTCATCCCAAAGCGCTTCACATATATTGTAAAGTGGATTGACTGTGTAGGGCGAAACGCTGCAGCCAATTACGCACAGCAGTGTCCCACAAACAGTCGTGGATTGAGTGACCAAATTATTATTGGGAAGCAAAAGGTGGGGGGGTGTTTGGAAGAGATTCTTCAGATAAGCTGAAAGTCAGCCCACTGATCGAGGGGCGGGTGGAATGGAGGTGGGTACGGGGGAGAATGAAGTGGCTGTTTGACTTTAGCTCACGTCTTGCTGTTGGGAGGATGTTTTAAGCATCTGATTGGTATGCAGTGCGAGTGGTTCTGTGTGTTGTCTTGATTGACCTGCTGCGTTAGTATGGGTGACGCGGCAGAGCCTTGGTACGGGTGACATGCTCAAACTGGGGAGCGCTCGCTCACACACGTGCGTCTCTGCACGGTTTCTAGGGGTGGGGGGGGCAGAGGGGAGAGTGAAAGTTCTGGAAGAACCCGAAGATAAACTTTATATCACACAGCATTTTGAGACAAGCCATGGCAATAAACAGAAGTCAAAGCAGCGACATGTATAGTATCCCCACTGTATACCTCTCTCTCTCTCCCCCTTTCTCTCTCTCTCTCTCTCCCTTTCTCTCTCTCTCTCTCCCTTTCTCTCTCTTTCTCTCCCTTTCTTTCTCTCTCTCTCTCCCTTTCTCTCTCTCTCTCCCTCTTTCTCTCTCTCACACACGCGCACACATGTGCTCTTACCCTGAGTCAGCAGCTTGGCAGCAGTGCTGACTCTCTCCCTGACTGGGCCCAGCCCATGCCCCGGTGATGGAGTGGGAGTATGTGAAATGTCATGTTGCTGTTAGTGAAGACATGCAAAGTAACCTTTCAAGTATCATCTTGTTCACAAGTGATTTAATAAAGGGAACACAACCAAGCATCGGAAATGTTCCTGCGGTGATAATTAGCCGACTTAGATCCCAGACTGCTGCTCAAACCTGTTCTGCTTCATTCTCTAGTTTCTTGCTTTCTGGATCTCAGTGACCTGGGACGTCCCCATGACATGAAAGGCGCTGTATAAATGCAATTTGTCTGTTGCCCCCCCCCAGCCCGGTTTGAAGCTCCAGTGAAGCGTAGGTTGGGGTGGGGGGGGGGGGGTGCATTGTCAAAGATACCATTACCATCCTTCAGATAAGACGTTAAACCAACTGGTTTCTGTTTCTTCAGGCCTCGAGATTGGGAGAGAGGGTGGGGGTCGCGGCGGAGGAGAAGAACAATTTTAAAAATAGTGCTCCTGAGAAACGCTAACTTGTTCTGGCAAATATTTTCTTTAGGTTCGAGGGCAGGACGGAGCCAAGTCCCCTTTTATATTTAGATCTGAGAGGAAGTCGTTCATCATTTTTTCAGCTCTTCCCATAGAAAAAAAACATTCCTCTGCTCTCCGGTGGAGACAGCGTTTTATCTCTCTCCTCACCCCCCTCGAAATGGGCTTCCGCGGTTATCATCACTGGCAGCGGCCCATAACTCAGGAGACAAGATCTGTCACTGTCTTGTCTCTGCTCTACTCCTTGTCTCCTTGCAAACGATGATGATAATAATAATACTCCTTGCATTTGACATAGCTTCTTATCACGTCGGAAGGATGTCTCAAAGCGCTTCACAAGATTTACTGTGAAATGGAGTGACTGTGTATTTGTAGGCAAAGGTAGCATCCAATTGCGCGCAGCAATGTCCCCCAAACAGTCAATGACCAATTTTATTTTGGGGCATTGTTGGCTAGGACACCGGCAGAGCGAGACAAACTTGCTTCTCTTTTCCAATCGTGTCCTGGAAATAATTTGCATTTACGAGTGTGCGTATCTGCGATAGATGTGGAAATATCTTAAAAGGTTGTGGATTCTGTGTGTGAGGGGAAGGGAGTTGGAGAGAAGGAGAGATGTGTGTATTGGCTGATGTGTATTATAAATATCCCAGAAATGTTCACAGTGCATTATTACAAAAGGAATTAAAACATTTTCTCTCTCCCCCCCCCCACCCCCACTCCACCCTGATCACTCTAGGAAAGAAATGCAGAAAATGCCATCGAGGCCCTTAAAGAATACGAGCCTGAGATGGGGAAGGTTTACCGACAGGACCGCAAGAGCGTCCAGAGGATCAAAGCCAGAGAGATCGTCCCTGGCGACATCGTGGAGGTAGCCGGTAAGCGTGAACTTCTACTTCTTCCCACCACCCCCAAACCACCTCTTTCAAGGTATGTCTCAAGGCCTTCCTGTTTGACCGCGCCTTTGGTCTCCTTTCCCCATCCCTAACCCGGCTCTAGTTTATTTATCTACGTATTTATCCGTGTGCCTAACTCGCTCCTGGTAACTCCTCACTGAGTCCCCCACTTGGAGCAAAGAGCGAGTTTCGGTCCATTCACTTTACAGTATATTCTGTAAAGCGCTTTGAGACATCTAGAAGATGTGAAAAGCGCTATATCAAATGCAAGGATTATTATTATTGTTACCAGGTGTTTGCTGTGTTTTGAATAGTCGCTCCTGATTTGTGTCTGTCCACGGCTGCCTGAGTCGGGGCTGACGCTTTTCAGTGACGCTCGAGCTAAGCTGCGGGGTAACAAATTGGGGATAAAAACATTTAACTTGTCATTCAATCTCCTGAACGCTCCAAACGGGTCGGAGGGCTTATCGAGCAGCAATGGAATATTAATTTAGCCCCGTTCCCTGCCTTGTCATTGCTGTACTCTTGTGTGTCTTGCCTTGTGTGAAATGTGAACCCATGACTGGGTGGGGGTGAGAGAAGGAGCAATGAAACCGACACCGCATGTCTATCGATAAGGAAATGAGCAAACTTAAGCTGAGAGCAAATAACGGATCACCAACCATTTCACTCGAATGTGAATTAATGTCTCTGTTTGCAAGCTTAACGTTTTGGGGACTGAGGGCAATGGTGCAGGCCTGAGCCAAGTGATCAAAGATTGAAGCCATCTGCTTTAGAGAGGAGGGGACATATTGTGGTTTTTTGGGGGGTTTTGGGGAGGGGAGAGAGAGAAGAGGTGGGGGTGCGGGATGGGAGAGAAGAGGTGGGTGGGAGAGAAGAGTTGGGGGCAGGAGAGAAGTAGTGGCGGGGAGAGAAAAAGGAGAGAGAGAGGTGGGGGGGAGGAGGGGGAGGGGGAGAGAAGAAAGGGTTTGATTTATCAATTGCTGAGTCTTGCTTTTTTTTGGTGTGTGTGTGCGCACGCAATGTTAGTGAAAAATCTTAAACGAGTGTCTGGCGAGAGGGAGAATGTGTGGGGAGGGCGGAGAATTATCTTGGGTGATTTTTTTCTCTCTCAAGGTTCGTTTAATTGCTTCCCGAGTTTTGCATTTGTCCTCTGTCGACTATCCTTTGCTGCAGTTTATTTTTATATATTGAGATATATATATTTATGTGTATATATATATATAAAACTGCGAACATTTCTCTTGGAGGACAAGGGGTCATTGGTATTCAGAGTACCTTGTGCTGTGAGAATGTGACGTCAATAATTTAAAGGCAGTACTCACACGCGCTCATTGTTTCAGAGATTAAGCTGCAAGCATTAGATTTACTTAACGGCATCAAATTGTCAATTTGATTTGGCTCCTTGTGATGATGTTCGAATTCCTTTGCTGACTAGTAGTAGTAATAATAATAATAATAATAATAATCGTAGTATTAATAATCCTTGCATTTGATCTGGAACCTTATCACGTCATTGAGACGTCTCAAAGAGATTCACAGAGTATACTGTAAAGTGGATTGACTGTATTTTTTGTGTGAAGCAGGTATGTGTGTCTGTGGAATATACATTTTTTAGCTTCTCTTTTATAACCCCCACCTCTTCCCTTACCTAAAAAATCAGTTCTGGCTGGTTATCTCCTTAACAAAGAATCAAAGCGTGACTCAATACTTTCTCTCTCTGTGTGTGTGTCTGTCCTTCTGTGTGTGTGTTTGTGTATCTGACTGTGTGTGTGTGTGTGTTGAGTGAAGGCATTACGCTGCCCCCTATTTCAAAGTCACCGTCACCTGACAAGCAGTGAAGCAGCACTGAGTTGGTGCTGTGAATGCTAATGACATCTGCTAGGGCTCCCTCCCTCCCTCCGACCCTCCCTGGAATAGAACAGATCAAAGGAACCGCAGTGTGGAGCTCAGAGAATATTGCATTTATAAGTGAGTCGCTGAATGAGTTGGGAAGGAACCCTCTCGTTTCCAAGCTCAATGTCTTCTGAAGCACCAACACTGCATGTTTTTTTAATTTTTTTTAATAATGATAATCATAAGCATCATCTTTACGAGGTGTCCACAGCTCAGGGAATATTAATGTCCGGTGGCAATTAGACATTAAGAATTGAGTCGTTGATGTTACCACTTTCGATGAGGTTCTCTCCTTCCCCCACACACACACACCACACGTACATACCAACCACAAATGCATACACACACACTTCCTCAGTGATGATTTACAGTTCAGTCTCAATGATCCTTTGACCCCAACACTTCCCATCGTTTTCTTGACGTGTCAGAGCACTCGCGGGATATACCATCAAGTGGAGTGATTGTATTTTGTAGACGAATGTGGCAGCTGTTTTGTGCACAACAACGTCCCAACTATGAAGTGGCCATTGTTATTGATGTATTTTGGGTGGGAGGGAAGTGGGTTAACCAGGGCACCGGGAGAGTGAGAATTTTTTTTTCTCTCACTGTCAATGATTGTCAGTTAGGAACAAAGGGGAGAGGGAACGAGGACTCATTGTTTGGGCAGGTGTTTGTGTGGTGTGATTCTCTCCCCTCCCCGCACTGGGTGTTGGTGACAGCAGACAGTGCGACCATGTAGGGAAGAGTGGCCGAACGAGTGTTCCTGAGATTCCTGGCATCCGGCCAGTGACAATCGCGCGTCCTGGTCAATGTCTTTGCCACCAGAGACGCCGGACGGGGAAGGTATTTGGGTGGGTGAGTTAGGCTTCCTCCTCGCGTCATTGGATGTGACGAGGTGAACTCTGCGTAATCTCGGTCACGAGCAGTAACGCTCTGTACCACCATTGGGAGCATGCTCACAGCAACGACGTACGTCAATGTCAATTGATGTCTGTACGTCACTGTGGATGGCTGGAATCCCCATAGCATAGTGGTTAACGCGCTCGCCTCGCAAGCGAGGAGGCCTGGATTCGATTCCCAGGCGGAGCGAAAACTTACCATTTACAAAGCAGTAAGCAGGAACCCGGTTGTTAGTGCATTGCTGGATTGCTTTCTAGGAGTACTAATCCTTTAATAAAAATAATAATAATAATAATTTGGTCACTGAATCCACGACTGGTTGTGGGACCCTGCTGCCGCGTTTCGCCCACAAAATAAACAATCACTGCGCTTTAGAGTATATTCCATGAAGCGCTTTGAGGTGGTGACCGTCGCAGAGGAAGGTGTTAGGTCGTGATCTAGTTGTGAGTTCAGACAGTCGCCGCAGAGAGATAGAGGCGTTAACCTATCCCGCCATCCCTCCTCGCTGTGGCTGTGTGGGCTTGTGCCTGCCGACAGGCTGCCAGCTGCTTGAATGTGTCCACATTTCAAAAGCTCCTCGCGACATCAGGGGCGGGGGAGCGCGCTGAAATAGTTTACCCATTTTTGGCCCTGCTCATTGTCTGTGCAGTGGTATTTTTTTTCCCCTCTCTTTCGTCTGTGTGTCTCTCTCTCTCTCTCGGCTCAAGGGCACCACGATTCAGTTTGCTTTTCACGCACAGTCTTTTAAAAAAAAGTCATCAGCAGGAGAAGGTGTTACACTGCTCTCTATGGCGGGTTCTCGCGAGAATTCCACCACTTTTGACTTTTCACGCGGCTTTTTTTTTACTGTGACCCGTCCGACGAGAGTTCAGTTTATGCAAATCGCCCTTATTCTGAACCCCCTTTTATTTTTTATCTCTCTCTCTCTCTCTCTCTTTCATTTCCCCTTCCCCTCTTGTCTGGTGGAAATTCTCTGTCGCACGTTTGTAATTAATCAGTTATTTCACAGCTTCTACCACCCTTTGTTGAGGGGGTGTGGGGTGGGGGGCGGCGGGGTGGAGAGCGCTGGAGAGATTTTTTGCAAAATGACGGAAAACTGAACACATCGTGCGTGTGTGTGTTTTTTTTGTTGTAATCTACATGCAACATAATCTATATTACTCGCGGGGGAAAAAAAAAGTTTGGCCACTCAGCTCATTGGGGGACACTGCTGTGCGCAATCGACTGCCGCGTTTCGCCCACAAAATACACTTTGCTGTGAAAGTGTCTCGACGGCGTGATAAGGCGCTATACCAATTGCGAGGATTATTTATGATGATTATATAAATAACCGGTGCTGGCAGGCTGGCTGTGTGTGTGTGTGTGTGTGTGACCTTGTGCGGAGTTGATGAGCTATTGTAATGGAGCCGGGATGTGCTCTCCCTAGATTGCTGATGACCTAAAGTGAATGACATTTTAGGTGCAGATCAGCAGCTGATGGAGCTAATCTTCTATTGTGACATCAGTGTGAGTTCCCTAATTCACCCGCCCTCTCCCACCCCCCACCACCCCCGAAAATTTTGCATCTGTGTGTGGCCGGTTGTATGTGTCGGTCCAGGCGTGTGCATCGTGCGTACACGTGTGTAGGTGTCTTTGTGGAGTTGTGTGCTCGTTAGTGCGTGTGTCTGCGCGCGCATGGGTGTGGGTGTATCCCTTAATCCCTCCGCCTTGCCACCTCCTTCCTTCCCCCTCTTCGCAACTGAAAACCTTCCTCGTCAACCGTGCCTGCAGTCACATCCTGCCCCCCGCCCCCCCCCCCCCTCCCGGCTTGGCATCAGGTTCGGGCTCCGCCGCTGTTAAGCTCTCTGAGGCGCTGCCCTGCGTTGTTGTTGTTGTTGTTGCTGCGGTGGTGGTGGGGGGGTGTGTGTGTGTGTTTTCCCCACTCCTGAGTAAGCAGGCAAGAGTGGGAACCAGACTCTGACTGCACCAGGAGGTTCGTTTTCTCTCTCTCTCTCTCTCTACAACAGCTGTTGAACAAAAGGCCCCAAAGTGGCTGTATTTTTGGAGCATTGAATGGCCCACTTGACCAGATCCCCACCTGTTCTGGGAGGGTGGCTTTGTCTGACTGCCGCTGTGACGTGGGTTTCTCCCGTCCGCTAACACTAGAAACCCAGAGCTGCACTGCTCATTGTTTCACAGACCGAAAGCTTACATGTAATTTGTGACTCGTTCTAGGGGGTCCGAGGGGGTGGTTTTAATGGGCCAGTAAAATTGTGTAATGTGAGCGAGAGGCTTCTATTTCCCTTTCTCTTATATCTTCCCCCCCCCCGCCCCCCCATAACAACAACGACTTGCATTTATATAGCGGCCTTCATGCAGTGTAGCGCCCCTGGGAGCTTTGACTTTAATCTACTCCAGAGAGGAGAAAACGGCTGACACGCACATGCAGAGATAGACACACGCACACAGATGCGCACAGACACACGCACACAACTTGAGTTTATACAGTGCCCTTCTCTGTAGCAAAGTGTCTCAGACCTTCCCTTAACAGGGAACATCCCTGAAACCAAGATTGGGAAGATGCTAACTTTTAATCACTAATATATATTATCAAAAATCCTTATCTATAGACTTCTCTATATGAGCTGCTCAAACTGCTGTGCCATGTAATGCATAGAGTTTAATAAATAAATAAATAAACAAAGGAGGATCTCGGCCGTCTGAAATGTTTAAACTTGTTTTGTGTGTTTTTTTTATTATTTCTGCACAGTTGGTGACAAAGTCCCGGCAGACATCAGGCTGACGTCCATCAAATCCACCACATTGAGGGTCGATCAGTCTATTCTCACAGGTAAACAAACACCCCTCCCCATCTGCACCTTTGCCCGCCACCAGCGAGCAGTTATTGCCTTGCCCTTGCCTTGCTCTGTGCAATGAAGAAGATAATGGCAGCCTTCATTGCACCGTTGCTCATCTTGCTTGTGCGCAGGGGTGTATGCGTGTTGGGGGGGTGGTGGTGGGGGTTGCTGGTGTACGCCAGGTTACATTGGCATCCGAAGTGAGACCATTGCTTATTTTTTGGGGTCTCCGACTGCAACCTGACAGTCTTGAGGACGATTTAAGTGCACGTTTTTGTCACTGGCTCGTATTATTTTTCTGCTAGGAACTGGATTGACTTAGTGGAGCAATGATCTTGTGAGTCTGTGTCCTCTCACCCACCCCTTCTCTCTCACTCTCTCCCTCCCCCCCCCCTCCCCCAAACCACAGGTGAATCTGTGTCGATTATTAAGCACACGGACCCTGTGCCCGATCCCCGAGCCGTCAATCAGGACAAGAAGAACATGCTCTTCTCGGTAAGTGACTCGGGTGGGGGGGGAAGAATGTGAACCCTGCCCATGAACACCCTTGTGAAATGAAATTCCCTCGCCATCAGACATTAAGTGGAGTTATGGGGTTAAACTGTTAAAATCACTTGGTAGCAGGTAGGGTGGGGGGAAAAGGCTGAATGCAAAGCAAATTTAAGCCAAGAATCATAGTTAAATCCGGGGAGCGTTGGATTTACAAAAGTTTTTTTTTCTATTTTTCCACTTTTTTTTCATATCCATATTCTCTCTCCCTTTTCCTTTTCTTTCTCTCCCACTCTTTTTTTTTCCTTCCTTCCTTTCCCCCCACCTCTCTCTCTCTCTCTCTCTATCTCCGCTTTCTCAGGGCACCAACATTTCCGCCGGGCGGGCTATTGGGGTGGCGGTGGCCACGGGCCAGAGCACGGAGATTGGCAAAATCCGTGATGAGATGGCGGCCACGGAACAGGAGAGGACCCCACTGCAGCAGAAACTGGATGAGTTCGGGGAGCAGCTCTCCAAGGTCATCTCCCTGATATGCATCGCCGTGTGGATCATCAACATCGGACACTTCAACGACCCCGTGCACGGCGGCTCCTGGATCCGCGGCGCCATCTACTACTTCAAGATCGCGGTGGCCCTGGCCGTGGCCGCCATCCCCGAGGGTCTCCCCGCTGTCATCACCACCTGCCTGGCCCTCGGCACCCGCCGCATGGCCAAGAAAAACGCCATCGTCCGCAGCCTGCCCTCCGTCGAGACCCTCGGCTGCACCTCTGTCATCTGCTCTGACAAGACCGGCACCCTGACCACCAACCAGATGTCCGTCTGCCGGGTAAGCGGTTGTTTCCCCTCCTCTCACTCCCCCAACCCCCAAATTGCTGATTAAAAACAGAAGTCACTGGGACACTCGGCAGGTCAGGCAGCAACTATGGAGAGAGGGAAGTGAGTTAACGTTTCAGGTCATCGTATATACTTTGTGAGACGTCTCATTGACGTGATAAGGTACTATATCAAATGCAGGCGTTGTTATTATTAATTTGCTCCCCACCATCACCAAACCGACCTTTGTCTGGTCTGTGGAGCCGGGGACGGAGGCAGTGGAAGGTTTGCGGTGTTTGTTGAGGTTTCTCACCTCTGCTTCTCTCTCTCACGCACAGATGTTCATCATCGACAAAGTTGACGGCGATCATTGCGCCCTGAAGGAGTTCACCATCAGTGGTTCCACCTACAGCCCCGATGGGGAAGTGTGAGTACCTGAACCTAACTAATCATTAAGTTAATTAATTAATTTGTGGATGTATATGGATCACATCCTAGTCTGGCTCTACCTGCTGTAACCGGTCACCTCTGTGGCCAGAACATTGGGATGAACATGTGTTGTGTAACCCGTAACAGGGGAGTAAAGCTCTGCGTTGAGATTTCCAGTGACCTCTGTGGGGAGGGAACAACCTCCACAGTGTCCTGGCCGACAATTAGTTGCCCGCTCACCAAATGTGGGACCTAACGGAGGCACAGATCGCTGGGGTGTTCGGAAGTGTTCAGAAATTTTGCAATTTAAAAAAATAAATGAATAAACCCCTCTCTTTTTTCTCCCTCTCTCTCTCTTTCCCTTCCCTCCGCTGGCATTTGTAACCTTCTCTCGCTCAGACACATGGATGAGAAGCTTGTGAAATGCTCCAACTACGACGGCCTGGTGGAAGTCGCCACCATCTGCGCCCTGTGTAACGATTCTTCACTGGATTACAATGAGGTGCGAGCTCGGACTCACCAACTTCACCACTTGCCGTCGGTGCCTGCATCACATCACATGCACCTGCATTTATCATTCGCCCACAAAATACACAGTCACTACACTTTACAGTATATCTTAGCACAAACGAGAGGACCCGAGTTCAATTCCTGGTCAGGGTGAAAACTTGGACAGATTTATTTACTCCACGAGCCTCTGTTTACCAGTAGTAAGTAGGAACCCGGTTGTTAGTTGATTGGCGGGTCGCTTTCCGGGCGTGATGATCCCTTAAAAAAAATAATAATAATTTGGTCACTCAATCCACGACTGTTTGTGGGACACTGTTGTGCACAATTGGCTGCTGTGTTTCACCCCAAAAATACAGGAAATTCACTTTACAGTATATCCCTGTGAAGCACCTCGAGACATCCCGATGATAAGGCGCTATATCAAATGCAAGGATTATCTCGTATATTTTTTTTTTAAAAAAGTGCTTTAATCACACCACCCACACACACCACCCACATTCTTTTACATTCCTGCCCTCCACTCGCTAACCCGAGCTGCAGTGTAAGAGATTTCCATTGGATTATGGTTCCAAAACTAAGGATTGCTTTGGTTGGAGTTGAGAGTGGAGTCGTGGGTGACGATATCGTCCGAGGGGCTGGGCCGGGGCCGTGGGAAAAGATTCCGTAAAGAAAGAATGTTGTGTTGTTGTGCGCTCTTGAGAGGTCAAGTGCGTGTTTGTTTTTCTTCTTTTCTCACCACCAATTCTCCACTTTTTCTCTCTCTCTCCCCCTCCCCCCAGCCCACCTCTCCCCGCACACTCACACGCACAACCGAGAACGAAATGAATTAATGAAACCCCCCCCTCTCCCCCCCCCCCCCACTGCAAACGCAAAACCTTACAACTGCAAATGAAATTAATGAATTAAATGAATCTTTGAGGCTCAGATATTGACCAGTTTGATGTCTCTTTCTTCCCCCCCCCCCCCCCCCACACACAGACTAAAGGAGTGTTTGAGAAGGTGGGGGAGGCCACAGAGACCGCCCTCTGCTGTCTGGTGGAGAAAATGAACGTCTTTGACACGGACGTGGTCAATCTGTCCAAGATCGAGAAAGCCAACGCCTGCTGCTCGGTAAGTCCCTCGCTTTGTCGCACTCAACATCTCTCATCTTTTTTTTGTTGTGAAAAGAATTCTTCCTTTCCTTTTTTCTCTCTCTCTCTCCCTCCTATTTCCCTCTCTTTCTATCTCTCTCTCATCTTCCTCTTTTTTTTATTTTCTCTCCCTCTTTCTCTGTCTCCCTCTTTTTTTNCTCTCTCTCTTTATCTGTCTCGCTCATTCCCTCTCTCCTTTTCCTTCTCTCCAGGTCATCAAGCAACTGATGAAGAAGGAATTCACCCTGGAGTTCTCCCGAGACCGGAAATCCATGTCTGTTTACTGCTCGCCCAACAAACCCAGTCGCTCCTCCATTGGCAATAAAATGTTTATTAAGGTACATCTCTTATCTTGTTAGTCTCCTTCTCGCTCGGGATCCAACCCCACCACTGCGAAGCGCGCCAAGATGTTATCCCAAACTCCCCTCTCCCTAATGGAGGGACGCTAATTAAATGCAAGTTGTCGTTGGGATAAGAACGGATTTTTGGTCAGATACTTGGCACACATCCCCTTATAACGCTCTTCACAAAAACCACTTGACCTCGCTACCTCTCTCCCTCCTGCCTTCAAACAAGGGAAGGGATTGGGGGATGAAATTCTAGAGGTTGGGGGCAGAGTGGCTGAAGGCTATCCCGCCAGTGGTGGGGCAGGTGAGTCAAAACCCTCCTTAACCATGTATCTCTTGCTTCCGACCACCCTCCCACCCCCACCTACTCCTGCACACCTCTTGATCCCAACACCCAGCTTGGGTGGGCAAACCCTTAACTGGTCCAGCGCCTTGGAACATCCTTCCAATATGAAAGGCGCAGTGTGTAAATGTAATCTGTTGCTGCTGTTGTCTCCTCAACAGTGCAATTGGTCGAAATCTTCACAATCTCTCCTGTTTGTTTTGCCCATGTTTGTGTCTGTGTGAACGGGTCATGGTGGATCATTAAAGGCATCGAGACCTGTCCCCAACATTGATCGACACTGTCACATTTTTCTGTCTTGTTTCCTCATTCTCTCTTCTCTCTCCCCCACCACCCCACCCACCCGCAAATCTATCAGGGTGCACCCGAGGGCGTGCTCGACCGGTGCACACACGTTCGGGTGGGAACCGCAAAAGTGCCTCTGACCAAACTCATCAAAGAGAAAATCATGGCGGTAATCAAAGAGTGGGGGACGGGCAGGGACACACTGCGCTGCTTGGCCCTCGCCACACACGACAATCCTATCAGGAGGGAGGACATGAAACTGGAGGATTGTACCAAGTTCATCACTTACGAGGTTCGTTGTTACTCCACACGCTCGCCTCTGTTTACCTCGCAGTGAGTAGGAACCCGCTTGATAGTTGATCGGGGGATCGTTTACCGGGGGTCATAATCCCTTCGCAAATAATTTAGTCATTCAATCCACGACTGTTTATGGGGACACTGCTGTGCGCAATTGGCTGCTGTGTTTCGTCCACAAAATACAGCCACTCCACTTTACAGTATGTCCTGTGAAGCGCTTTGAGACGTCTCAACCACGTAATAAGCCTCTGTATCTAATGTGAGAATTATTATTATATGATTCCGTCCTGAATGAGAGATAACCCCAAACTTGGGCCCAAATCTCTTGGTTGTCCAGCGCTTCGGAATGTCCTCCCGACGTGAAAGGCACCGTGTAAGTATAATTTGTAGTTATTGTAATGATGATAATCCTTGCATTTGACACAATGCCTTATCGAGTCTCCGAGACATCTCAAAGCGCTTCACAGAATATACTGTAAGGCAAATTGACTATTTTTTGGGGGGTGAAATCTGATGTATGTGATGGTGATGGTTGGGGTTGTTTTGCAGACTGACCTGACCTTCGTAGGGTGTGTTGGGATGTTGGACCCTCCCAGGGCTGAGGTGACCAGCTCCATCAAGATGTGCAAACACGCCGGCATCCGGGTCATCATGATCACCGGCGACAACAAGGGCACGGCCGTGGCCATTTGCCGGCGTATCGGCATCTTTGGCGAGCACGAGGACGTTGCCAAGAAGGCCTTCACTGGCCGGGAGTTTGACGATCTGTCCATGGCCGAGCAGAGGGATGCCTGTCTGAACGCCCGCTGCTTCGCCCGCGTCGAGCCCTCGCACAAGTCCAAGATCGTGGAGTTCCTGCAGAGCTTCGACGACATCACGGCCATGGTAAGCATCGCGGCGCTGAGAGGGTTAAACTAACTCAGGTCTCGGGGTCAGAAACATTTGTTTGTATCTCTCTCTTTTCTGTGCATCTCTTTCCTTCTCTTGCCTGGTGCTAGTGCTATTCCTTTCCTCTTTCTTTCAGTCTTTCTTTTCTTCCCTCTCTTTCCTCGTTCTGTCACTCTCTCTCTGTCTATCACTCTCTCTGTCTGTGTCTGTTGGGGTTTGACTGACTGATGTGGCCGTTGTCTCTGTGTTACAGACGGGCGATGGTGTGAATGACGCCCCTGCACTGAAAAAAGCTGAGATTGGGATTGCGATGGGCTCGGGCACGGCTGTGGCCAAGTCAGCCTCAGAGATGATCCTCGCCGACGACAACTTCTCCACCATCGTGGCCGCAGTGGAGGAGGGGAGAGCCATCTACAACAACATGAAACAGTTCATCCGCTACCTCATCTCCTCTAACGTGGGTGAGGTCGTCTGGTAAGTGCCCACACCCCCTCCCCCCCATACTCATACCCCACCACCATACACACTCATTCATTCATTCATACACACTCCACACACACACACTCCACCATTACACACACCCCATTCACACTCCACACACACACATCACCCCACAATACACATTTATTCATACACAAACTCAAGCACTCACTCACACTCCCCACCCATACAGACCTTACACCCACACACATACACCTCCCCCCACACTTACACCCCAAAGCCATTGGCTGGAATGCTGTGGGTACGGTTCCTTCTGGCATTGACTGTTCTTGGGTTGGGGGTGAAAGCAGGATGGGTTCCTCCCAGCTGGTGTGAAACATGTATCTTTTCACCCCCCCCCCGCACTCCCGATTCCCACAGTATCTTTCTGACAGCGGCGCTGGGCTTCCCGGAGGCACTGATCCCTGTGCAGCTCCTGTGGGTGAACCTGGTGACGGACGGTCTCCCCGCCACCGCCCTCGGGTTCAACCCCCCTGACCTGGACATCATGGACAAGCCCCCTCGCAGCCCCAAGGAGCCCCTCATCAGTGGCTGGCTTTTCTTCCGTTATCTGGCCATCGGATGTGAGTATAGCCTCGTCGAAAGATGGTGGGCAGTGAGGGTGGGGGTTAGGAAGGTGACCGAAGACACCAGCTGTTTAAACTCCCAACAGTTACCCCTCAACGCACACTCTGAGCTTCCCCCCACCCCCAATCTTTGGCTCTTGCCAAACTGTGCCTAATACTTTCCGGAACTCGATAAGCAGGATGCATCCCTCCAGGGGGAGAGCGATATAATTATTATAATAATAATCCTTGCATTTGATATAGCGCTTTCCACGTCTCCGAGACGTCTCGAGATAGAGAGTGTGCGTCTTCTATTCCAACAATCTTTCTCTGGGATTTCCGCGTGTAGGTGGGATATATGAAAATCTCTGTTTGGTTTGGAGACTCTTAAGCACCGTGAGGGGTTTCCGGGTGACCCCAAAAAAAGATGCGGTCGAAGAGGAGGGTCTTAAAGGCGGCAGCGGAGGGAGGGAAGGAAGGGTCGAAGTGAAAGGACTGTGGGCTGGAGTTCCAAAGATTGGTGGCAAAGGGGCTGAAGGCCTGGCCACTGATGGTGATGGTCGGGCGGGCAGGACAGGGTGGATGGCGGGGGCGTGGGGCAGGCTGAATGGAGCCCCGCTGTGTTTAACCTAAGGTTTTGCCCTGTGTTCAGGTTATGTTGGAGCTGCGACAGTGGGAGCCGCCGCCTGGTGGTTCATAGCGGCTGAGGACGGCCCGAGGGTCACCTATTACCAACTGGTAACCAAACGCTTCTCTCATCGCTAATCGCTATGTTTTGTAGCCGCGTTCCTTTCTTCTCGCTTGTTGTTCTTAAACACGTGTGTTTCAATGGCTTTTGTCACAGAGCCACTTCATGCAGTGCAGTCCGGATAACCCGGAGTTTGAAGGGCTAGACTGCGGGGTGTTCGAGTCTCCGTATCCCATGACCATGGCTCTCTCTGTTCTGGTCACCATCGAGATGTGCAACGCTCTCAACAGGTGAGAGAAAAATCCTTGCCTCTTTGCGTTCCTTATTCCAATGTGTTTTTTTTTCACGCACACACCTGCCACTCCCATAGCATAGTGGGCAAGCCGGAGGACCCAGGGCCGATTTCCGGACTGGACAAAAGCTTAGCCAAGTTTCCTAAACTTCAAACACACACACACACACGCCTCTGTTTAACCTAATGTAACTACCTGTTTGTTAGTCGATTGGCGGGTCACTTTTCGGGGGTAATAATCCCTCGGGTGAGGGGGTTGGGGGTGCGAACTTGGGTCACTCAATCCTCGACCGTTTGTGGGGACGCTGCTGTGCGCAATCGGCTGCCGAGTTTCGCCCACAAAATATACTCCATCCACTCTACAGTATATTGTGCGAAGAGCTTTGAGCCGCCTCAACGATGTGATAAGGCGCTGTATCAAATGGCGAGGATTATTATTACTCTCCTGACCTCTTGCTCTCTCACTCTCGTCTCTCCAGTTTATCAGAGAACCAGTCACTGCTGAAAATGCCACCCTGGGAAAATGTCTGGTTGCTGGGTTCCATCTGCCTGTCCATGTCGCTCCACTTCCTCATCCTCTATGTGGAGCCTCTACCGGTGAGTTGAGGGCATTTTCCTTCCTTTGTTCTTGTGAGTCTCTATTGGGTTTTTTGTTCCCTCTCTCTCTTTCAAAGAATCCTACAACACAGAAAGAAACCATTCGACCCTTCATGCCTGTGCCGGCTCTTTGGAAGAGCTATCGAATTATTCCCATTTTCCTCGCTCTTACCCCAAATTTGCCCTGCAAATTTGAAAGATTTCTCCTTCCACTCTCTTTCCCCTCCCTCCTCGCTTCGTCATTCCCTCCCTTTCTTCCTTCCCCCTTCTCTCCCCTCCCCCCCCCCCCCCCACCACCACCACCATCCTCCACACTCCTCTTTCCCAGAGTCCTCCATCTGCCCAATCTCTCTACGAAGGTAAGTTGGGGCTTGGAAAGAAGCTTAAAATGATATCTCTCGCCTCCACTATGAGCAACCCGTGAGCTGGTCTTCCTACCCACCCTCTCCCCCCACTAGACACCTGGTTTTGGAGGCGGGGGTGGGGGGGAGAGAGGGGGTTGAAAGGGGAGATACCAGTGACTGAGGCTGGGCTGAACACTTCTGAATCTCTGCCCGGCTTCAAAGCGGGGGGAGGGGTGGGGGGTGAATCGACGGTCGCCTAGTTATACGAGTTTCACCTTGAATCTCCCGTGGAGCCGAATGTGTGTCAGCGAGGCTTGCTGCGGAACGACTGTGCAGGGAGCTGATCCCTGTCCTCTATTTGAGGCTGGTCTGTTGCGAGCCGAGCTCGTTAATAAAACAATGGGAGCAGGTTCCCCGGGGTGCAGTCCTATATCCTATTTTTACTTGGATGTCGGTCAGAACAGAACATGTCCTGCGGGTTTTTTTTATATATAGAGAGGTTCAGAGCTGCAGGGAACAAGAACTTTGCTATATTTGTGGCTTTTAGTTGAGATTAGTGTGTGTGGGCGGTGGGGGGGAGATTGATAATTAAATTGCAACTTTACCGAGCAGTAAGTAGGAACCCGGTAGTTAGTCGATTGATGGATTGCTTTTACGGGGAGTAATAATCCTTTTTTTTTAAAAACAGAAAAACAAACAAAAATAATTTGGTCAATCAATCCACGACTGTTTGTGGGGACGCTGCTATGCGCAGTTGGCTGCCGCATTTCACCCACAACATACACAGTCAATTCACTTTACAGTATATTCTGTGAAGCGCTTTGAGACCGTCTCGAAGACCTGATAAGCTGCTATATCAAATGCAAGAATCATTGTTATTAATGGAAAATTGAACACCTTTCAGTTTCTCTGCTGTAATGTGCGGTGTGGAGGGACTGTCCTGGTGCAACTACTATTTGTTTTCAAATTGTTCTTTACAATTTTCTAACGTACTTAATTTTCTCCTTTTTGTCTTCTCTCCCCTTCCTTCACCCTCAATATTTTTTCTTCTTTCAGCTCATCTTCCAAATAACGCCTCTGGATGTGACCCAATGGCTGATGGTGCTAAAGATCTCCCTCCCCGTCATCCTCCTAGACGAAGCCCTCAAATTTATTGCTCGTAACTACCTTGAACCGGGTAAAGAGTATTCTCCACCTAATGACAAAGCCTGTGCTTTCTCGGCATGTACAGAGGGGATATCCTGGCCTTTTGTGTTTCTGTCTGCGCCCCTGCTTATCTGGCTTTACAGTACAGACACTAATGTTACTGAAATGTTCTGGTCTTGACGTAGAACAGTACCCTCCCCACCCCCAGCGTAGCGAAGACACACGGCAACCGATTTAACTCTATTATATATATAAAAAAACTTTTTATCATTTAGACACGTGATTCAAGAGTCTGTTTTCTGCTGAATTTCATACCGGCCCATTATTGTGGATAAAGTTGTATAATATTATCCCTCCCTTCCCCACCCCTTTCCATCCCTCAACACCCTCTCTCGTCTCCTCTCACCCACAACCGCCGACTCTCCCCCCAGAATTAAACGGACTTTTTTTTTTTACACACATCATGAATTTGAGGAAAACAACAACAAAAAGAACCCTTTTTAAAAAATAATAAAAATAACAGAAGCTGTGTATTGACGTGTGCAGAGATCAACAATATTTTATGCAATATTTTTGTTTTTGTAGATGAAATCGCATGTACAGAAAGTGTTCTGTTTACTAATTTGTTCATCGCTTGTGTATAAATTCCTGAAGAACCGATGAGTTATTGGATGTATTTTTTTTTGGGTGGGGGGGGGAGGGGTCTTGAAAGAATACAGCAAATACTCGAGAGAATGTAAAGAGATTTCTTTTTGCTGGGGAGGGTGGGGGGATTACAAACTGAAGATGGGGTGGTGGGGGTAGCAGGTGGGGAAGATAGGAAAGAAAGCATGGTGTGTCATTGCATGAGTTCTGAAACAGACTTCATTTTGTGCCTTCTGTTGAAACTAACTTTAGCTCAAGAACTTTGCTTTCTGCTCTTGGCAGAGCATTGCTACCTCAGACTCAGTTTCCTCACCCTTCTCTCTGTGTTCATTCCTGTGCTCTCTACTCTGTACTGTTTACAGTTTACATTGGTTAAAATATCATTCCCGCTTATGCAGAACTCTTACCTTTTTTTCCTCCCCTAATCATCCCCACTCCCTTGTAATTTCTTTTCTCGCTCTTCTCTCTCCTCTCCCCACCCCTTCCCCCTCCTCCTAGATTTTAAAGGGTATTTATTTGAGGGGAAAAAAAACAGTTGATTTGTATTTTGTTGTTAATGATCTGACAGGTTTCCTTAGAGTTATTTTGTGAGTGTGTGTGTGTGTGTGTGTGGAAGTTCACCAGTTGATGGTGTAACATCGTTGGTTACTTCTCTTTACTAGATGGAGAAACAAAATAATAAAAAATCTTTTTAAGATTTAACAGAGAGAAAGTTCTCGGTGTGTCTTTTAACCAAGCTTCCGAAGCCTCGCAGATTTGTGTAGTTTCTTGACATGCAATACAGAGAGAACCTTGAAATAAATTGTTGTAGGGTTAATTATGTGTCAAACTCTTGGGGTTAAAACAAAACAAACCCTTTTAAACACCCTCCCCTCCCCCCTTCCCCTCGCTTGGCTTGGTGCGTGCGCTTGATATTTTTTATATAGTCACTGGAAGATAATATTTAAATTAGTCACAGTTAGCAAGTTGAAAAAATGTTGAGTTTTTTTTGAAAAACCAGAGAAAACACATGTAAAGGCACAGGTTTGTCATTTACCAGCGACTGGTTCCGAATAATGTACAGAGTTGAAAGTAAACTTTAACAGACTAATTAATGGTTTACACTATAATCTTAAATGTCGGATGTAGAGAGCGGTATCCTACCAAAAGCATGTTTTTTCCAACCCCCCTCCCCGCCTCCTCCCCACCGAGTGGCATTTTTAGAGGTGTTTTTGATTTCACATGTGTTTAACAAACGTAACCATCGTGTTTCCTTCAATGCCTTCCACAATTCATCATTTGAAGTGAGTATTACTTATAACGTTTTACAATTCTGGTTTTGCTCTCTCGGAGATCACTCCACTTCGAGTTTAGTCCAGGATTCCGGTATGTTCTAAATTGGTGCGGAAAAGGGGGTCAATTTTTGTGTGGTTTTAGTTGGTTAGACTCCCAGCAGTTACCCCAACTCACACTCGAGTCCCCCAGCCCCCCACACATCCCACGGATTGGCTCTTACCAACCTGTGCCTAATACCTTACGGAATTAGGTAAACAGGATGCCTCCAAGGAGAGAGTGTGCCATCTATTTCAACCATCTATCTCTGGAATTGTAGGTGGGATGCATGGAATTCTCAGCTTGGTTTGGATTACTCTGGTGATGGGTTTCTGCATATGTCAGACAGCCGGCTGACCAAAATAAAATTGCCCCTCCCTCCCCCCGCCCACCCCCCCAACGATTCATTTTTTATTTTAAAAAATCAAAAGATTGAACGATTTACGCTTTGAAAAATTCTTCCCCCCTCCCTCGCCACCTCTCCCTCCAAATCTACTTGGCCTTAAATTCTGTGCATCTCTATAAAGAATTTCTTACTGGGGGGGGGGGGGGTTTCAGACCCAATGTAAAAATAACATTTCAGCAAAATGTATTCCCTAAGATGTGAGAGTAGAACTTTTTAATATTAAAAAAAAACAAAGAGGGAGGGCGCATTATACGAAATGTGAGTATCCGAATCCTGGATCAGACTGATTTTTTTTGATCTGCATGCTCGTTCAGTAACATTCCCAATACAATAACCTTCTCGTTCCAACTTTTTTTTTAATTCCAAGTTAAACGAAATGAAAGCAGTTGAGACGTATCCCCCCCTCCCTCCTCCCCCCACCCCCTAACCAAGCCTTCTGTCTATATAAAGTGATGTATTTGTTTTAAATGGAAACTTGCTCAGGCTAAACATTCCTTTTTGACGAGGGGAGAAAGGTGGAAAAATTGCAACATTTTCAGAAGCTATTTGATGACTATCTCTTTCTGTGATTATCAAAAATCTGTTATGAAATGTTGCCTTTTTTTTAAAAAAAAAATCTGTTTTATCTCAACATTCCCCAAATTCAGCTGCTTTCAGTGTTTAGAATTATTAATCGACTGGCATGTTGCGTATATTGCTAATATCCACCCCCACCCTGAACAGTTTTGATTCTCCAATAACACTGACTACTTGTACTCACTATCGAGCCCCTGTTGATACCTTTGGTGATGTATCCTAGTGTTAACTTTTGTCCTGAGGTGTGGTTGTGTCTGCATGTGTCATCTGATGTGAGGGTCGGGGTGGTGGGAGAGAATTTGTATATATTACTGTTATTAATCTTGCAGCAGGTTCTCTCTCCCTGCTCTGCAAGTGCTGCTTGTTTGTGAACCTGATTTGAAAGTTGACCCCCAGGCCCTTTTGCAAAAGTGAAACTTTACTGCATTATTATTTTGGAGGGGGTGGGAGGAGGTGGAGAGAGGGGGTGGGAAACAGAAGTGCACTTATATTGGCTTTGCATTTTTCTAGCAATGCTGCATTCCAGGTAGCAACACTTTTCCCAGTCGGGGTGAATTAGTTTAATAGGAATAATTGCTGGACATCTGATTTTATGTTCTGTAAAGTGCTTTGAGATGTCTCGATAAGGTGCTCCACCACTTTCTCCTGAACCGATTTATCACCCCGATGTAATAATAATCCATTGGTGTAGCACCTTTCACATCAGGAGGACATCTCAAAGCTTCCAGCCAGTGCCATTTGCGTCAAAAGACTTATGAGAGTAAGTGTAGCTCGGGCAAGGAAGGTGTTTGCTGCTGCACATGTCGTAACAGGCAGGTCGAGTGAATGCAGCGAATTGCTCTGACTGAGCATGTAACAATATGGGGTTGGGTGGGGCAGGAAGAGGAAAGTATTACCAGTATTAGGAATGGGCATGCAGGGATAAATAATAGCTGCTTTCTATGAACAGTTGGTGAGCAGTGACTTGCCTTTGCCTGCAGTAAAGGGCGGTGTTTGCACTCAGTGCCTGAGGGGAGCATGTTTTTAATATGACGTCTTTCTAAAAGTTACGAGCTGTTCGTTTGCTTGTTTAATTCTTCGTTCTGACTGCTCGAAACCGAATCAGATAAGTGGCGATCTCCATCATGAAGCCGTGCATGCTTTAAAACAAAATTTCCTTTTTTCTTACATATATGTGTATTATTTTTAACATGCAGTAACCCTCACATAAGTCGTATCAGTTGGGACCGTACATTTAATATGACTTGTGAAAAGTATGAGTTACATCAAACTTGCATAGAATATAAACTTTTGAATGGGACTTGGGCAGATGTACGATTTAGGCCATTTTATGATTTATACGGATCAGACTTATGTGAGTTTTACTGTATTTGTGTAAAACATATGCACATACGTGTGTGTGTGTGTGTATATATATATATACACATATGTGTGTGTGTGTGTATATATATATATACACATACGTGTGTGTGTGTGTGTATGTATAATATATATATACACATATCGTGTGGCTAACATTGCCAGGACTGGATTGCATTCAGTACCATCGAAGGTGCTTTCTGCGGAGAAGACAGGCGGGTTCATAGATGGCTAGTTTCTGCAGTCTGGCCTGCGCTCATTTTAAACCTACCTGAGCACGTTTACCTGACTTCTCTCTTTCTCTCTTTTCTCAACAGGTAAGGATGGCAACGAGATGAACTAGTAATTCCCTTATAACAATTTTCAGAAAAGCCCGAGGTTATTTTGTTATTGAGTGCATGTGTGTTTTTTTTAAAGCACATCTACCAAGACCATTCATTCATTGCATGTGTCATGTGCAACAATTAGAAACGATGTGGAGGAACTGTGTGTTATATACTGTAGGGCTTCAGATAAACCTGTACATTTGTGCAATACATCCTTACGAACTTTACTGTAGTCCAGAGACTTGTTGAGGTTGTTTTATTTTTGCTTTAGAGAACAAGAAAGGGCAGATGCAGATCACCCACATCTGTGTAAAATTGAATTGAATTTATAAATTGTACATTATTTAAAAAGAACAAAAAGCATGTCTTCTGTTGTAAGTAGCAGAATCTGTGTGTGGGTCATCCAGTTGAACGATCTACTTTATATTAAAAGAAAAGGCTATGTACAAAATGCAGTTATATTTATGAAAACCTTAAGACAAGCCTTGAATGTCTGACTGTAAATGACATCCTGTAGGTTGGCAATTTCATAACTTCAGTGTATTTTCTTTGTTAAGGGAAGCTTTTTCCTCCCTCCCTCCTTCCCCTGGTGTGAGACAGTGAATTCCTCGCACTGTAATAATGTAACTAAGTCGCACAGCATTGATGAATGAAAGCATTGGTGCAATAGGCAGATCATGATACAAGATTTTAAAAAAAACGATGGCCAGAAAAACAGCATGTTTAATGTTCAAATTCTGTAAATAAGACTGTTTATTTCAGTGCTGACATTGTAACATGCATCACTAAGATTTCATAAATAAAGTTATTCTACATTACTCTCTCCTCCTGTCCTGTTTAAGTACACTATCTTAGAATAATAATTCTTGCATTTGCTGTCGCGCCTTATCACATCTTCGAGATGTCTCAACGCACTTCACTGGATATACTGTAAAATGAATTCACTGTACATTTTGTGGGTGAAACGTGGCAGCCAATTACTATAAACAGTCATGGATTGAGTGACCAAATTATTTTTTTGGAAGGATTATTATCTTTGGAAAGCAATTGATTAACACCTGGGTTCCGACTTACGGCTCTGTAAACCGAGGCATGGGTGGGGAGTGAGGAAACTTGCCTAATGTTTCCCGCTGCCCAGAAATTGAACCCGGAGTCCTCTTGCTTGCGAGGCCAGTGCTCTAACCACTGAGCTACAGGACTCCACATCGTTCCTCTCCGTCTGAGTTACCTTAACCTTCTTTCTTTGCAAGGTTGGATTAGAAATTTTAAACTCTTACCGGACTAGAATATCACACCAGTGAAAATGCAAAACGACAAGACCTAAAGGAGGGGTGGAAATACTGCAATTCAATCAATATATCAGGACTTCAGCAATTCTTGGATGGGAACTAAAAAAAATGTTTTAACCTAAAAAACTGAATGAGTGCAAACTAACTCGCTGTGGATTTTGCCTCCGTCAAACTGCTCGTGGGGGTTGAAGAACTTGAACAATAACTACAAATAACTGGTTTCACTTCTGCCCCAATTTGGTGTTACTTGCCCCTGGGTAACTGCGGGGGGGGGGGGGGGAGTACTTAAAAAGCCATTTTTTTTTTTGCTCATGATCAAAGTTGATCTATTCTTAGATTAAATGGGTTATTTCTGTACGGAGCTGTGTTCGTTTACGGAATTTGCACCATATGGTGACTGCAGTTAACCCAAAAAAACGAAATGAATAGATTGGATCACTTTGTATTTTTAACACCGCTTAAACGAGGCACAGTGGGTGTGAGCGTGAATAGACGTGTCATGTTGAGTGATTGTGTAAAGGAACCTGTAATTTCTGTGAGGGCTCTGGTTTATTTTCAGGCCTGCTGGGATCACTAATGCACACAGGCATTTTGTTAATCTCATCCTTTTTATCAAAAGCAGGTCATCCTGTGCCTCGCCGCAGCCCGAAGGACAACACTGTCCTCTGGTGGACAGATACAAAATGAGGGAGAATGTAATCTTAAAAGTTAGCACTTTAGCCAACAAAAGGGTTGTGGGAACTTGGAACAGTGGAGCCTCAAATGCAGAATTGATTGGGATAAGTGGTTTTATTTTGTCCAGAACAGTAGAACCAGAGGAGACGGCGTGCGATTGAAGGGGAGGGGTAAATTCAAAACTAATCTGCAGAGACACTATTTCAGTGAGCGAGTAGTAAACGTATGGAACAGCCTAACTGGGGAGATGGTGGAAGCAGAAAGTGATGGAAGACGAACTGGATGGACCTTGGTCTGCTTTCGTCTGGCAAGTGACAGTCCACAGGTTGTGGGAGTCAACAGAGTCTGCAATCTCCCCATGTGACACCCCCTGCACACTTAATCTTTCTGTCAAGACTAACATGAAGGCTTCAAACCTTAACCTTAGAGCCACGACCAGCTTGAAATCTCACCAGCACTGGCAGCGCTGAGGATTTATCATCACCCAGTCAGTCCTTCACTGAACAAGAAGCTGCTAAACATCCAAGGACATTATTTTATTCAATTAAAAAATTATTTTTTTTAAAAAGCTACATTTGATATACATTGATGCTCCCAGTGCAGTGCATACTTAACAAGTACAGCAGTTAGCAGCTGCCTGCACCCACACACGCAAAAATCTTTTTTCTAATTTCCGCCCCCAACACATCACAGTAGATCTCAACCAAACCAATTCAGAACCCAACTCCTGCCTAACAACCACTGAATGATATGGTGCACAATACAAGATGTAAACAATTCCTGGGTGGCTGAAAAAATGACAAATGTTGGGAGGTAAATCCTGGGGTCGAAGGTGAGCTTTAAAAGAAAATAAATCTACAGGTCAATGGATCCTTTGTAAAGTTTCAAACCTTTTCACTCAGTGTCGAGGCTCGGAAACACATGAAGTGCAGCCAAATGTGCAAATTACAACTCGGAAACCATTGCTGTGGCTCAGATGACTCAAATGACAGGGTAATACCACTGACTACAAAATCCCTAAAGTGTTCGAGTTCAATACCTGGTCTGTGATGAGTTAGCCAGGAGTTACAATTAGGCTTACCAGTTGACTGGGGCAAAGTGATTAGCTAACCAGCCATTGCTCACACCCCCTACCCCCAGCAATATATTACGTACAAGCTTTGAGCTCAGCTGTTTACCAATGTTGACCTACAGCTGACGCTGGCTGCTGTGTTACAAAGCAATGATTATTAGTTAGGGTTATTAAATGGCACAGACTGAACAAGTTGGGGGGGCATTGCTATTGCATTCCAAACCATTGCTCCTGGTCTGCCCACTGTGCAGTCTCACTGTCACTCCCTTCCAAGTCGCCTTCTTCCCCGCTGCCCTCCATGTCGTCCACATCTTCCTCCTGGGTCGCCTCGGTCTGGCTCTCCTCCTTCTCCATTTTCTGCATTCCCTCCAAAGACTTCTGGTCGTTGGGATCCATGCTGCAATCGGAGAGAACAAACACTGTGACCCGCGCTCAGGAACTCTCCCCGTCTTCAAATCCTTCTGAAATACCCGTGTGTCTGTCTTAAACAACAACAAGATTATATTTGTATAGCGCCTTTCACGTCAGGAGGACGTCCCAAGGCGCTGGACAGTGTACAGCATTTCAGACCCGAACTGGGGTCGGGGGGAGAAGGGAGGGGAAGTGGGGTGGCCGATGGCATGATTGAAGAGGAGGGTCTTGAGGCAGGACTTGAAGGAGGCTAAGGAGGGGGCGAGGCGGAGTGATTGGGGGATGGAATTCCAGAGGTTGGGGGCAGAGTGGATGAAGGCTCTCCCGCCAATCAACATCCTGAAACTCTCCCTCTCTCCCAGCCTGATGCTCCCAGTGTTGTGTGCGGAACACTTCGAGGTGAAAGGAGCTACATTGAGCCTTGGCCCAGCTCAGTTTTATACCAGTTTCATTTGTTAGAAAACAATTAGAAGCATGTGTGATCGCCCACAAAATACACACAGTCACTCCACTTTACAGTATATTCTGTGAAGCACTTTCAGATGTCTCAACGACGTGATAAGGCGCTATATCAAAAGCAAGGATTATTATTATAATAAACCAGTGACTGACAGGAGTGAGTACCTTAACGCGATGCTGTACTGGTCCATCGCCTCCTGGTAATCGCTGACGGCTAGCAGAAAGTCTCCCAGCATCCTGTGTAGCACGCACACACTCTGATTGGCCAGTGCGTTCCGTAACAGCGCTATTCCCTCATCGTACTTCTGCTCCCGACCTGTCAACAGCCAATATCAGCATCGGAACAAGTCTTTAACCTCTCAAAAATTCAAAGGTAAAAGGCCAACGTGGGGGCAAAGAGATAACGATGTCGTGCACAGTCTCCACCCCCCCCCTCCCACACACACACACACACACACATCAGGCCAGTGGCTTCTCTTTACACTAAAATATTCTGTTATTGGAAATTCTATTGACAAAAGCGGCCAATTCCCCCCTTATCCCAACCTAAAAACATGAAAATAATTCAACCCTTGTTGCAATTGAATCAAACGTGCTGAAGGAAACACTTTATATTAAGAAACATTTTATATTAAGAAACACAGCAAATTAGACATCTCTCTCCCCCACCACCCCCTCACCCAGCCATCATCTCAGCCACTTTCTCTAGATTTTATGGCAGAAACACCAACTTACTCAACAGCTCTGCTTTTTTGACCACAGCTTTCAGGTAATCAGATTTCTGGGCCAGAGCTTTATCCAGCAGTGTCCTCGCCTTCTCTTGGGTCATTGGATCTTCCAAACAGACGGTGGCGAAGAGTGTCAAGGTTTGGGCGTTGGGTCCCAAGGTTTTGTAGACGTTATTGGCCATGACCATTGCCTCCCTTATACTGTTCGAAGCCAAATAACACTCGACAAGACCTGTACGGTAGGGAGGGTGGGGGGGAGATCAAACAAAGTGAGTGGAATGGTGATGCTACCCATTGAATCATTTTTAATACAGTCGCTACCTATTTTAAAAAACATCACAAAGAACATAAGAATTGCCACCATCCTGGCTCATGACTTGTCCCAAACGAAGCATTTAACCTGAGACAATAAGAACGTAAGACTCGACAGATGAAACAAGTCCAGGGTCCAAAGTTTAAACAGCTCAACATCCAGTTGATTTGGGTTTGCAAAACTTTCACAAGGTGCTACAGAAGATGTAAAAACCTGCTGCTAACAAGCACGTTAAAGGGTAACCTGCCTTCGTAACAATCCATCCTGCAGGGGGCCAGGCGCATGGCTTCACGGAAATGGATGATGGCTTCCTGTATCCTTCCCAAGGCCCGCAGAGCTGCTCCCTTCAGCAGCAAGGCTTGCACACTGTTGCTGTTCAGCTGAATGGCTTTGGCCCCCAAATAGAGGGCCCGCGAGTAGCGCTTGCTGTACAAACACTGGTACCTGGGGAGCCAGAGAGACACAAGAGAACAATAATAATCCTTATACTAATCCTTGCATTTGACCCCAGCGTCTTATCGCATCGTTGAGACATCGCAAAGCACTTCACAGAATATATCGTAAAGTGGATTGACTGTGCATTTTATAGGTGAAGCGCATCAGCCGATTGCTCGCAGCAGCGTCCCATAAACAGTCATAGGATTGAGCGACCAAAATTTATTTTTTAGAGATTATTACCCCCCAGAAAGCGATCCACCAATCAACTAACAACCAGGTTGTTAGTCAGGAGAAGGAATCTGAACAGTGACATTCAGTGCTTGTGTTTATGAGCACATGCTTTCCCCTTTCCCAAATAGAGACCTTTCACTCAAGACATTTCATTGCGTGAAAACAATAACTTTGTGCGCTCTTCACTCACGCAGAAATCAGAATAGCACCACTCACCCTGAAACCACCCAGGGTTCCGCATGCTGATCCGAGATATTGAATAAACGGCCGCCTAAGTTCTCCACGTCCTCCAGTCGCCCCTCGCCTGCCAGCAGGTACCCATACACGTCCATTCCTGGCCCGGGAACGTTTGAATGTTAGAAAAGAACACAGGAATGGGGAGATACCATTCAGCCCCTCGAGCCTGTTCTGCCATTCTATTAGATCATGGCTGATCTGTACCTCAACTCCAATTACCCGCCCTTGCCCCATATCGCTTGATACCCTGACCTAACAAATATCTCTCTACTTCAGTCTTGAAAATGTGAATTGATTAAGCGTCCACAGCCTTTTGGGGGAGAGTTACAGATTTCCACTACCCCTTGCATGAAAAACTGCTTTCTGATTTCACTCCTAAATGGCCTAACTCTAACTTTAAGATTAAGCTTCCTTATTCTGGATTCCCCCAACAGAGGAAGTAGTTTCTCTGTAGCTACACTATCAAATGTTTTTATTATTATTTTAAAAACCTCAATTAGATTACCCCTCAACCTTCTAAACTCAAAGGAATACAGAATAAGAACTCGTATCGGGAACACATTCCCTGAATCCCTCAGCCTTGCCTCCTCCTTCACCATCTTCAGGTCGTGCCTGAAGACCTTCCTCTTTCACCATGCTTACGATCACCTCTGCCCTCCCCCCGGCTCGACATCATGCTCTGCCACTGTCAAGTGCTCTGGGGCGCTACCCTGCGTGAGGGGCAGTATATAAATGCAAGTTGTTGTTGTTATAGCAGCTCACCATCCTGAAAGAAAGGTGGTTCACATGTAATAAAAGTCAAGGATGGTGAATGGCATTGCCATTCGTTTCAGTAAAGAAACTGCCTTCTCTTTTCAGACTGTGAGACAGGATCTTTGACAGAAAGTCAGGCAAAAGTCAGTTAACTTCTCAACTGAAAAACAGCACCTCCAATAATACAGTACATTCCCCGCCTTCCAACACCATACTCCAGAGGAAAGTTGGCCTGGATTGTGAGGTCAAGTGCCCATGTAAGGTTCGAACCCCCAACCTCCTGACCCAGAGCCGAGAGGGATAACAGCCAAGAGCCAGGCTACCGACTGGAGATGACGCACTGTTATTTGTACATTACCTTTGATTAGATACGGATCCAGAATCTGAGCCTGCTCAAACTTTAAGACGGCGTTTTTGCTGTCGCCCACACGGAAGTACAAATCAGCCAGGCTGCCCATCAGATCCACATTGTCACGAAGCAAAGACTTCTTCTCCAGAGAGCTAGGGAGAGAATATAAGCAGCAGTGACAATATCTGTCCACTCACCCACACAACGGTCAATTTTTCACTCCCCCCTCCGCAACCCCAAGCAGGTTTCTCGTTCCACGTTCCCTGTGTTCTGCGGGGCTCACGAGGTGAAGCAAATGGGGTTTATTATTAATAATAATCCTTGCATTCAATATAGCGCCTTATCATGTTATCCAGATGTCTCGAAACCCTGCCTCACAGAACACATTGTAAAGTGGATTGACTGTGTATTTTGTAGGACGGAGGAATCTGCTCACCAGATGGTATTGATGGCTCGGGGGTTGTCGCCAGTGTGAACAAAGGCATATGCTTTGATCCAGATGGACAGCCAATCGAGATTGGGGATACTCTGAATCACATTCATGGTCAGAGACGCCACCTCAGCTCCCTTCACTGATAGGGACAACAGACCTGGGTAAAGGGAACAGCAAAAAACTTCCTTAGGCACTACATTTGACGGCAAATTCACGAGAAGTGGCGAGTTAGGCACGTGTCTGAATGCATAAATAAATGCAGTCGGTACATTGACAGAATGATGGCTTAAGTGGTAGTGACAAGTTAAGCCAGGGTTAATTTATCAATAACTTACATTTTTTTATCAGGAATTTACTGTATTGCATTTAAGTCCGTTAATATTGAAAAGGAAAGTGGATAAATACATAAGAGTCTGGGGACAGAGCCGGGGGTTAGAATGCATGACTCCAGTGGGGGAGCAAGAACTAACACACACACACACTGAAGGAACTAAACTGCTTCCTTCTGTGCTGTAAATTTTTTGCCATTCTACAGGACATATTTTTTCCCAGCACATGCATCCCTCCATCCCACCATATTCCTTCCCAGTCTCCATGTGCCCAGTTTATACAAATATATTGAATGATCCAACATTCAAATATATATCCAACAGCTGCTTGTTTGGTTGCATTGCTGAACCTACCCAGAATTGCATCCAGTGCCAGGGGGCACTGTCGTAACACCTCCTTATAGCTGGTGACAGCCGATCTCTCCTGTCCAGCTTTCTTATACAGGTTCGCTAACATCATGTTTATCTAGACAGAGGAGAGAGCCAGTCAGTGGTCAGCGTGCACACAGAGACATACAGGAAAAGTCCAGGCCGGATTTCATTGTCCTACAGTTTCCCGCTATAACAAAGGAAATCAGGGCAAGGCAGAGGTGGAGAGCGTTGGAGGGAGGGAGAATCTATTGGGATCTTTAAAAGCTAGATTGGCAAACACTTGGGAAGTAAGGATATTAAAGGGAAAAGGTTTAGGAAAATGGGATTAAACCATCTTTTATGATCTAACAAACTGACAGAATGACTACTCCTGTTCTTATACATGCTTAAAAGCCGTATAACAACAACAATAAATTACATTTACACAGCGCCTTTCACGTCAGGAGGATGTCCCAAAGCGCTGGACAGTCAAGAGAGGCTGAAGCCCCAATACATGGCGCAAGGTTTAGATATAAAAAAAACACAATCATGCAGAGGTTACGGTTGTTACCTTGGGAGTGCGCTGCCTGGTGGGAATGGTGTCCAGGATGGCAACAGCGTCTCTCTCCTGCCGCAGCATTGTGTAGCATTCGGCCATTTTATACTTGACCTCAATCTCAGACGGCAGGCACTGCAATGGAACGCAGAAAGTTCTTAACCAATTCCCTGCATGCGCCTCTGACTCTCCTATTCCCAGTTTGTCGCTGGTTTGCATTTCACAATTTCGATTTGAAGACGATTTGAACAATTTTTTTGTTGTGGGCCTTACCGCCCAAAACAGGAATTACCATTTATGCAATTATCTGCCAGTACGCAATGACGTCACGCAACAAACGCATTGCGCATCAACCGGCAGTTCTGAAAAACAGCGCCACAAGATAGCCCCAACACTCATTCCTCCCCCAAACCCAGCTCCTTCTCCATTGACTAGGAGATCGGTACACGGTCACAGGCTTGACACAGAATACAGCGTCATTTACATCCACCGCACACACACACCAACACACTATAACTTCTAGGGATAATTGTGCAGTTAAGAAGGTTAAAAGAGGGAACAGTTACACCTTATGATAAAATAGCCTGACCAAGTCTGCCCTGAAGGCACACACGCTCCCTTCACCCCTTCCGAAAAGAAAGCCACGCGTACACCAAAGAGGAAAGTTAGATAAACGGAGGCTGCACTAAGTTACAAGCTAAGAAAGAAAGTGATAAGAGGCATGAAATGGAAAGTAAAACAATTCTACTGAATAACTGAAATGCGAATAACAAAAGTCAAAGTGAAATGTTTTGAAAGAAAATTTGCTACCAACTTCTGAAACTTTTCTGGCTCTCTGTTGACATCCCTACAAAAGTAAAACAGAACAAACCTATTAGGAATATGGCATGAGGACGATTACAAAAACACATAACAATCTAACATGTAACCTGGGGAGGGGGGAATTTCTGTTTGCCTAGCAGTAAGTAGGAACACGGTTGTTAGTCGATTGGTGGATCGCTTTCTGAGGGTAATAATCCTTTCAAAATAAATAATAATAATTTGGTCATTCAATCCACAACTGTTTGTGGGACACTGCTGTGCACAATTGGCTACCACAAGAAATAGTTCACTCTAAAGGATATTCTGTGAAGCGCTATCAGAATGCAATGAGGCTCTTTATCGAATGCAAGGATTATTATTATTATTATCTCACCCTGGCAGTGCTGAAGGAGAAAATAAAAGTGCAAAAGTGATGATTGGAAAGCAGGAACAGGAAGTCTGTTCAACCAGTTGATTGGATCTCGGCAAATTTTTTAATCCCAATAGACTGGCCTTTTGCACCATCCCGTTAATGGCCTTAACTGCCCAAGTGTCTATCTGTCCTTTTAAAACTATTGGCCTATTGATTTGGTCATTGTAGGTTTCGAGTAGCAGGGCGTTCCACATTTTTGTATCCCTCAGTGTGAAGGAACGGCTCCTGAGCTCAGGAACCCAGGAAAAGTCACTGCAATCTGAACACATCTGGATACCCACATAGAAAATAAAAATAACACAACACGGGTGGAAGGGGAGACAAAGTTAAAACTTTTACCAAATAAAGTAAACCCCATTCTGTGCAACAATTGCCCTTCAATGTAAATCTTACAACTGTAGTATACAGCTAAAATCCACCTGCTCACCAATCATAGGAACAGGAGAAGGCCATTCAGCCCCTCGAGGCTGTTCTGTCATCCTATTAGATCATGGCTGATCTGTACCTCAACTCCAAGTGATTCAACATTGCCATATTGATATTAGGACGTGCTCCCGACATGAAAGGCACTATACAAATGTAATTTGTTGTTGAGCCTTTGCTCTATATCCCTTGATGCCTTTGAACTCACATGAGTATTGGCACCACCACCCTCCTTTCTGCCCCTCACCCCCACCGCGTTACACCTCCAATCACAGCTGTGAGAAGAGAAACAAAGAATCCCACACCAGCCTGTCCTTCAGCCACGACATGGCCTTGGGCAAGAGAAAAGAATAAACCCTAACCAGAAGGGCGTTTTCACTAACACTAAACACACTAACCTGGGTCTGTGGGGTTGAAGGGGTGCTGCCCCCAGCTGGCCTCATTTTTGTGGTCTTGCTCAGCGCCTTCTTCTGCTGTAAAGCGATCTTGTATTTGGATTCGGCGTTGCGATATTCTTTATCATGAAAGAGAGAATCCGCATGGTAGACAAGGAGCTGGTATTTCTGTGCTGGGGAGAATAATTCTCTAAAAGCAAAGAACAAAACGTAGAGTTAGTGCTACTGTGAACAAAATCATAATCGCTGGAGGCTACGAAATATCAATCTGTGAACTGTGGTAGGATTTTAAATGGGGGAAGAAAGGAATGTACATTTCTCATGGCCAACTCACCGCCGAATATATTGGTAGATCACTTATATAATAATAAGATATTACATATCTGGTTGTCTTAGCCTCTTTTACACACTCACTCACTGTTAAAAAACTCACTTTTGCTCTCTCTCATACACACACAACTCTTTTACCTACTCACTCATTCTCTCACAATCTCACTCACTCCCTCTCACATCGTTCATCCCTCTCTCTCCCGCGCTCTTGCTGTACCTCTGAACTGTAATATCTCAATCTATACATACACTCATCAATGGATTCCTGTCTGGTTTGTAACCACCACTTGTTAGTATAAACTTTTGATCTTCGAACTGATGTGAATCATGATTTCAATTATTTTAACATTGTGAAATGAAGCGTTGATTTTTTTTAAACTCCCTCTCACACCAGTATAGTCGAAGAACATTGTGCTGGGGTGACGGGGGGGGGGGGGGGTTGCATTGTCGGATGGTGTCATTCGGACGAGACGAGGTCCCGTCTGCCTGTTCAGATGGACGTTTAATATCTCATGGCACTATTCAAATAAAGGGAGTTTCTCCTAGCGTCCTGGTCCACAACCACACCCCCCCCCCAACAAGAATTAAAGCGGTCACTCACTCCACGGCTGTTTGCGGGGGACACCGCTGCGCGACTACAAACACAGTCACTCCACCTGACCGTTAAAACCCAAGTGAAACGCTCTGGAGGAAGCTCTACCAAAGGCAAAAGAGCATTATTATTCTCTCTCTCGCGCTCCAATCCCTCCGAAGCGAAACAATAATAAATTGGTCATTCTCAATCCACGGCTGTGTGTGTGTGCGTGTGTGTGCGGGAGTGGGGGGGGTGGGTGGGGGGGGGGGGGACGCCGCTGTGCGCAACTGACTACCGCGCGTCGCCCACGAGTAGACGGTCAATTCACTTTACGGCGTATCCCGTGAAGCGCTTTGAGACGTCGAGGAGACGTGAAAAGCCCCATATCAAATGCAACGATTATTATTATTATTATTATTATATCACTCTCTCGCTCTCCTCCTCCTCCTTTCTCTCTTTCACACACTCCTCTCTGTGCCGCCTTCTCTCTTCTCCTTTCTCACTCTCTCCCCCCCCCACACACTCTGGTCTTTCCCCTCTTTCCACTCACTCTCTCTCTCTTCTCTTCTCCTCTTTCTCACCCTCTCTCTCTCTCTCTCTCTTTCCCTCACACACTCACTCTTTCTCTCACACACTCACTCTTTCCCTCACACACTCACTCTCTCACACACACACACGCACGCGCTCTTTATTATTTTTTTTCTTCTTCTTCTTCTTCTTCTCCCTCAGTCAGTTTCACTCTCCCTCTCTCCCTGTGTGTCTGTGTGAGGGTGTGTGTGAGGGGGTGTGTGTGTGAGGGGGTAAGTAAGGGTAGTGTCTATGGCGCCCACTCACGGGCTGTTGTCGCTCATGCTGAGCAGGAGGCCGCTCAGGAGCCGGCTGTTGGAGTACAGGCCGGCGGCCACCATCTCGCGGACGTGCTCGATGACGTTCATAACTGCCACCGCCCGAGCTCGCGCCTCAGTAATGGCGCCAGAGAGCAGCCAAGGGGTGGGGGGGGAGGGTCCTCCAGCAAAGGCCACCCGTCCGCCTGCACACAACACCAACAACCACACCGCAATTCGTTGTCTGTCGACGCTCTCACAACATTTATTATTCGGCGAAATTCGGTTGGTTGTTTTTCCGCCCCCTCCTCGAGGGTGGAGAGTGAACGGTCGAGGAAATGAGGGGTGACGGCGGGCGCGGGCGAGCCGCGGCCTACTCTGCTTGTGGGTGGGGGGCTTACGAGGCGCATGCGTGGAAGGCAGATGAGTCAGTCCGGGGGTCGGTCCCCGGCGGAGTCGGATGTGGGGTTACGCTGCTCCCGGTCTCTCCTTTTTTTAAAAAAATATTAACTCAACATCAAGATGGTAGAAATGGTTCGCTTTGCTCTTGGCGAAGCAGGTTGACAGTCGGTATTAATTTCCTTTGCCTTATAGCCGTTTTCATTGTCAGAAAACATTGTCACCCCTGTGTCCCCATCAGATTGATTGCACTGAGTATTTGCAGCAACTTTGCATGTTTTGTTGGGAACTCTTGTTTTCAGTGTACACACACACACACACACACACACCCGTTTGCAAATGAAAAGATTTAACAGTGGATGTTCAAAGATCAGTTTACATAACCCAGACACTACAGTTTAATCCGAGGCAATGCATCAGTAATAAATATGATTGCAGTTGTTCCATTGAATTTTCAGTGGGTGTGCAATTTTCAGGAATAGCTGGGCGACCACGTCCATAACAATCAGCGTGAGGTTCTAACATACTAATAATAAATAATAATAATCCTCGCATTTGATATAGCGCTTTTCACGTTGGGAGGACGTCCCAAAGCGCTTCACAGAACACACTGTAAAGTGAATTGACCGTATATTTGTGGGCGAACGCGGCAGCCAATTGCGCACAGCAATGTCCCACAAACAGTCGTAGATTGAAAATGACCAATTTTTATTATTGTTTTTGTTTTTTGGAGGGATTATTATGAGGCGTGTGGAGTAAGGAAACTTGCCCAAGGTTTCGCCCGCCAGGAATTGAACTCAGGTCTCTCATTTGCAAAGCGAATGCTCTAACCACTGGCTACAGGACTCCACAATACTAATCAATAGCTGAATTCTCACATTGCCTCTTCCAGATTATCTAGTTAATGAGATCAAATAAGCCTTTGGCAACATATCAGTAATAGCTTAGAGCCACTTTACAGAATGTCGTATTACTTTAGTACAAAGCTATTACTTAGCAAGCCTTAAATTTCGTTATTTCTTTTGAAATATTAATTCGAAGCTTTCAAAGATTAAATGCGTTTCTTTAGTGTGAGCACCGCCAAACAGCCGCTGCGTGCAGAATGATTCCAGTCAGATCCGTTTGGTTGCCAGTTTAGTTTTTTATTATTATTAATAAAGAGACACAAGGTTAATTTTGAGCAAAGTTCACACAAGAGAAATGAACCGACAAAGTCCTGCTCAAAGCCCCCCCCTCCTCTTTACTGGAATTAAACCTCAACATAATATTGTGGTTGGCTACAAGGTGTTAAGACAGCAGGAAGAGGGATCAGATTAAATTGCACGCAGTATTATTCAGACCTTATCCTTGAGAAAAAAATACCAGCACACTTTGATTTTTAATACTATCACACTTGTACGAAGCAGCAAACTGTGTTTGTTCGGGGGGGGGGGGGGGGGCAGGGGGCCATTTATGACTTGTATGTAATGTGGGGAGACACAACTGAATCAGCTTTGAAATATTCTGACCAGCAGGTTTGCTTGCTTTGTGTCCTGTTTCAATCATCTGATGTTGCAAAACAAATGTACAAGGCCCAGATGAAAAACATCTGGACTAAGCATATTGAACACCGATCGTTTTGAAATAAAGCCACCTCATCCATGTGAGCCATGTACTTTTATTCAACAACCCCCACCCCACCCCTGTATAAAATCATTCAGAACAAGGCCAAGGCGAGACAAAAAAAAAACACTTTGTACATCTCGCTGCAGGTGAATTCATTTGGGTACAATTCCTCCCTGCAACTGATCACGTCGAGATATTCCCCACTGAGAGGTTTATTGCCCGGGTGCTGACAGGCTCTTGTTCATGAACTGTTTCTTCGCAAAGCACATCCACCACTGCGGGGGGGGGGGGGGGGAGGAACAAGCAAAAACAATGGGTTATAATAATAATAATTCTTCCATTTGATATAGTGCCTTATCACTTTGTCGAGATGTCTCAAAGCGCTTCACAGAATATGCTGTAAAACTCACATAAGTCGTATCAGTTGGGACCATACATATGGCTTATGAAAAGTATGAGTTATGTCAAAGTTGAATAAAATATAAACTTTTGAACAGGACTTTGGTAGATGTACGACTTAGGCGATTATACGATTTATACAGTTCAGACTTATCTGTGCAGCGAGTTTTACTGTACTATACAGTGACTGTATTTTTTGGGCGAAAACGCACTTTTGTGGGTTAATAAAGAGTAATAACATGTATTTAATAAAACGCAATTTGTGAGTTAATAGAGAGCCAGGAGAGTTACAGACAGCCGGCCACAAGTTCTTGTGAGACACTGATAATATGAGCCACACATACGTCATCCATCCCGGAGTTCCTCCCTGACTCACCCTCGCTCTCCCTCCTCCCCCCACCGTCTCTCCCCCTTCCCTCCCCACCTTCAAACTGATCTTTTCAACTGTGCTGTGTCACATTCTCTCCACCAGTTTGGGCTCCCAGTTAGCCACGTGAATGAAGTCAGCCTTTGAGACACCCTCCCGAACAGTGAAAGGCGTTGTATAATTGTAAATTCTCTGGATATTGTTGCTGCTGCTTACCTTGCTAGGTTTATCAGTCTGGGGGTCAAACACCTTCTCGCACAGTCTCAGGCCAGTCTCCTGTCTGAGCTGCTGTAAGTAGCTCCTCATCAAATCTAATCAGAAAAAGAACAATATTGATTGAAATGAGCACCAGGAGTCTAGGCACGTACGATTGCTAGACAAGACTTGAAGTCAAAATTATTTATTCATTTAATTAGTTAGTTAGTTCAACCATACGTGTCTGACATATGCACGTGGAGACTTATCATTATGCTTAAGAGTATCCAAACCAATTTAAAAAAACGTAGCCACCATTTATAAAAAAAATTAAAAAGCAAAAGTATTTGATTTGCACCTGACAAGGTTACAGGCGACAGACTGAAATAAAAAAAATTAATAACAATAATTTGGTCGCTCAATTCATGACTGTTTGTGGGACACTGCTGTGCGAAATTGGCTCCAGCATTTTGCCCACAAAATGCACAGTCAATCCACTTTACAGTATATTCCGTGAAGCGCTTTGAGGCGTCGCCACAAAGTGATAAGGCGCTATATCAAATGCAAGGATAAATAATAATCCTAGCATTATTATGTTCACAAAGCAGCAGCCTCTGAATAAACATCACACGCACTTTCACGTCCTCTTATTGACAATCGGATGCGAGTCATTCATTGAGCACTACTTCCACGTACCGTCTTCCTGTCTGTTTGCGGGTTTGGCGTACATGGCGTTGAGAGGGAATCCAGGCTCCCCCGGGATGGGAAAGCTAGTTATCCCCAAGGTGTACATTTCTTTCTCCCCTTGACCTTTTGAGTTGCACTTAAAAAAAACAACACACACACACAAAAACAGAAAGTGAAATTCTCTGAAAGATTTCACAAGGGCTCTCCTCCACTCCTGATCCCAACCCCCAGCTCAGTTGCACATCCTTGACTGTCCAGCGCTTTGGGACGTCCCAACATGAAAGGCACTATACAAATGTATAATGTGTTGTGTGTATATTTATCTGATCTTATGTAATGTGGGAGGAATAACTGGGAGTCCAGGGTTTATCTCTGAAATACTATGAACAGGTTGTAGCCGGAAATGTGGGGTGTGTAATGGGGTGGGGTGGGGGGCGTGGAAAAGAGATTAAATCTTTGAGAATTTTTCTCCTTACCTTCTGAAGTTTTTTGAGGCATTCAGTAATGTAAAGGGTGATGTAGATCATGGTTCGGTCAGCTTCATTCTGCAATTATAGCAATGTGTTAGCCTGATCTCTAAGGGCATACGGCAGTGTAAAAGGATAATTGTGGAGTCTCTTAGGATGGTGGTTAGTCCACTCGCCTCGCAAGCAAGAGGGCCCGGGTTTGATTCCCGGGCGCAGCAAAACCTTAGGTAAAAGTTTCCTTATTCCACGTGCCTCGTTCTACCTAGTAGTAATAATAATAATCCTTGCATTTGATATAGCGCTTTTCATGTCTTCTAGACATCTCAAAGCACTTCACAGAATATACTGTAAAGTGAATTGACTGTATATTTGTGGGCACAACAGTGGAGTGGTGGATTGAGTGACCAAATCATTATTGTTTTTTTCTTGAGGGATTATTATCAGGCATGTGGAGTAAGGAAACTTGACCAAGGTTTCGCCCTGCCGGAAATCGAACCCAGGTCTCTCGCTTGCAAGGCGAGAGCTCTAACCACTAGCTACAGGACTAGTAAATAAGAACTCGGTTGTTAGTTGATTGGCAAATCGCTTTCCGTGGGTAATAATCTCTCCTGCCCCCCCAAAAAATTGGTCACTCAATCCACAGCTGTTTGTGGGACACTGCTGTGCACAATTGGCTGCCACGTTTCACTCCAAAACACACAGTCATTTCACTTTACAGTATATTCTGTGAAGCGCTTTGAGACTTGTGATAAGGCGCTATATCAAATGCAATTATTATTATTCCCCCCATAGGAGGAGAGTTTGGCTTCTGTTTAGCGCTTTCCTCACAGCAGCAGCTCTGTGATCACTGGGAAACCTGCAAAGCAGAAAACCCACATCCTCCTTCAAAGCACAGAGCGATGGCCACTATACTTCCTCCACGGAAGAGTTTCTGCAAACACATGCGGAGATCCTGCACATTCACAGCAAGTAAAAGAAATCCCAATTCTTTCCCAAATGGAACACAAAAACTAGTCTCCCCCCGCCCCCCACAGAAAAAAAAACATACCTTTATTTCATAGTTTTTGAAGAATACATTTGCTTTAAAAAAGTAGATTGCTTCATCAATGATGTCATTGTCTTTGGCTGGAAAAGATTAGAACTCCCTTTACCAAACTTGAAAAAAACAACTTTCTCCATATAATAATACTCGACTCCCTGCAATTTTCAACTACCCGCTTTCAAAACACAATGCACACACACAAAAGAATCTAGAACGATCTCCTTGTGAGATGGAGCTAGTTAAAGAATGCATCTGAATGCAGTTTTTTCCTTCCCCTCCTCTCCTAGCTTCAGGTCGCGCCTGAAGATCTTCCTCTTCGACCATGCTCACGGTCACCTGTCCCACCTCCTGGCTCCGCGTCAGGCTCCACTGTCGAGTGCTGCTCTCTACGCTGCATGAGGGACGCTGTGTAAATGGAAGTTGTTGTTTTTGATGCGTGGAAAAACAAAACTTACTCTCTTTGGGAGCCGGTCCTTTAAACTGTGTCCTAAGTGGCAACAGAGCGATGTTTCCAACTAGTTTCGCTGAAGAGTCATTTAAGGTGGAATGGTAAGCCTTCGGAAAAGGGAAAGAGGCACACAGTCAGTGACGTTACTCTCGCTTTGCCATCGTTCACTCGGCTGCAACCGATACAAAAATTACAACTAACAATTGTTTTATTAAGAGGACGACTTTCTTACAGTCGATTTTTAAGCAGATTATATCGTGGAAAGTCTCTCTGTCTGGGGAGAAGGCAGCAAGCAACAACAACAACAACAACAACATTTCGTTTATAGAGCGCCTTTCACGTCGGGAGGACGTCCCAAGGCGTTGCGCAAGGGTCAGCCAACGCTTTAGGATCTTTTAACGGTAACTCTCGCATTTGACGTTCACGCCGTGTACCGCGTCATCGGGACACCTCAAAGCGCTTCCCGGGACATACCGGGATTATTTATCCCGGGAAAGCGACCGGACAAACCGCTCCGCAACCACGTTCCCACTTCACCGCTCGGTGAAACAGAGGGGTGCGGAGTGAGGGAACGTAAATCAGCTGAGGTAACCGTGAAGGAGGGGGCAAACCCCCCCCACCCCACCCCATGAAAGTAGCTGAGTGAATTGGATGGAGGGGGAGGGTTTTTTTTTGGGGGGAAGGCCTCAAACAGCCCGACTTCCTGGTTCCTTCCTCCCTGTCTCTCCCACTGGGTCACTGTCACCGGCTTCAAACTCACTGTTTATTAAAGTAAATGTAACGTCAGGGCTGATGCCGAGCGGATCCCCGGTCCCCGGGGAGACAGGCACTTACCGGCATGATGGGAGGGGGAGAGAGAGAGAGAGACACACACACACAGAGAGAGAGAGAGAGAGAGTCGCTGCTGCTCTGAGCTCCGCTGAGACGCCACACTTCCGCCTGTCCCCACCCAGCGACGGTCTGCGCCTGCGCCAGCGGGAACCACGTGACTCTCACAGCTGACGAGTGGTTACAATGGTATCACAGAGAGAGAGAGACAATGTGTCACTCCCCCCAACACCCTCACCCCCCCCCCCACCCCCCCCACACCCTCTCCCCCCCACACCCTCTCCCCCCCAACACCCTCTCCCCACCCCCCCAACACCCTCTCCCCCCACACCCTTTCCCCTCACCCCCTCTCCCCCACACCCCCAACACCCTATCCCCCCCAACACCCTCTCCCCCCACCCCCCAACACCCTCTCCCCCCCAACACCCTCTCCCCACCTTCTCCCCCCACCCTCTCCCACAGTGATCATCATTTTATAAATCAAATCCTGAGACACACACACATACATGTGTTTAAATATATATACATACATACATACATATATATATACATATATATGTATGTCTATAGTATAATAATCCTTGCATTTGATATAGCGCTTTCCACGTCTTCTCAACTTCTCAAAGGCTTCACAGAATATGCTGTAAAGTGAATTGACTGTATATATATGTATATTCATATGTGTGTATATATAAGTGTGCGTTTCGCCCACAAATATACAGTCAATTCACTTTATAGTATATTCTGTGAAGAGCTTTGAGACGTCGAGAAGACGTGAAAAGCGCTATATCAAATGCAAGGGTTATTATCATTATAAATATCCTGGAATCATAGAATTATACAGCACAGAAGGAGGCCATTCGGCCCATCGTGTCCGTGCCAGCTCTTTGAAAAGAGCTGTCCAAGTCAATCCCACTCCCCCTGCTCTCTCCCCATAGCCCTGCAAACTTGTCCTCCCCAAATAATTATCTACTTCTGTCTTAAAAGTGGTTATCTAAGATCGGCTTCCACCACCCTTTCAGGGCATGCATTCCAAGTAATGCATATATATATAGAGAGAGAGAGAGGGTGACCACAACGTTGTGATAACTACCCTTATTATTTAAACAAAAACAAAAATATCATTTAAGACTTATTAGACATTGTAATGATATCACAACTTTTTGGTCAACTTGTGTATATATAATTGAACTCACCCCAGTTCCTTATGCTGGCAGTTACTGGAGAAGCTTGTTGGGGGGGGTTAATATGTATACATATATATATAGTATATAATAATCCTTGCATTTTGATTTGGTGCCTTATCACCTCGTTGAGATGTCTCAAAGAGTTTTGCAGCATACAGTGTAAAGCGGTTTTGACTGTGTATTTTGTGGGTAAATGCAGCAGCACAGCACACAGCAGTGTCCCACAAACAGCCATGGGAGTGACTGACCGATTTTATCAGTCGTGGGCGGAGGGGCGGGGGGGGAGGGGAGAGAGGGATTTGTTGGTCAGGGAGAAACTGGTGAGAGGGCGATAAGGGGTGTCACGCAAATTGAGAAAAAACATCTTCGTAGGGCAGCAATAAATAATCTTTTGTGTCTCATACAGCAACTATTAACCTCAAAACATCTCACAGCAGCTCCCGGGAAATTACGCTGTTTTTCCTCTCCCCTGCTGCTGCTTGCCGGCTCACATTGCAGTCAATTCTGTCTCACTGTTCCAATCATGTATCAGTAACAAAGCTGCTTTGGAAATTAGAGCTGTGCGTTTAATTATAGCGTCACCGAGCTGGATCGGGGTCAGGTTTCTTAAATTGTTCCCCGGTATCGTTTCACAGGATATTATTGTAAAGTGCTGGAACTGTGTGTATTTTGTGAATGAATGCAGTTTACGTGATGTAGCTTAGAATGTAGTTTTGCAAAGTCATTGAGGAAAAACTGCGTTTCAACAGGTTTCCTCGAGGTTAAATGATGCTTCGGAAATAATACACCACTACTCCAGGACTATAGTCACGTTTTATTAGGCAAACAATATCTAAAATAATACTGTACAGTCATTTCAAGAATTTTAAATAAAATCCAGGGTAAGAAATGATAGTTTCAGGCATGTTCTTATTTTGTGGACTTTTGGAAATAAAGAGTTATAGTAGTAAACTTTTTATTCAAACTTTCTTTTGGGAAACAAAGGAGGGTGCGTGAATCACTCACTCACTGCACAGCCAATGAATAATAAAATCTTTTACAAGGTCGGTCACTTACCGACAGCAAAAGTTTGCTTTAAATTTCTTTCATAATTAACACAAAGGTTTTAATTCTGTATGTCAACAAAGGTTTGTGTTTTTCCAATGATAAATAGAATACGCCTCTGTTTACCTATCTACACATCATGTGTAATGACGTGGAACAAAATAGATATATATCTAGCGTGCGAGGTACCTTCTCTGTGATAAATTACCTTTTGAGTTCAGCAGGAATGGGAATTGGGAGCTCATGGGATCTGCGAGTTCTCAATCACCTTCTCACTTGAGACGTGGGGAGGTCTGATCCTTTTGGATCCTAGTGGAAGGTTCTTTCAATGCACCAAAAAGTGCCACTGTCTGAACACTGGCCTCTGTTCAAGCTTCATTCAACTGTGGCAGCAGCTTCGAAAAATTCATCTCTCTGAGTGGAGGTTTCAAGGTCCTCTTCCTTTTCCTATTTAAGAAACAATGAAGTAATAACAAATACCAATGTTTGCCTTTGATATCCATCCTATAAAGTCAAGAAAGTCTCAAAGTCTTCACGAAGCTTCTGTAAAGTGCAGTGACTGCGTGTTTGTAGGTGGATTAATAACAATCCTTGTATTTGACATAGAGTCTTATCTATCACCTGGTTCAGATGTCTCCAAGCACTTCACAGAACATACTGTACGGTGGAGTGACTGTGTATTTTGTGGGCGAAACGCGGAAGCCAATTGCACCCAGCAGTGAACGGATTATTACCCCCGGAAACCGATCCGCCAAAGGACTAACAACCGAGTTGCTACTTACTCCTGGGTAAACAGAGGTATGTGGAGTAAAGAAAATTGCCTAAGGTTTCGTCCTGCCTGGGAATCGCTTGCGAGGCGAGTGCGCTAACCACTAAGCTACGAGACTCCACGATTATTATCACAGAGGGATGGGAGCAAGGTCCCTCTCGGTGTCTGACAGTCAGAGTTCACTCACCCTCGGTTCCCTGACCTCGAAGTCCTCTCCGTACTGGATGGAGAAGTCGATGTGCTGCAGGACAATGTTGACGGACTCCTCATCCGATTGATCGAAGGGCAGGAAACGCACCATGCTGTAGTCGTCAATCTAAGCAGGCGGACACACAAGACACCGTGAAAACACGCTCTGCAGAGTCTGTGCATTTTGATCCAGCGCCTACATTACATACAACATGGAACCGTCTTAAAGCGCTTTACTGGGGGATGGGGGGGGGGGGGAAACTGCTGTCCATTGAAATAAGCCAATTGAGTGTAGTAACTAAATATTTGTAGGCAAACACTGCAGCAGACAAATTTGAACATGGAAATGGAGCGAGTATCCACTTTTAGCTGCGTGGTGGTGGGTGGATTGTGGAAGAAACTCTTCCCTTCTTTATCATTGAACTGAGCGGGCAGTGGTGGTGGGGAGGGGGACGGGGGACGTTCTAAATTCTCAGTATACCAATCTTACAACATTTCCGAATCTGGTGATTTTTGGCGAGCAAAAATAATAAATATATAGATAATCCTTCCATTTGATATAGCACCTTATCGTGTCTTCAAGACGTCCCACGGTGCTTCACAGAATATACTGTAAAGTGAATTGATTGTATATTTTGTGGGCAAAACACGACAGCCAATTGAGTTTAATGCATCCTCTGATCACATCTTTAAACCACCTACCAGGCCACAGATTGCCTTGGTTAGCTTCCTGAACTTCTTGCTCCTCCACGAGTCTTTTGAGTCGTGCATCAGTGAGTACATATCGGGATCGAGGTACCTGGAGCGAGAGAAAGTAAAGAAAGCAGTGTGAATGGGAGGGGGAGTGGGGGGGCGAAGCAGGGTCAGGCTGAATATGAGTGACGCTCACGTTGAATGCTTTTAACTTACTTCTCGATTTCTCGCTTGGCTTTCTTGCTCAGTAAGTCCATCTTCGTCATCACATTGACCTGCGGGATTTCCAGGGAAACCATGGCACTTAGAGCCGCCATCGCCCCGGAGATAAACTGAGAAAAAGCAGAGGATTTTAAAAATAATAATCCTTGCATTTGAGGTAGCGCCTTATCACGTTGTTGAGAAGTCTCAAAGCGCTTCACAGGATATACCGTAAAGTGGATCGATTGTGTATCTTGTGGGCAAAATGTGGCAGCCATTTGCATTCAACAATGTTCCACAAACAGTTGCGGATTGAGTTATCAAATTTATTTATTTTGAGGGATTATTATCCCTGGAAAGAGCTCCGACAATCGACTAAACAACTGGGTTCCTACTAACTGCTAAGTAAATAGAGACATATGGAGTAAGGAAACTTGCTCAAAGTTTCACTCTGCCCGGGAAACAAACCCAGGCTCTCTCGCTTGTGGGGCGAGTGAACTAACCACTACGCTACAGGTCTCCATGTCTGTAGACTAAAATCAGGTCAAAAGAGGGGCAGCGAGGCTGGTTACCTTAAAGGATTCGACCATGAACTGCGAGTCCACAAGAAACACTCCACAAACGTGAAATTCCCACTGCTGCAACTGCTCCACTAGCTGTCTCATCACCGGCAGGTGAGTGTACAGCTCGATCTGACCTACAGGGAGACATCCCGATCAGCCCCGTGTTTCCGTTCACCTCGGTTCTCTCCTCCCAAACCCCACCCCCAACCCCCACCTGGATCCCATGCTGGGGCAGCGTTCCCAGGTGCCGTTCTCACACGGCCGGACGATCGTTGCTCAATTCCCATTTCACGGAATTTTTACAGCTCGGGAGGAAACCATTTGGCCCTTTGTTTATTCCACTTCAATTCCCTTCCTCCCCCTCCACATGCACCACACACTTACATGCAGTCACACGATCGCACACTCACATAGACACAAGCACGGATACACACACACACCTTTTATATTTTTCTTCCTCAATCCCTTGACCCAATTGCTTTTTACAGGCTATGAGCAGGTGCTGCCTTTCGCTGACTCTCTCTCCCTCCCCCTCTCGCCGCCTACCAACCTGGGCAGTCGAACAGCACATAGTCATCCTCCACGTGCCCCAGGCTCTCACCCAGCCAGTCCAGGTTGTTGGCGAAGTATTCCATACAGAACACGAGCCCTCCGTTCGGGCCAAACCCCAGTGACTTGTCCTCCATCACGTCCTCCACTTGGATTAACTCCCGGATATCTGTGCTTTGACGTGACGATAGAGGGAACAAACGTGACCACAAGATTCCAGATGGAAAGAGAGTCCTACTATCCTCACTCTCCCCACCTTCCCCTCCCTCCCCTCTCTCCTCTCCCCCCCACCCTTCTCCACTTTGGTCAATCTTTTTTGACCAGCCGGGTGTCTGACATACTCTTGCTTCAGAGTTTCCAAACCAAACTGAGAATTCCATGCAGCCCAACCCCTACTACACATGGAAATTCCAGAGATAGATTGTTGGTATGGAATGTGCACTCTCTCTCTCTCTCTCTCTCTCCCTGAAAGGACGATTCCTACTTCCCTAATCCCGGAAAGTTACCAGATAATGGGTTTTCTGGAATTGGGTAAAGCAGGAGGAAGCATCTCCCTCCCTCCAGGTTTTTGGTCAACAGACACCCACCTGCCAAGACGGGATATTTAAAGTATTCTGCCGCGGGGTCAAGATTCACCACCTGTACAGAGCGCTGGATCACTTCACAGTGTTGCTGGATAGTGGAACAGTAGGTACTCTGGAACAAGGGAAAAGACAGGCGGTTTAAACAACAACAACAACTTGCATTTATACAGCGTCCCTCACGCAGGGTGGCGTCCCAGAGCGCTTGACAGTGGCGGAGCACGGCACTGGGCACAGCTGGTCAAAAAACATACACGAGGAGAGAACAGAGTCCCACTATCCTGCGGGGCAACACTCACTGCTGCGAAAGAGAAGCGGGTTTTAAATAATAATAATATTAATAACGATAATAACAATAATAATAACCCTTGCGTTTGGGACAGCACTCTATCACATCTGGAGGGGACACATGAGGTGTCGCCATCGGAGTTGACAATGTGGAGAGTAACGTGTTGAGTGAGTGCAGCATGGTGTGTGGGGGGGGGGGAGGGGAGGGGAAGGAATGCATTTACAAGAAGATTTACATATATAAAAATATATATAAATAAAAAAAATTGGGTCAGGGATGAAGTAAGTCAGGGTGGGGGAGGGGGAGGGAACGCATTTACAAGAGGAAGATTTATATATATATAAAAAAATAAAATAAACAAAAATGGGGGTCAGGGACGAAGTAAATCGGGGGGGGGGGGGCGGCGGGTGGGGAAGGGGAAGGAATGCATTTGCAAGAGGAAGATTATATATATATATATAAAAATATATATATAAATTATATATATATAAATAAGTAAACAGGTAAATAAATAAATAAAAACAATTGGGTCGGGGGGGGGGTGAAGTAAGTCAGGGTGGGGGGAGGGGGTGGGGGGGGTGGAGGGGAGGGGGCGAGGGGGTGGAGGGGAGGGGGTGGGGGGGTGGAGGGGAGGGGATGGGGGGTGGATGGAGGGGGTGGAGGGTGGAGGGAGGGGGTGGGGGGGGTGGAGGGGAGGGAGGGGATGGGGGGGTGGATGGAGGGGGTGGAGGGGAGGGGATGGGGGGGATGGAGGGGAGGGGAAGTGGAGGGGAGGGGATGGGGGGGTGGATTGGAGGGGATGGGGGGGTGGAGGGGGGGTGGAGGGGAGGGGTGGGGGGGTGGGGGGGGGGGGGGGTGGAGGGGGGGTGGAGGGGAGGGGGTGACCTACCTTCCCACTGCCGGCCGGACCCATCACTAACTGGGCATAACGAGGCATGTTTTGGAGCGCCACCGCCAGTACTCTACACCTGACGCTGCGCCCCCACTCGTAGCCCCGCCCCCTCAGGGCGAAACGGATACAAGTTTAAAGGGCCGCGACTTCCGCGTACGGCGGCCTCCGGGCACCAATATAAAGCGTCGGCGGTGGCCCCGTTGCGAAATTTTTGGTTCAAAAAAAAGCCACGGCTTTTCTTTCGGATTTTTTTGAAAGAAAGAGAGAGAAAAAGAAAGGGGAAAAAATGGTTCCCTTCAATGCATGAACGTTGCTCCCTTTTCTGTGGGGATACCTTCATATGTTTATTCGTATTGTATAGAATAATGAACTTATAAATCACGTGAAGTAGATATATATTTTTAAAAAGGTATCAAATTGCAAAAGTGACTTCAGGTTTTCCCCCTCCCCCCCCCATCCCCACCCCCCTCCCCTTCCCCACCCCCAACCCCCCACCCCCTCCCCTCTCCACCCCATCCCCACCCCAACCCCTTCCCCACCCCCCACCCCTCCCCATCCCCTTCCCCACCCCCATCCCCCCCCCCTTCCCCACCTCAACCCCCTCCCCCCCACCCCATCCCCCCCCCAACCCCTTCCCCACCCCCATCCCCCCCCCCCCCCATCCCCCCAACCCCTTCCCACCCCCCATCCCCCCCAACCCCCTCCCCTTCCCCACCCCCATCCCCCTCCCCTTCCCCACCCCAACCCCCTCCCCTTCCCTACCCATCCCCCACCCCATCCCCAACCACCCCCCCCCCCCCCACAAAAAAAAATCACGTAACAATAACGAGGAGACGCGCTCATTCATTCATTGAAAAAAAACACGACATCACAAAAGGCGAAGATGGGGGCAAATAAAATAAAATAAAATAAAATGTGTTTGATCTGAGCCAAGTTTTTTTGGGTTTGGTCCAAAACGTCCCGAAAGCACCGCGTTGGAGGAGGAGACCTTTAACGCTCGCGAATTCGATGCATTTCCCCTTTTCCTCACCACCTCTGTGTGTGTGTGTCTGTGTGTGTCTCTCTCTCTCTGTGTCTCCCTCCCTCTCGGATCCAGATCATTTGTATGTGTTAAATTAGTGGTTGTGTGAGACGGTGGGGGGGGAGAGGGAGGGAGGGAGGGAGTGTGGTCCTTTACAAGGGGCTCTTCATCGTGTGCAAACCAGAGAGGCTGGAAAGGTGACCCCCAGCTGTCAGCTTTGAGAGCTTTAGGTGGGACACCTTTGGAGCTTTACCTTTCCCCGAGGGTGGGGAGGGAGGGAGGGAGGGAGATCGGTGGCGATGGAGGTGAGGAAGCAAGTCAGCTTCCTCGACCGAGGTTGTGGCAATCACGATCCCAAATTGCCACAGAACGCCAATCAAGTTGTCAGGTAAGAGAGAGACCCCACATTGCACAGATCCGACCGACGTTGATAGCTGATCTCTCTCTCTCTCTCTCTCCCTCTCTCTTTCTCTTCCTTTACGAGCGAGGTTAGTTTCTGCAAATGCAAGGCTCGGTGTTAAGTGTTAACACTCTGCTGTGTTGATTTTTTTTAAAAAAAGGGACTCGACTTTTATCTTTGTCAACTGTGTGCTTTGTGTAGTAATAATGATAATCCTTGCATTTGATACAGCGCCTTATCGCGTCGTCGAGACGTCTCAAAGCGCTTTATATCGTAAATTGCATTGAAGGTGTGTTTTGTTGGTGAAACGCAGCAGCCAACTAGTGCACAGAGATGTCCCACAAACAGTCATGGATTGAGTGGCAGACCCTAAAAAAATGTTTTGGGGGAAGGGATTATTACTCTGGGAAAGTGATCCGCCAATGGACCAACAGCCGGGTTCCTACATACTGCTGGCTAGGTAAACAGAGGCGTGTGGAGCAAGGAAACTTGTCTGAGGTTTCTCTCCACCTGGGAATTGGACCTGGGTCCTCTCGCTTGTGAGGCAAACACTCCACAACTTTTTTTTAAACTTGCTGTAAAAATTAATCAGGAGCGGAGCACCCGTCACTGTCTCATTTGTTTTTACAGGATTCCAGGACCTAATTTCCCACAATGTCACAATAACAGCGGTAAGCAAACCCCCCACTCACCCCGTCCCCACCCAACTTCCACCCTCCCCCCGTGCACACACACATGCTGAAGTCTCACCATCTCTCATGAAACCATTTGACAGTGTCGAGAGAGGAATCGGAGGGAGAATGAAAGAGGAGAGGGTGGGGGAGGAGATGACTGGATGTAGGGTCAAGGAAGCAGGTTTTCCAGAGGCTTTTAAAGGCAGATAGAGAGACACTGTGTGACCGACAAAGATAACAACAACTTGCATTTATATGGCACCCTTCATGCAGGGTAGCATCTCAGAGCGAAGCTTGACACTGAGCCAGGCAGAGAGAGGGAGGTGGCCATAAACACGGTCAAAGATGAAGGTCTTCAACTGTGACAGATGGAGTCTGACAGATGGACAGACAGATAGATGATGCATATTACATTTGCATGCAGATAGTATGTGTTATGTACAAGAGCCATTATATAATAACCTTCTGAAAGTTTAATAAAGTTGGTTAAAGGAATATTGGTTGAGATGTTGCCTTTGGCTGGTGGAATAGTGCCTGCTGAAACTTGGGAAAAGGCGATGCTTGCAGAATCAAGGAGAGGAAGCACAGGAACTTTCAAAAGAGAATTGGATATTTATTTGAAAAAGAAAAATTTGCAGGGCTTTGGGGTAAGAGCAGAGGAATGAGACTAGTTGGTAGCTCTTTCAAAGAGCCAGTACAAGCACGATGGGCCGAATGGCCTCTTTCTGAGTTGTAGGATTGTATGAACTGGTGAGTGATTGGTACAGTGATGAACACCATAGTTATAGATCAGTAACAACACAATGAGATGGGTTGGGTTGTCTGTGGCTCCGAGGATTCACTCTTGAAACAGCTGGCAATCCTAAATAGCCATCTGGCTAAGCATCTGGCAAAGAGCAGACCAGACTCCGGTGGAAGAGAATGCGAGTCTATGGGGAAGGCGATTTGGGAAGAGTGAGGCAAGTGAGGATGATAATGAAGATGATGGAGCACCAGGACATGCTTGTTGGGAAGCACACAGGGAGCGTCGGAAATAACGGTCAAAAACAGACGGACTCCAGCCTTGGGTGGAAGAGGAGACAAAATGCTTTGGAAGGAAAATGATCATCGCACTCTCGACTGGGGGCTCAGTCCTTAGGCTCGCTCTGACGTACGTTGGTGAGGAAAAGGCCGATGTCTGTGGTCTTCGCAGAGCTGACTGAAGAGCAGAGGCAGGCTAAGCAAGCTGGCCTGTGGGAGGAGCATGCTGGTAAGAGCAAAGGCCATTTTGTTACCACCTGCATGCGTTGTCCATTGCCTTGTTCTGCTGCCTTCCTTGACTGAGGAGACAACCATAACTGCTTGTTGGCTGAATACAACAACAAGAAGTTACCTCTTTTTAGCACCTTTCACATCAGGAGGATGAAATGAATATGAGGGGGGGAAATGTTTGTGAAATTCTACCCTTACCACCCCTCTTCTCTTCCTCCTCCTCTCCTGAGCCACACCCGCTCTCCCCAGCCACTCCCTCCCCACCCCCTTCCCCCTCACACACACTCACCGCATGCTTTAATGTGATTGCAGATGTCTCCCTGCAGAAGCCGAGGAGGAAGATTATTTTGCCCATCTGGTCGGCTGAGCCCCAGCACCCCGACCAGTGGGCACAGGGAGAGAGGCGTCAGGAGGACGAGGGGCAGCTGTGCCTCCCCCTCCCCCAGTCCCAGCTCCAGCCCCAGTGCGAGAGGCACAACCTGGAGGTGGTGGTAAGCGAGCCTGAGCTGGGGGCCAGGGTCATGTCGGCCAGGGAGCTCCCGATCAAGACAAGCAAACAGGACGTGACGGTGATCGAGCCGGGGAAGAGCAGGCGGAGAGTTGGGGTGGGGGGGAAACCCCAGGAAGAACAGCTGGATCCTGACCTCTTGTCCCACTTGCTGAGGGTACAGCGAGACGGGCTGACCCACATGGGGGAAGTGCGGAGAAACATCCAGTGCCAGTTGGAAGAAACCCAGGTCAACTTCCAGAGCGGGATGAACCTGCTCCAAGACGTGATCGAGTCTAACAACAAGAGGATCCAGGCAAGCATGGGGCAGATAAGCTCCACCATGAACACGGTGGAATCCACACTGCAGAAAATGGAATATAACCTTGCCACCATCAACTCCAGCTTCCTGCAACTCCAAGGCATGGTGGAGTCTGGCTTCAGGGAGCTGAGCCAAGAGATAAGTGCCCTGGTCAAGTGTCTGAGTCAGAACCTGGTCTCTGGCTCCGCAAGGAATCAAGTGGCCAGACCGGTCCTCAAGCTTGGAGAGAGGATTCCTTTGTAGTTCTCACCCATTCCCTCTCGACCGCTTTACATCTCCCTCCTTCCCTTCTTTTCCCCATATCCAAGCAGTGCACAAGACACTGCGTAACCTTTTATCTTAGTTTAAGAGAAGGTATAGGGAATGTAAGGTGCCCTAATGGCATTGGGAGTAAGAAAATAAAGTTTGGCATTTGCTCCTGGTCGCGGTGTTTGTGTCTAGTACAGCTCTGGGGCTTTAACAATAATCCAATAATCTTTCCATTTGATCTTGCGCCTTATCACGTCGTTGAGATGTCTCAGAGCACTTCACAGAATGTACTATAAAGTGGAATAACTGTATATTTTGTAGACGAAACGCAGCAGCCAATTGTGTGCAGCAGTGTCCCACAAACAGTCATGGATCGAGTGACCAAATTATTATATATTTTTTGAAGGGATTATTACTCCCGGAAAGTGATCCGCCAATGGACTAACACCCATGTTCTGCTTACTGCTGGTAAACAGAGGTGTGTGGAATAAGGAAACTTGCCTAAGGTTCCGCCCTGCCCGGGAATCAAACCCGAGTGAAACTCGCACAACTCATACAGCGAAGCTCCCCTTTCATGTGGGACAAACCTCATTCCCGTCACGTAAGGGAATGAGGGTGGGGAGGAAGGGAGATGGTTTCAGGACGATACAAAGACAGGGATTGGGTTTTGAGGGGAGAAGACAGGGACAAGAGCCACACACAGAAAATAAATCTGTTTCCTATCCATTTCATGATATTGCCTACAATTCCATTCACCTCAATTTTAAGTTAACCTCTTAATGTGGAACTTTTATCAAATGCCACATTACATCCATCCGATCCTCCTTTATCTCTCACCTCCAGGACTGACTGTTAATTTTGTACAATTAATAAAACCTTTCCATTGGTTTTATTAACTATACAGTCAAGGTGAACCCTGTCGATCTTCCGTAACAACACATTGGTTTAGCCCGAGGTGTACAATAGACCCTTGTTCAGAAACTGTCATGTTTGCTGTTGCTACGGCTGCTGGTTTCTAAGGCAAATGGGATTGTCTGTCTGGTGTCTGAAGGCAGTGAAATGGGACAGGTCACCGAGATTCTGCACAGGGGAAGAGGAAGGTCTCACACAATGTTCCTTTAACCAGTCGGGTTCAGAACCTGAGATCAGAATTTAGATATTGTTAATGTGCAACAAAATACAGGGCTTCTATTGCGAAGGACTCGGGGAGCTAGTCTGCTAACACTGAGAGGTTTTATTCCACTGGAAGCTGCTTCCCTTTGGTTAAAAGTGAACGATCCCATGGGACATTGGGACACAAATAGAAAGCTGTTGTGAATAGGCATCAATGCCAGAGCCGTTGGTATAGCAACCCAAAACTGGGACTCCTTTCACACAGGGCAATAAATTATCTGAAAGGAATACAGAAGAGAGCTTTACTTTTTAATACAACTCCCTGTCCATCCCCAATCTAGATTAAAATTGATGATTTATAGTTTTCTTTAAAAAAAGGATGCTTATCAATATTAATATTCCCAAACATAACCACACCCCTAGTCTTTTCTGTAGCAAAATAGTCATTTTAAAATCTACCGTGATTGGCAACTGATATGTTTCTCCGCTAAGCTTGGAAATCTTACAAGAAGGCTCTTACCCTATAAAGGTTATGCAGAATTGCTCTGCTTTCTCTAACTATTAACTGTCTTCAGCCGTCGGAGAGGAATATTTAATGGAATGTCTAAATCTCTATAAATAATGACAACGAAGCTTTCAAAGACCAGTTAGTGAATGAAGGTGAGTGAGTGAGTGGTCATTCAGGGTCTTTCCATCCCCCCCACCCAATCCACCCCCTACCCCACCAGGACCTCTACACCAAGCCAAATGGTCTTCTGTTAGATACCCATTGCATGGAGTCATTCGGATGTGGAGAATGGAGACGAGCCAACAACAACTTGCATTTATATATCACCTCTCACGCAGGGTAGCATACCAGAGTCAACACGGTCCTTTGAAGGGGAATTTGGTGAAGGGTGTGAGAGGGAACGGGGAGGGCAATGTGGAACGGGAGTAAAGCTGGCCTCAGTTGTAAGGTGCCCTTGTATAGGCGTGTGCTATGAGCCTGAGTTACACAACAACTTCCATCTTTATAGCACCTTGCACGTGGGGAGGACACCCCAAGGCAATAATTACTGTAGCAGGAACTGAGATCAGTGGTGACCACTTTTCTTATGCTACCCATTATAAAGTCAAACCACAACGTTATAATAGGGCCTGACTTTAGCTCCAGTGGGCGAGGTATAGGCACAGTCACGATGGGTCGAACAGCCTCCTGTGCAGTAAGGCGTGGGATGTTCTGTCAAGTCTCATTTCTCTGCTTCCAACATGTGTCTCCAGCGTTGGCCTGCTCCCTGACGGAGAGAATATGCAAACTGAAGGAGGAGAGAGCCAGAGAGTACCGGGACATAATGCTGCAGCTCACCCTCACTCCGCACCTGAAAACCATACACATCCCCCGAGCAATGGAGAAAGCCCCATTTCTGCAGGTGGGTCTGTTTCTCTGCATTCCTACAGCGTATGATTTCTTTGGGGGGGGGAGCGGCTCGAGCTATTTTTCAGGTCATTGGTAATAATAATCCTTGCATTTAATATAGCGCCTTATCACGTTGTCGAGACGTCTCAAGGGCTTCACCGAATATATTGTAAAGTGAATTGAATGTATATTTTGTGGCGCAAAACACTGCAGCCAATTGTGCACAGAAGTGTCACGTAAACAGTCGTGGATTCAGTGACCAAATCATTTTTTAAATTTATTTTATTGAAAGGATTATTACCTTCGGAAAAGCGATCCGCCAATTGACTAACAACCAGGTTCCTACTTACTGCTGGGTAAACAGAGTGCTGTGGAGTAAGGTTTTGCCCTTTTTTTAATATTAAAAAAAACTGCTTAACCCGTGTGTCCCAGCATCCAGGCCTGACAGCAGGACAGAAACGTTACCTGTACAGCATTGCTAACATCTACAGTACAGACTGCAGCCGCCGCCTGATGCAGAAACAGTATCTGAGCACGTTACAGCAGCGTGCTCACCTCGGTGAGCCCACACCATTCAACAACAACTTGCATTTATACAGCGCCTATCGTGTTTTGAATTGGGCATCAAAGGAGTCAAGGGAGGGGGACAAGGCGGAGGGGCTCCGAGATAAAGTTCCGGAGGGTGGGTGCGGAAAGGCTAAAGGCCACATGGTGGATGGTGGAGCGGGCAGCGTGGGAGAAGTGGAACAGGCCAGTGCCAGACAAGCGAAAGGAGCAGACACGTTGGTAGGGCTTTAGGAGGTCACAGAGATAGGATTGAGCAAAATTGTGGTGAGCTTTAAAGGTGAGGACAAGGATTTGCAACTCGATCCTCTGAGGGATGGGGAGCCAGTGATGCCATATATAAATAATATATGCTCGCCCATTGTGAATAGTACAGAATGGTACCAGTAATAGTATAGGATGGGACTGTAACCAAGTAATGGTGAGCTGAATATTTTAAACACATCGCTTGTCCACATCAGGATACATCACCCATCGTGAATGCCAGAAGTACACGGACCATCTCCTAAAGCTCAAGCCTCAGAGAGAAAACAAGAGAGCACAGAGAAGCAGCAGCTTCCCAGCTTCTGCAAAGCAGCCAGCGAGATCCATTTTCCTCCCCAGGATAGGGGAAGGCAGTCAGAGGTCAGTGTGTCTTACACCGCTCTCCCCTTCCTTTACCCCTCACTTCTCTCTCTATTGCTAGTGTAAATCCACACAGAGCGTTGAACAAATTAAGCCATTGAGAGCAATATATTATTAGTATCTTAATGCTTTGGAACAATTCAAAGCGTTTTCACAGCAATTACCATCAAGGGTAGCATATGCATTTATGGATAAAAGTGACAGCCCTTTATGTGCACAGCAAAGTCCACAACAGAGAAATAGTCACTCTCAGAAATAACAAGGCAATTGGACAAAAGAGCTGGAGTTAAGGCAAGTTTGTGGAAAGAGAAGAGCGCCCAATCTCTTTTGGTTAAGTTCCCAATAAGAATATATTTTTCCCCCGCCCCAATGTTGCAGGTTACAGTCCGGAGTTCAACCAAGCAACAAGACCAAGCGAGTGCGTGTCAGTTCAGTTACACAGTCACAACCAACAAGAGGTAAGTTGCCAACACTGCTGACTGCTGGGGGGTGGGGGTGGAGAGATACCATTGTGTCCGTTTCTATAATAAATCTACAAGATTCCAGGAAGCATTTTTTCACGCAAACGGTAGAGGAAATCTGGAACTCTCTCCCTCCCCCAAAAGGCTGTAGATACTGAATCCATTCAAATTTTCAAGACTGAGGTGGATATATTTTTTGTTAGCTCAGGGTATCAAGGGATATGGGGCAAAGACGGGTAATTGGGAGTTGAGGTATAGATCTGCCATGATCTAATAGAATGGCGGAACAGGCTCGAGGGGCTGAACAACCTAGTCCTGTTGCTGTGTTCCTAAGTTTAGTTTTGCACACACGTGTACCTAATGTAGTTTTGCAAGACTTTCAAAATCCCAAGCTCTGCGATGTCTTCCTAGATGTGGCCACTTCGACAGAGGAGGAACTCGTGTACTTGATGAGCTGTGCGTCAGTAGAAGAACGGGCAGAGACAACCAGCCGAGAACGGGGTGAAGAGAAGTACGACAAAGGAAAGAGTAAACTGCGTTCTCAAGCTGCGATTTTATCTCATCGTCACTTTGAATGCCAACATTTATAGGGAAATGCTAAACTACACACCCATTAACACGCGCTGGTGCTAACTAGTTCCCCCACCGGAGATTCATACTGAAAAACTTGCACATTCCACAAGCCGCTCGTGAAAACTCTAATGCCCTTTTAATTCAGTGATTGCTCTCTCTCTCCATGTTAAATTTATGACCTGCTGTTACCGATTAATAACCGACAAGAATAATTCTTTTCACAACTTCTCCTTTCAAAAAAAATATTTAATATTTAGGTCCTCTCACTCGTTTTCAAAACCCTTCAATACCCTGGCACCTCCCTACCTCTCCAACCTGCTTACCCCCAACCTACTACCCGATGCCTCCGCTCCATTGGCTCCAGCCTTCCGCACGACTCTCGTCCCTTCCGTTCCACAAACAGTGGCCGCACTTTCAGCCACTATGCCCCAAATCTCTGGAACATTCTTCCTCTATCCCTCCGTCTTGCCCTTCCCACCTCAGGTCATACTGAAGACCTTTCTCTTTGATCATGTCTCCCCCCNTCTCCCCAGCTCGGCGTCAGGCTCTGCCACTATCAAGGCTCTGGGACGCTACCCTGCATGAGGGCACTATATAAATGCAAGTTGTTGTTACTATTTGACAAAAGAAACACTGAATATGCATTGTTAAGCGCTTAGGAGAATGGTTTTATTAGAATTTGTGGGAAGGGAAACATTTTATATAGAGCAACAAAGTTTTAAACACCAAAAAAGGAAACAAAGACCCCTTTGTTAAGTATTTCATACAAATTAAGCACATGATTTTCCAAGCACTGCTCCACTACTTGTAAGCGTAGAAGTATTTACATGACTGAAAACGCATTGTAAATAATGTGGCATTGTTTTGAGCAAGGCGTGTGCCTTGGTGTGCAAGTGTACAATTAGTTAAGTTCCTTTCTTGTGCTGTGCCGGGGATGAACAGTTAATGCTACTAGAAATAAAATACATTGTTTGACTTATGATACACAGAAAGATCTGTTAACGTGCCCTGGGTTCCAACAGGAAACAAAAGGAATAACCTTGTAAAAAAAAGGCCTGGTGGGGGGTAGAGGTGGAATAGAGAAGCTGGTTTAGGATTTTTTGTATTCAATTCTTTCTACTTTCACGTCATCGCCAATCAGCTGATAAACGTAAGTGACTACCGTCGATGCCTGGATATCCATCAATACAAACGAAGGGATGATATTGCTGGAAGAGAGAACAGAGGGGATTATTTTGCGATGTTAGTTTCTAGAGCAATGCGCACACAGACCAGGACATTATGTTAACAGGCCCCAGTCTTTTTTTTTTNACAGCAAATATTTTATAGTAGACATTAAAAACACTAATTTTTGCCAGAGTAGGATCCTGCTGATGAAATTGGGTGCCGTTTTACAGATCGCGGCTGCCAGAAAAATATCTTGCGTGAACACGACTGAGTGAGTGAGGAAGGATTGACAGTAATGCACAGAAAAATTGATTGAAATTTAGAGAATAGAGACTCGCCATTATGTAGTTAATAGTCCAGCCTCTAGATTCGGAATGAAAGTGCTTTTTGACAACTCAACTGTGGGGGATCGTGGTGCAAACAAAACTAAACACCAGCACCTCCAGTGAGAATGCTCCTATTGCATTTAGTGCCACCTGGCGGCAAGAAACGACGACAACAAATTACATTTGTTATGAAAGTGCCTTTCACGTTGCGAGGATGTCCCAAGGCGCTGTACGAGCAGCGGTGACATTTTGCCCTTTGAGTAAAACGTCTGAAAGGCCGGCTCTCCGACAGCGCTCACCTTTCCAGTGCGTTGTATGCCCCCGTGGCTGAGCCCGGGTTGATGTAGAACTTGCTCTCTTGCTCGAAGGCCTCGAACTTGTGCGTGTGCCCGGAGATGAGGATGTCCACATCCAGCTGGCGCTGTAGCAGTGCCAAGCTGGCCATGTCGCCCCAGGGAATGACCTGGTGCCCGTGGATCAATCCGATTTTAAACTGCCCCACAGATACCACCTTCTGCTCAGGGTAATTCAGGTTCTGAAACAAAAGGCCCAAAGAATAGATCACGTCCTTCACCTGGAACGGATGACTCAAGCAAGAACAAAATATAAAGTCAATTCACTTTACAGTATATTCTATGAAGTGCTTTTGAGACGTCTTGGAAGACGTGATAAGGCACTATATCAAATGCAAGGATTACTATTACAGTAACTTCTGGCAAGGGTAATGCAAAACAAAGGATGGAGAAACAGAAACGGCAACAATTGCTTCTGTACTCCAAGGTCGAGGGCTGCAGCGGTAACAACTTACCCAGTGTCTAGCCAAGAACTGGAGAAATACAAGTCTGTAACAGATAGATTGCCATCCTGAAAAACAGGGAGCTACAGTTCACCTTTGAAGATATCATTAAAACAAGTCAGGCAAATTTCCCCCTCTCTCTCCAGTTAGGCTGACACTCCACCAAGCCTATCCCATTAGGATTTGGCATTTCCATGAGGGTAGGCAGGAAGGTGGATGGAGGGGAGGGATTTTTTTTTAGCAAGCTAAAATACGAAACAATGTCTAAAAAGACGGTGCTTACCTCATCAAAGTCACCTCTGACAATGTGGACATCTGCAGCCAGCGTTTTAAGGTAGTCGTAGCTCTCTTTGGTGCAAAGGTTGCCCGTACACAGGATGTGCTGGATCTTACCCGGCACCAGCAACTTCTTGAACTTGGCTGGCAGCGTGTTGCAGCGATGGGGGATGTGAAGGTCTCCTAATACCAGCACCAACTTCAGAAGCGGTGGAGACAGACAACAACGAACAACAAATCAGTTTGGCTCACCACAATTCACATCCCGTCCCTCCTGTACTACCAGAGCATTTTAACAATAATTGATGTTCTAAGCAGCAGAACTTAATGAAAAATCTGCTGAAGCAGGAGCCGGGATTATAAATTGGTAAATCATCATCATCCTGAATGGCACACGCTCACGCGTGTCTTTAAAGGTATTTAAACAGCATCCAGACAGATGTTTGCCGTTTGTGGAAAAGCAATGAGCAGATTGTGGGGTTCATTCATTCCTTGTACAATAAAGCACAACCCTCCCCTACTTGGTCCCACTCTTTTACATAGCCTTATGTAATGTAGATCTATTTTCTCAAATTCTATCTTAATTCTGTTCTACATGATGAAACTTACCTCTTTACCCTTCCGACCAACAAAGTAACACAACTCTGATGAGACTGATTAACCAAAAAAACAATCTATTACCATCTTGACTAAAGGTCTGCAACTCTCAAAACATATTCTGATTAGGATACAAGTTCATTCCCCCACCCACCCCCAAATTACTTGAATTTACTTTAAGCATCCTAGAAAACACAGCTTTTAATGAAAAGACCGGTTTTTAATTTCTCCCAGCAGGTTATGAAATTGAAACAAACGTTTGCTAATAACTAGATGTTGGGAAGTGGAAAATGCAGTCCAGGTCTTGCACCACAAATGTAAACTCTAAACAAGACTTTTTATTTGAAACAGGGTTAGATTAAGCAAATGCAAGCACACGGTTAGCAGGAATATTTACAAGGCAATAGCGAAAAGTGAAGAAAATATATCACTCCATAGCCTAAAGTAACTGGCCTCAACTCAATATATATGCGCTTATCTGCTCTGGTTGACAGTTTGATATAAACCAGCCAGACAGTAAGTAATTCAAACAGATCTGTTGTCACAGGTCATTCAATCAATTTTTTAAAAATTAAACAAGCCCCCAAAATTCATTAGATGTTTGGTAGGCTTGTTTACAGTGTTTTACAGTGTTTCAAGATGAATGTGGAGCAAAGGAAAGAAAAGAGACAGAACAGGATGTTTTGCTATTGATTGAACCACCCATTGCAGAAACCAATCAACCTTAAAGATGATAGTTTCATGGAAGATGTTTTAGAAGCAGAATGAAGGAGTAGATATTTGTAAAGTAATAGTATTGATGGATTCGGAGAGTAAAAAAGACCAGAAATAGAATTTGAAAGACAAAGAGCTGATGTGAACTGGGTCACAGATTTGTTCCCTAACCAATATTAGAAATCTACAAATCCATTTGGAAATCTGTTTGAATTAGGCCTGCAAGTTACAAGCTATAAACTGTACTAACTGTTAGGGTCTTGACACCACCAATGAAAAGCTAGTTGAGAGAGTAACTTACACGGTGACCAGCCTTAACGAAATAGAGGTTGATTGTAGACAGGTGAAAATTAAAAGAAAAACAAAAGCTTTTAACAAAATCACCAGAAAAAAAAGAATCAGAAAATCAACTCGCTATAAATTTCAACAAGAGGCCTACACAAAAGCATAACCTGGACAAAACTTTCCACAGTTAAAATATCCAACATTATGGCCATGTAATTTTGGACACCTTTTTAATCTAGATTTATTGTTCCATTCTTCAGCGACCAGCTTGAAAGGTTTTACCCAAACCATCTTATTTATTGAAAAATGGCTCCATTATAAAATCTAACCTCCTACTTTTCCCTGAAAAAATCCTCCCAATTTTCTGCACACTCAAGACTTCAAAATGAGCAGATTTTATTAATTTGCCATCTTGCAACATTGAATTACCCACGAATGGTAAACAGCATTTGACACAGCATAGAAACAGGCCATTCAGCCCAGCCAGTCAATGCCTGGTGCTTGTCAGCCTCAACCCCTCCTAACCCTCAAGCTGTATTGCGACTCTATTCCCTTTGCCCCCTAACATCATGCAAACTATACCTAATAATCATAAATAATCCGTGCCCTCCATATAGCACCTTATAGCCATTAAGACGTCTCAAAAGTGTTTCACAGGATACGCTGTAAAGTGGATCAACTGTGGATTTTGTGGGCGAACAGCAACATCTCATTATGTGTTGGCTATGTGGGTGCTACGCAGACACACACACACACACGCACGCACACAGGAACCCATGTAAACATTGGCAACGAATCCGAATTAATTAATGGGGGAGGGGGGAGGGGGTTTATGTGGGACCACTCATCAATGTCAGTATTCCAGATTCAAGAATAAGTGGATGGAGGCGACAAGATTTTAGTCCGACGGTGTATCCCGTGAGGCGCTTTTCGAGAACAGCTCTCAACGGTGTGTGGGATAAGGCGCTGTCTCTAAATGCAAGGAGGATGACTATCATGGGTGCTGGTGGGGGTGGGTGGGGTGGGGGGGGGGGGGTGGTGGGGGATCATAGGTGTGACTCGAGACATTTTTTTTTAAAAAAAAACCCCAAACGGTTGGAAAAGGTGGGCAAAGCACCCGGGGAAAGCCAGGGACACAGGGCCCTGGGCTGGGTGAAGGGCCCCAGCCTCCCCCACCCACCCACCCACCCACTATGTGCTGCCCTTGGAGAGAGAGTTTGGGGGGGAATGGTGTGTGTGTGTGGGTGTGGGTGCGGGTGGGTGGGGGGGTGCGGGTCATGTGACCAGCGCTAGGCCGCAGGCTCCGAGTGACCGACCGACCTGCCGCCAGGCCCCAAACCCCGGCACCAGTTTCTGTGGTATCCCCCCACCCCGCCCGCCCGCTGACGGCTCTCCGCATCGCTCGTCACGCGAGAAGAGCCGCTGACTCACCATTTTTTTTTCTCCTTTATTTCCCCCGCTATCCGCCACAAGCGGCGGCTCCTCCTCCTCCTCTTCCTCCTCACCACCACCACCACCCGAGACAAGAGCGCGAGCGTCCGGGGCAAACCGCGGCGTGAGGCGACCAATCGGATGCCTGACTCAGGTCCCGACGGCAGCCGCCCGCGGACACATCCAAGAGGGGGGGGAGGCGCGGGCGGGCGGGGCGGGGGAGGGGGGGAAATCGCGTTTTTCGCAACTTCCCTGCAAATAGCTCGCTGCCCCGCCCCCCCCTCTCCGCACCACCCCCCGCAGCCTGCGTGCTTCCTGCGTGTCGCTAACTGCCGGAGCGGAGCGCCTCCTCGCGGCGGTCGCTGCAGTCCCGCTCGCTCTCCGGGGCGGGCGGGTAGACTGGACAGCTTCGGACGCCGACGCCGGCAGCGCTCGCTCGCGCACCGCTCACGCCACGCACGCCGCGCGCGTTTCAAATTCCGGGGAATAACGGTCGAGGGGCGGGGCGATGCCAGGCGGCCCGGACCATCAGGGCGCGTGCGCAGAGGCAGCCCGGGAAAAAACGCGCCTGCGCAGGGCGCCGACCGGGCCTGGCGCCGACCGGGGCACGCGGTTACGTCCCCCAACAGGCGGCCCGGAGAAAAGACCCCCGGCGTCGAAAAGGCGGCGCCTTTCTTTCAGGGAGAAAATACACACGTCCGACTGCGGAGGAAAGGGCAGGTCTTGACCTTGGCCCGAGCTCCGAGAGCGCAGAGGAAGACATCCAAGGGGCGGGGCGGGGGGGGGGGGGAGGGGAGGAGGAAGAGGAGGAGGAGGAAGGTGGGGGAGACAGCCGCCATGAAGTGCGTCATCCCGAGGAACAACCTGCGAGGTAACGGCCCCGGGAGAGGGACGGCGCGCGCCGCGCTTACCGGTTAACCCGCCGCCCTGGGTCCACCGGTCAGTCGCCCGTGGGGAGGTCGGCGGCGCTCCACCTCAGCACCGCACCGGACCGGACCGGACCGTCAGCCCCCGAACCCCGTCGCGGGGGGCTCGAGCCCGCAACCTTGCGGACTCGCGGTCCCGGGGCCGCCGCTGTGAGCCGAGCCGGGCCGCCGGGTTAATTGTGAGCGTATCGTCAGTTAATTCTACCTAACGGCACTTTACAGCGTTTGCAAAGGCAATCCAAGCCCTCTCCAGAGTTGGCGACGAGCTGTGGTTCGATCCTTTAGAGAAGGGGGTGAGTAAGCCGCCAGTTTCCCTACCGAACCGTTTTCTTTACAACAGCAACAACAACAACATACGTTAAGACAACGGAGCAGGAAGAATTAAAGTGCATTCTTGCACCTGTAACAGGTTTGTAAACCTGGCCCCAATGCATTCAGCTCAACTGAGGCGTTAAAGGCAAAGGAATCTTGAGTCACCTTTCCACGTGCACTTTTGAATTTTCCTCTCATTAAATAGGGCAAAACAGGAGAGCGGCTTGAGTTCTGACGGAGGTTCGCGGACCCGGAACGTTGACTCGCTTTCCTTTCGCCATAGATGTGGAGTCCTGTAGCTCAGCGGTTAGAGCACTCGCTTTGCGAGCGAGAGACCTGAGTTCAATTCCAGACACAGGGCGAAACCTTGGGCAAGTTTCCTTACTCCACACACAGCCCTAATAATAATCCCTCCAAAACCAAAAACGATAATAAATTGGTCATTTTCAATCTACCACTGTTTGTGGGACGCTGCTGTGCGCAATTGGCTGCCGCGTTCGCCCACAAATATACAGTCTATTCACTTTACAGTGTGTTCTGTGAAGCGCTTTGGGATGTCCTCCTGGCATGAAAAGCGCTATATCAAATGCAAGGATTATTATTATTATAGATGCTGCCCTGACCTGCTGAGTGTTCCCCAGCTCTCTCTGTTTTTGTTTCAGTTTCCGCCATCTGCAGTGTTCAGAGCAGATTAAATAAAGTCTCTCTTCCTCATCTTGAGTTTGAAACATCTAGTAAAACCTATTTAACCTTTTATATCGAAGAACGTGAATCGTATATATTTATTTTAGCGCACGCGCCTCGCAAGCGACACAACCCAGGTTCGATACTGGGGCGGGGCGAAACATTAGGCAAGCTATTTACTCCACACCTCTCTGTTTACCTAGCAGTAAATAGGAATCCGGTTGTTAGTCGAGTAGCGGATCACTTTTCCGGGGGTAGTAATCCTTTTTTTAAAAAAATGTGCTCATTCAATCCATGACTGTTTGTGGGACACTGCTCTGCGCAATTGGCTGCTGTGTTTTGGCCACAAAATATTCAGTCAAAATATACAGTATATTCTATGAAGCGCTTTGACACATCTCGAAGACGTAATAAGGTGCAATATCAAATGCAAGGATTATTATTATTATTATTTCCTTCTCTTGCAGCTTGCTTTGAGATCAGTGAGTTCCTCTGGGTCAGCATACGCCTGCTTCTTGTTTTCTCCACTCTTCTTCCAGTATTATAATAGGGAGAGCAGACCCCAGCAAGACGCAAAAGAAAATGAAGTTGTGGGCCTGAAGTGTAAAGTGGCAATTAAGGTAGCATTTAGTAGTTCATAACCTGAAGACTAATTGATAGGTCAAAGAGATACAATTGTTCTTGTGATATTGAAATTACCCTGAGATCTGGATCTGGATTATTCTATTGCAGGTTTACCGATTTCCATTTGGGGAGTTTAAGTTGATTTAAGTTGACAATTATATACTGTGTCATGTCAGTTTTATTGATAAAGTATGGCATCAACAGAACATTTATTCTGAGCTGTTTGCTTTTTTTAAAAAAAAAGGTACCTGCCCTGTATTCTTCTATTTTTATGTCTGTGTTCAAAGCTGAGACTTTCAGCTGTGTAGCAGGGACCAATTTTATTTGGGGGATTTGTTTACCCCAAATAAAAGGACCCCACAGGAGAAATTTCCTTTTCGAATAAAGCCATGGGATCTTTAACGTCCACCTGAACAGGAAGATGAGACCTTGGTTTAACATCTCATCTGAAGGATGGCATCTCTAACAATACAGCGGACCCCCAGCACTGCATTGGAGTGTCAGCTAGACTATATGATTCCAAGTGTCGACATAGGGCTTGAACCCTTCTGACTCAGACGTGAGAGTGTTACCACTGAGCCAGGCCGACTCACATGTTTTGCTGTATCTGGCAATCAACCTGAGAATGAATTGTCATATTCCAAACAGTGCTTGGTCAGTTTTAATGACATTATTGGAACTCAAACAAGAGTTGATAAATGGCAGACCTCCATCGCACTGCTTATTTGAGGCAAACATTTGCCAGGCCTGCTTGTGCCATCTGGCTGGCTGGCAATTTTGAATATTTAAAAATATGATATTCTTTCTTACAGCATGTTCTCCCTATGTTTCGATGTCTAACTGCATTGGAGAGAAGTGTGGAAAAATGCAAGATTTACATCAATTCACAGAACTGTGGTATAATTTTCCAGTTCTTCTATAAACATGGTAGGAAAATGTTTTTACGGGAGAGAGGTGGGGGGATTTATTAAGTAACAGTTAAACAAAGGATCTAAACCAATGTTCTGTATAAAGCAAGAAATACAAACAATCGTATTTGCTAAGTGGTCACTAAATTCAAGGCATTTCAGGATTACAAGTACTGTACTGTTGTACTCTGTCTGCACATTAGGAAGTATTATAACACATTACAGTCCAGGGGTGGTACCTACTTTGGAGAATGCAAACATTTCCAATGTTAAATCTGTTCCTTTCATAGTTTCATAGCAAATCGTAGAAGGATTTATGTTATGTCCTTTTGTCTGCCTGAAATGTACAAAGCATAAATGCTGAAAGAAAGCTTGCTATTTGATTTATGTCTGCTGGTAATCAGTGTGGGCTCTGTTTTCAGTCTTGGGACAAACAGGAATCTTTACTCGAGTTCTACCAATGTAGTAGATATGTTCTTATTTATATTTTAAAGATGAATCACTGTTAGAGACTATAAAAGGAAATGTATTTGTTGTAAAACTTTCCTCTAAGAACAGTTCAGACAGTTAGGAAATTTCTAACTAGGACACAAATATTGAATATTTACTTAACAACACGTACCCACCATTTATTATTTTGTTTTCAGTTGAACATTTATTAACAAAAATGATCTTTGCAGCTCACAGCAGTGAAAACAACACTAAAAAAAAGTTTTGCTTTTCGTAACTATTGGGTCAATTTTTTCAAATATTGTCAAAATATTACTTACTCGCTGTATGACCAAACAGAGAAATTAATTTCTTCTCACTCCTTTTATTAGTTTGGGTGGGGAGGGGACATAGATTTTCTGTCTATTTTGCTGTCCCCTCATAATTTAAGTTAAAGATGTCCTTTGAAAAGTTATAATTTTGTCCCTTTTCTTTTTTTGACAGGAATTACTATAGCTCACAAACTGGTTTTTCAGGAGTGCGAACCTCTGCAGGCTGTGTTTTCCAAGCAACTCAGCCCAAATATAGTAAGAGCTCATGCAAGGTAAGGGCGAATTGGGCACCTTTCCCAATGGGAATGCATTTTATCATTGAAATAAATTAACTCTGTAACAAATGGGTGGTGGGACAGAACAAATCTTAAACAACAATAATAATATAACAAGATGTGTTTTACTTTTTTTAATTAAAAAAAGACTTCTGGCTGATGTAGCAATTCATTTCCCAATGTCTCAAGAGGAAATTACTTTGGTTATGACTCCTATGAAGGCTTCATTCAAGAGTTATGTAGAAGAAGACAGAGGTATGTCAACTCAAACCAAAGACAAAGCCAATTTTATATCTCCGTTAAGCAAAAGAGATGACCAAAAATAAACTTAGCTTTTTTTAAAAAAGGAAAAATTGCAGTTTTATTTTAAATTTGGGAAATCCATTTTTTTCCCCTTTATATTCATGTCACTCACTCCCTTCCTGCGATCCACGCCATTCTCTCTCTACACCAAGGCAGTGAGCAGATGACACTGTGTACAGGCCTTTGCCTGAATTGCTCTCAATCCTGATTCTAAACGGTGCACAAAATGGACACCTTTGCACCATACCTATGCTACACTGCCGAGTATAACCTAGCCAATGTGAGTGGTAGATGCTTTTGCTTACACTGACTGTATTGTGCACCAGCCATTACCACATGGTGGAGCATCACTCATATGCATTGCCATTATCTTTGTTTTCCGATCCCAAAATAAATTGAAGAGCTTATTTCTGTAATGTTTTTCAAAATTAACTTTTCATTTGAGATAGCTGCAATGGAAGAACAAATGATGGAACAAATGATCTCTTGCTATGCTGAGGTGGGCTGGTCCACAAGTCATAGGTAGTCTGAAAGGAATAGGTTTGATAGCTCTGTGTCTTCTTATTTGGTATTCCCTTTGAATAGTTGGTACAGTATTCATTTTGTTTTACAGACCCTTGGCTTTTATTTGGAGTAATTATTTCCTTGTTTTAACATGCAGATCCTGCAAAGGTAATGCAAACTGTGGTGAACCTAAAAGCTGATGAATTCGAGTACCTTCAGGTTGGAGTTGATTCAGAGATTACCTTTTGCTTGAAGGAGCTAAGGGTAAGGACATTTTTATCACCGCGGTCATTAAATAAAGCCACTTCTCACGTCTGGTTAGAATTTTTTTTACAGTAATATTAGTTTGTGTTTGTTTTAGTGTATTATTAAACTATTAATAATCATTATAACTTTAAAAGACAGGGTTGCAGTTTTCCTGGACCTCCTGTCATTCAGATGTTTCAAACAACTTTCAAATCAAAAGCATTCAGTTGTTATTGGCAACTTGATGTTTCCCTTTACATCTGAACTGTTGCACAGTATGAAGTCAAGGTTGAAAATATTGGGTCAATCAGATAACATGAGAAGCACATGGACAATATTCAACCCATTACTTCATTGAAAGGGCTGTCAGTGAAAGCCGCAAGAACAAAATAAATGTTGCAATAAAAAGGTCGATGTTAAGGGAATTGTATTCACGAGAGTGTTACTGCAGTCAGGGATCCATTACTTGTTAAATTTTAAAATATTGCTGTTTGTAATCAAGATCAATTTGGATTTACTTTAAGTGACTCATCTTCTATTTAAACCTGAAGTAATATAATGCTGACCTTTTAGCATTCAGAAATATAATCCATTATCCAAACCCAGGCTGATTGATTTTATGTGACACGTCTATGGTAACTCCATCACAAACTTGTCAGTCTCCGTGGAACACATCTTTCTGCATATAGAATCACTTATTACTTAAATGTGATTTTAGTAGAATGTAATTTTCTACACTTAACTGTGGAAAAAAACCCTCAATTTTGGTGAAAATCACTCTTACGATTCTTCCTTTTGTATTTGTTGTGTATTGGAAAACATACTCAGCGGCCAGATACTGGGACTGTTGCAGGTCTAGGTCTTCATCGTGGTCTAAGCTACCGCAATAGTTTTTGAGACGTCTTTCTAGCCTTGTTAGATGACTCTGTTTGCAGCTTGTTGTTACGTCACCTAATATACAGAAGAAAAAAATCTAGTAGAGCAGTGATTTATGTAATAATCCACAGCACAACCTATTTTCATATATTTTTGCAGATTTGATAGTTTGTCATATTATTTTGAGTATAAACAGACTTGCATGTTATTACGTTATAAGGTTGCAGATTGTTTTTTTTGTCATTTTAGGGTCTACTAGCATTTGCAGAATCTACCAGCTTTTCTGTGTCAATACATTTTGGAACGGCTGGGAGGTAAGGTCTCTTCTCCTCAGTCAATTTTTATTGCAAGAACTGCAATTAGGAAATATGTAAGCACTAGTTTGCGAGGAAAAGGTGACTATACTCTGTACTATTACTCACTCTGTGTTGGACTCTGGCTTTACTATGCCAAATTATATTCATTCTGTCAATTTAATAGTTCAACTCAGCTGAAAGATTTTCAATCTCATAAATAAATCTTTCCATTCACAGTGATTTAATTCTACGTTGACAAATAAGATTGAAATTCGCAAATTGGTTCTTTTTTAAAACACAACCATTGCCACCAGACAGTACTTTTGTGAAATTGTAATTAATTTCTTTCCTGCTGTTTATAGGCCAGTTGCATTTAGTATTGATGATCTGGTGCTGGAGGCTAACTTTGTGCTGGCTACATTAGCTGATATAGAAAGCCGCACATCCTCACAGCATACTCAGAACATCAGGAAAACCTTTACCAATAAAAGGTACACTATAGGTACAGCACGATCTAACCCAACTCTCCGCTCGCAAAGAAATCTTGTTTTCATATTTTGTTCTTACATGGCCCGAAGCCTATGCATTGTTATCTTCCATGTGGTGCATTTTCTTTTAAGTGACGCAGGTAAATCATAATTGTGAAGCGATTTATATAATGTCTATTTACTTCAGACTTAAATCGTGTACTGAACATCACACACACAAAAATAAATTCACTCTTGCACAGATATGCTCTTAAAAAATACATACAGCATTGTGTCGGTGTTACAGCAATACTTTACTGATCTTATGAATCAAATAAATGATTTACAAGAAGTCACTGCATTTGACAATTACTGTAAAGCACTTTTAAGACATTAACATGAAGCTGCTATAAAATGAAAACTTTTTTTTACAATGCTACTCCTTATACAACTAGGTGCCTTCAGCAGCCTGGCACTCTCTCCCACCTTTTTGTTAAACACGACTTGCTTATTCTTGTAGGAATCAGCTTTTATAGTGATCTGTTCCTTTTATATTAGTACTTTTTTCTTCCACTTAACATAATACATATTTCCCCACTGATTGACTCCACTCCATTGCAGCCGCTGCCATTCATTATTACTCATTATAAAATGGTAATCGATCATCATGATTCACTTGTTCTTCAGTTGTGCGCAAGTAATGTAGAGTAAAGATGTCTATTAGTGACCTGGTATAACATGTATTGATTAATTCACCACAGCGCAGACCCAACAAGTAATGAAACAACTGATGACATGAATGAAGTGGTTCATGAAGAGAGGAAAGAACCCGGAGCAATTGTGGGAAATCCATTACAGAAAAATATACAGCATCTGGTGGAAATCTGCAGAAGCCCAGTAATTAATAGAAACCTGGCAGAAAATACTCATGAATTCCCTGTACCAAATGAGGATTTAGATAGGTTAGAAAACAAAGTGATGCCTGGAACTTCACCCCGCAAAAAGCAGAGGTAATATTAAATGTTCGAGTGTCACTTCAGTAGTGTGCACAACTCCAATGTTGGTATAAACTGTTAACACCTTAATTTATCAAACGTCTTTCAGAAGTGATGCCAATAATTCACCAACATTGATTACTTCTAGATAAATCACCAAGCACACTTAGTCTAAAGGATAAAATCAAGTAAAGATCTCTTGACCTTCATTATATTAAGTAACAATGAAATTAAGCTTTGCTTTTTTAAACAACATCAAACAGGTTACTTCAGGGGCATCAACAGTTACCTTCCAATGTTGCAGCAAACCTAGCCTCAACTTATCTAACTTGCCTGGTTTGCCTTCCCTGTGTAAAAGTGCCTCCCCAATATTCTGTACCCATCTCAAGAACTGATTTTAAATGGGAAATCAGTTCAGTGGGAAACAGTGAAATGCTGCACCTCCCAACAAATATTTAAGTAGCAGAACTACATGTGGAAAATTCATTTTGTATGTTAAAAAAACTAGCTCATGAGTTTTTTTGTTAAACTGTCACAATTTGTATTCTCTCTCTTACAAACAAGCAGTTATGCTCACTGTTCTTCGGTGCCATTTCATCTCAGCATCAGAAAAGCTTGAATAATGAAACTTTGATGAGTTTGGCAGCTGATAGTGACAATGAAGAGGAGCTAAAGAAAGGAGAATGCAAGCAGAGATGCAGTAAAAGCTGCAGTAATATTCAACTTGCCAGACGGTATCGCCATCCGGAACACTGATCCGAAAGGTAGTTTACCTGGATAACACACCAAGGTATCTTACAAAAGAGATACTGCATTTGAGTGTGGGAAACAAGATTTCACTATAGGCCAATTAAGTATTTTTCATTGAGTTGTGAAACAGTTGACAAACCAAATGGGCGTGGAATGGCTTACCTTAGAGCACCACAACTATTTAAATGAGTATTGTTCAGTAAAACCAAAAGACTTATTTATGTAATGAAATACAGAATGTGTATTTACAATCAGCAATTTGTGGGCATTACACAGTCACATTTACCAGGCTTTTAAAATTGCAATAGCTCCAACAGCCTAAGTTGTGCAATGTTTTGGGTTCCAGTAATAAACTTTTACATGCTTGGCAGTAAAAAAAATTACAGGAAGTCTTTTCAAAATGTAATTGTGTTAAAACTTGTTAATACACTAATACTCAATTTTTGCAGATCAATTTTCATAATAGTAATAAAATTAGCCAAATGTATGGTAGTTTAGACATGGCATTGTTTTCTGAGTGTGATGTTTTGATTATAAATAAAATTATGATCGAGGCAGTTCATTGATATTGGTCATTTGTTTTTCTTCACCAATATATTACTTTCTAATGTGTGTTCTAGGGAGATCTACCACTCCATCATTCACAACAGGTAAATGAGATTAAACAGAGTTAGGTAGGGTAGTAAACAGTGAGAAGGATAGCAGCCAACTGCAGGAAGATAGACAGAATGATAAAATGGGCAGACACATGCATAGCAGATGAATTTCAATGTGGAGAAATGCAAAGTAATGCATTTTGGTAGAAAGAATGAGGGGAGGCAATATAGGCTGGTAATACAATCTTAAGGGGGGTAAAAGAACAGAGAGACCGGGGGTGCAGGTAAATGAATCCTGGAAGGTGGCAGGACAGGTAGATAAAGCTGTCAAAAGGGCATATATGATACCAGGCTTTATAAATAGGGGTATAGAGTACAAGAGTCAGGAGGTTATGATTAACCCATATAAAACCTATATAAAACACTGGATAGGCCTCAGTTGGAATACTGCGCCCAGTTTTGGGCACCGCACTATAGGAAGGATGTTAAGGATTGGAAAGGGTGCAGAGGAGATTTACGAGGATGGTACCAGGAATGAGGGACCTTGATTATGAGGAAAGGCTGGAGAGGCCAGGATTATTCTCATTGGCGCAGAGGTTACAAGGAGATCTAATAGAGCTCTTCAAAATCATGAGGGAATTTGATAGGTTAGAGAGGTAGAAACTGATTCCACTCGAGATCACAGATTCAAAATAGTCTCTGAAAGCAGAGGGGAGGTGAGAATTTTTTTTTCACGCAGCGAGTTGTACGAACTGGAACGCATTGCCTGAAAGGGAGGTCGAGGCCAATTCGATAACTACATTTAAAAACGCGGTGGACGGGTATTTGAGGAGGACGGGTTTGCAGGGTTATGGGGAAAGGGCTGGGGAGTGGGACTGACATTAATTGCTCTATTCAAAGAGCCGGCACAGACTCGATGGGCCGAATGGCCTCTTTTTGTGCTGTACGATTCTATGATTCTAAGGGTAGCACCAAGATAATGGCAATACCCAATCCCTTCCTTCTGTGTTGTAAACTTACCGATTCTTATAATTCACCAAATTGGATGAAATAAAATAACTCATTAGTATAAATACTATAGAATTTTATTAAATATATCATCTGTACAGCTTTGCAACAAACATATGTACATTACTATTCTTGCATTTCTATTTACCCTACAGTTAAAGCAGATGTCAGTCACACAACTTACTCTTACATGACCAAAAACGTCAGCTTTCATTTTGAGATGGCGTATATCTTCTCTAGATTACTGTATATACTAATTTTCTCTGTGTTGCATTCTCCAAAAAACAAGCTAACTGAATAAAGAGGTTTAAAAAGTATGGAACTTAAATGTTACTGATATTGTCAACTGGACTTTTACTCTCTCCATCCCCCCAAAGACCCTCTATCAAGGTTCTACCAGGACCAGTCATCTTGCCAAGGTGCTCATTCACTTGGAAGACATCAAGTTGTTTGACCTCAGTGGACGTCATAGCCAAGCCCAATCTTTGACTGCTCGATGGCATGCTCACCCCTGGGTCAAACAGTCAAGGGTTCAAGCCCCATGTTGGGATTGGAGTTCGAATCTAGTCTGACATTCCAAAGCCGACCTGGAGGAACACTGCATTGTTAGAGGTGTGACCGATTAACAGCACGTTAAACCAAGTCTTCCTGTTAAGGTGGATGTTAAAGATCCCACAATTCTATTCAAAGGGAGTTTCTGCCATTTTCCAGGCCAACAATCCTCCATTTAAACTGACCGTTGGCTGTTTGTGGGGTCTATTGTGCAAAACTGGGTTGCACATTTGCCGATTTTAAAAAAAAAGTAAATTTCACCTGTAAAGCACTTTTTGAGACATATTGAAGTTATCAAGCGATATATCAAATATAAGGAATACGAGTAGTCCTCATCCCATACGCTTTCCAGCAAAGGGGATACAATACAATATTACATTTGTGTAGTGCCTTTCGCGTTAGGATGATCCAAGGCGATGGATGAGATCACATGAAGAATCTCAGGTTGCTTGCTTATCCTCCTTTCTTGGCTTGGGTGGCAAGGTAACTGCACAAACTGCAGTTAAGACCAACATAAAGCCCAGCAAAGACTGATTTCAACCTGCAACCTTTGGTTCTGTATGGCTTAGCTTCGCATCTTTAGCAAATGGGCGAGGCATCAGGGTGCTTGGCTTCTTTAAGGAGTTAGCTTGCTGTGCAGTTTATTACCTACAGAATATTATCTAGGATCTGTAAACAAGCCTGTGTCTAACTACTTTTATTTGTGCGCAAGCAGCTTTTTTTTAAAAAAAAGAACACAGAGACTTGGCTCCAATCGAGCATAATCTCTCAGAAACATAGTAGTGCATTGTGGAACAAATCTAAAATAACACACAAACCCAGAGCAGAACCACAAACAAGTTTCAGTACAGTATTGCTCAACTAATCGGTGTAGTTTTTTTTTGTGTGGGTAGCAGGATAGAAGAGGAGAAAGCTAGTTCTGGTCTTTGGTGTGAACTCAAGCCCGACAGAAAGATTTGAAAGGGAACAGTTCTGTTGTGAATGATATAATTGCATTGAAATTTTAAACTTTACAATCCAGCATTTTTAGCCTGGCAAACAGTTTGAGTTTGATTATTTTGATCTGCCGACTTAAAAACTACTTTGCACTTAGACCCAGTTGTACAAAAATATAAACTTGACCATTAAAGTTCTTAAAGTAGTCTAAACATTGGTTTGGAGCATAAATAAGGCCTCACTGTCAAAGCCACTTTAGCTTTCTGGTAACACGCTGGAGAGCTTCAGTGTGTACAATTAATTTAAAAAAAACTAACATGAAGCAACACTGAATATTGAAAGCTGAAATAAGCTACTGTTATTTGGGCATTGCATTGGGTAAATCTGTACCAAAATTCTGTTCTACAATTGTTAAAGTGTCTAAAGTAAAATTCAGTGCATACAGATAGTCAAACCCAGTAACTCTGACAAATCTGAAATCACTAGAAAGGAAGACACTGACTGGCATTTTGAAGCTCTTGCATCCACAGAAACCAACACTTGTAGGATTTCCAATATTTAATGCAGCGATTTGAAAGACGGAAAAAACATGGATTGCTGTAGATCGAGCCATGGAATACGCTGCTTTTAGGCAAAAAGTTCTGTGCTTTTAGTACAAACCTGCCAAAGAATTGTCCCATATGGATTGTTTTAGTAACCCCTTCCCACCAAATTTGATAAAGCCTGCGACTTTTCAGAATAATTTCATGAGGCAATAATATATAAGTCACTGGAACTGGATTGGAAGCTTCAAGCATCTATACTGTCTGCCAGCCACCAAAATACTGGATACATCAAAAGAAACAATTGTGCTTCAAAAGCATTCCGAGCCAAAACAAAGATTAAAACCAATATTCAAAACGGGCAGTGAATCTTTGAGCATAAGTACATATAATTTCTGTCAAATCAGGAATACGAGTACAAAATTATTGTTTTACATGCGACTAACTCAAAATATAAAATGAAATGCCTATTACAAGCATGATGTTCATTTAAATAGTAAAACGACATGTACACAGTACATGTAAAAATAACTTAAATTAACAGTTGTGCTAATATACAGTACAGCTAGGATGAAACATTAGAAAATCTGACTTTGTACACGAGTAACTTTAACATTAAAACAAAATCTCTCAAAATAAGTTACCTGATTTTTATCATTTAAAAAGTTAAAACATGGCTTTAAATAACTCCCCGAGGGCTATATGTTGAAACATTTCTGACACTGTCGTTCCCTACTTAAGAAACTATCCAGAGAAGTCTAGATAATTAACCCCATGAAGTTCTCGGCACACTTAAACTGGCAGGAACACTGACCAGTTAGGACATTAGAGGTCAGCGATTATGTTATCAACCCAAAAGTTATTACGTTATACGGATTGGGTGATAGCTATGTATGCAAATCTTTAATGATTCTCAGAGAATTTCTACATTGCTCAAATAAAGAAAATTCTGCAGGTTCAAATTTCCATCAGTGGTTACAATCCCGCTGCCCCTCTTCCATGCATGTAAATGGCATCATTAATTTAATGACCAAAAAAATCTTTCAATTTCCATACGCCTTACAGACCAACTTTCCTTTTGGATCTCGAATTACTGACCTATTAAAGTACCATAGTACTGGTAGAAGAGATTGGTTTTCTATTTCCCATGAGCAAGGGTGTGTGATAGATAGAATTTAAGAAAAATTTTCTTGCTAGCAGAAACAAATGAAAGTAGTGGTTTTCAGCATTAAATATTTGCAGTAACTGAAGTGGATATTCGCCTCAGCAATGGCTGGCCTTTGAGACAAGTTATAATTCGGAAAACCAGGTCCTGCCAGCAGGACACAGTGGAATAAGATATCTAGTTTTAAGTGTCCATGCCTTTGAAACTGCTAGTCTGTATATTCTGCTACTATTGACAGTAGAACAGTGATGTCATCTGGTTTACCTCCTGGAGAGAGAGAAAAAAAACAAAATTAGTCATTTGCAAAGCGAATTAATTCCATAAGAACAGGCTTTGTTCTGATCATATCTAAGTATTTGCTTCATCTCAAATCACAAAACAAATATTTTTCCAAATTTTGATCTTCCTGCAACTTGAAAGCCTCTTGGGGCAATGTCAGGGGTAACTGGTCCACTCCCAATGTTTATAGAGCAGTAGATCAACTAATACATTAAATGATTAAAACAGGCTTCATTCCCTCATCAATTTGCCTGTTGCTAGTTTACAAGCTGTGGAACGATTCAGGGCAAGGGCCATCTTGATTGCATTCCCACCACCGCCGCAAAACATAAATCACCATTGAATTAGATAAAACCAATGTTACTGAACAATACGGCAGGATAGCTGAAATGGCTGGCAAGGGAAATGGCTATCGTAGGTAGTAACAATTAGCATAACGCTTTTCTGAGTCTGACTGAGATGCATTCTTGTGCCAAGCTGAAGATCACCTTATCCTGCATCCAGCACCTTATTACTCCCAACTATCACCATGCTCAATACTAACCCTGGATATTTTTGAACCAATCAAAATTTAAACAGAACTAAAGTGGAAAAGAGGCTAAATTCTTCTCCATGTGAAAATTAAACATCTCCTCACCGAGTAAACGCATGGTAATGATTAGTGCCCTTACCCCGTACGTTCAGTCCGTTATCACATGCAAACTGTGCAAATGGAGACATGTAGTGTGGATCATATGCCAGTTCATGGGCTTGTTCTGCGATGCTTCTTGCCGTTTGCTGAATACTTTCATAATTGGTCTCCTGTAAATGACACGTCAGTCACAAATCTTGGTGATTGAAAAAGACAGCTTCAACCCCCCAGAGGCTCCAAAGGATCTGCCATCCATTATGGGTGACAGTAGTACACCCAAGGATATGTAAATTCATACAATCTAGCACTCTGGCAGCATGAAAAGACCACGTGAATAAGGAGTGGAACGGGAGTTCAAACATATTCATTGTTTCAATCAACGGAGCGTGTAAATGAGTTTAACAGGACCATAATCCACTCTCCTGCACACCTTGACTCTCACTTTCCTTTACAATTATCCTACAGGTTACTCGCACACCATTTTCAGACCCATTGGTAAAAATAAATTTGTAATGAAGACAGATTAAGTTTTTTTTTAAAAAAAAGCTTATTAAGCTATAAGCATCCCGCAGTCCCTCCGTCTCGCCCCCTCCCTCGCCACCTTCAAGATCCTCTTTTTCGACTGTGCTTTCGTTCTCCTTGCTTCCCCCCCCCTGCCCTCCACCCTCCCCCACCCCGGGTCCGTAACTCTGTCTGTCCAGCGCCTTGGGACGTCCTCCCAATGTGAAAGGTGGTATACAAATGTAATTTTGTTGTTTTTGTTGTAATACAAATGTACTCATGCCATTACTCAGTGTAAAATATTTAAACAATTTTTTTATTGGATTATATCTAAATATTTATACTATGTAGTTTCAGGAATCACTATTTCACTTCAAAATTTAAAACAGGCCCTTTACCCACAAACGAGGCAGTTTAAAAAAAGCTAAAATTTATATTGCTCTAGAATTTATGTTCCACAACACAAATACCTTAAGTTTCTTCAGCTCTTGTAAGATCATGTAGTCAGGCATGTTATCAAATAATCCATCAGTTGCTGTCAAGATTATGTCTCCTATTTGGACGTCAAACGTGGTACGGTCCGCAGCTTCTGGGCTGTGAAGGAGAGAGACACGGGATCAGACAAATGACGCGCAGAAATTACTACTTCGAGAAGATGCTTGCGAGTCAGATCTTGATAAACTGGCAACCTCCAAGGTAATGGCATTTCCTGTGTAATCTATTAATTGAAAAGAGTCCCATATACCAAACAGCTGGTTAAATTCACTCACCGGGTCAGAACTGGTCATGAGAGAGGTTAGCAAGAGATTTTCTGCAACAGTAATCCAGGTGGCTACAAGAATGGTGCAAATGAGGCTTACAAATTGTAAATTGTGAAAAATTCTGGGCAATTTACATTTTGATAAATTATAAATTCTGTTGACGGATACTTGCTAGATTACAAAATTAGCTTTCTGCAAAATTTGGGACATAGAATACTACAGCATTTCCTAATTTACAGTATATTGTCAGAGTGGGATTTTAAATAGCACACTCATTAAAAAAAGACCTTCTTGAGATTTTCCCTGAACCATGCACTGGGAATAGTGCCAGCCTGAAATTTTCCTTCAATGAACTATGTACTGTTGGCAAATTTCAGTAGTGACTGGAATGTGAAACAAGCATCACATGGTCACATTTACTAACCGTTTCAGCCTTCACCAAGAAACACAGTAAATATTTTAATGCAGTGCTTGGCAACCCTGCTCTAGAATGGTATCTTATTCGGTTCACTTGAGACCTTACTCAAAAAAATCGGACGTGAGTATGTGCTTTCTCTCTGCTGCTCGTAAACATAATTAGCTACAGTTTAAAATGCTAAACACAATCTCAAATCCCCAAAGGTCGAATTAAACAAAATGTTTAGTTATACATGTTCAGCATTGCCATTTTCATTACTTAACCCTACTCCCCTCTTTTTGAAGGTCCAGAGGAAAGGGGGGAGGGGGAGCTTGCACTGTGGTCAATTCCAGGAGAGAAGAAATTAAGTTATTTCCAAGTCAAATTAAACCAAGGTCTTATTTTAAAAATCAGCAGATATTTGATAAGATTTTCAGGAATAATTGAAACACTAGCACTTTACCTGTCACTGAGAACAACACCTTCTGCTTCAGGCGGTGCTATCGACAATTGGAAAGGGGTATTAAAATAATGTTGCTGCTCATCTGACCGATGAACCACTTCTCCGCCTCGAACCACCAGAAAGCCGGAATCTCCCAGGTTGGCTGTGTGCAGCCGGTGACTACTTCTGTCCAGAATTACTAAACAGGCTGTACTGCTGCCTGCAATGAGAATTGATTCTATCAGTTGCAGTGTGAGAAGGAAGCCTGACTCCATTTTTTAAAAAAAAAGCCAATACAAGATTTAATGTGAAGAGTTTCAGTGATATGCCCGTCACACAATACTTAAACGTTTTACGGTTGGGTGCATTGAATTGCTATTGTAGTTTTTCACCATTTTTGAACAACTAAATTGTTTCAGCTCTATTGTAGATGGACCCACAAAGAACTACACTAAACAATTGCAACACGCTCCTTAAAACATAATTGTGTTGGATCACAGTCAACCATTCACTAAAACAAATATATTTTTAGGCTTCAATAACACATAGCCAAACCCTACAAACAGGGTTTGTGAGCATGTATATACCTAGTGTAAGGTGAAACTGTAAACATTCAGAATAACCAGCTCACTGAATAATTTTTAATTAAAACTCAAATCTTTCAAATAACTATCTGACACTCAACGGGATGAGAATAAACCAGCAACATCGGGATTATATGGAAATTATGTAGATTTAAGTTAGTTAAGAGAAAGAAAATTTATAACATACAACTTATTTTGTGGTTCATCAATATACATACCTAGCAATGGGACTTTGTTCTGTAGTAGTTCACAGTAGCTCGCGGTTAGGATTCCTACAGGGTTGGTGGGTATAAAGCGTCCTTCTCTTACCAGACGCTCGCAGGTTCGCATCAGAGTACCTGAGAACTGGGAAGGATCAACTCCATAATCTCGCCAGCCTCCAACCCCATCAGCCACTCCTGAAACACACACACAGCAATTAGTATACAAGATGCATTCACTGAAACAATCTACCTCAGTAGGAGCTTTAAAGTATGGAGGATCCAATCTGAAGGATAAGAATTGATTCTGCGCCAGCTGATTTTGTACCCAACTATAGATTGCTTAATGTTGAAGGTGGAGAGAAGGCAGCTGCCTGATTGCATTGGGAGTCATTTCTGCAGACAACAGACCCGAAATTCCACTTAGTCCTGGCCTGCAAGATATCGTACTTTATTTTCAATTACGTAGAATTGTAGAAACGTTTTACATTCAGCTTTAATTAGCAAGTTGAATGTTCTTAAAGCCACAACTTCCAAGTTAAAACTGAATTCAAGAAATTCTCACAATTCTGTGTGATCTTAAAACACGATAAAATCACTTTACAGGCGAAGACAAAGTAGAATTTCAGGCCCAATATACCAGTCCCATACTATTATGTTGCACTGGCATCAGGCTTACTTCCATTACAAGAAAATCCTTGAAAATATCTAAACAGTTCTTTTCATTTGATACTTGGACAGCATATATATAATATTTATATAATATATAAATAAAAAAACTTAAGTCATGTTAGTATTTTGTCTCCAAATGCAACTCTCGGAACATCACCTTGAATCATTGAAAGACTACTTCTGCAAACGTCATCTGTGCTAAACCAATGTAACAGGTTTTCATACGACAACAGCAGCAAATTACATTTATTATATTTATCACACCTTTCACATTAGAAGGATGTGCAAAACAAAAGCAAAAAAGCATTCACAGCTTCAATTTTTTTTGTTAGCCTTTTTGAACTCTTGCTTACTAAGGTCAGTATGCAGTTAGTTGCAGAATATAAGCAGTAATCGTACACTATCACTTGTGCCTAAAATACATTCCAAGCAGAGCTATTTGGAATACTGACAAAACTACAAAGAGAAAAACTGACTAGGTACACAACATAGCAAGACCAATGACTCACTCAATACTCTTGAATTGTAGGTTAACGTAGGGGTGGATATGAAAATGTCATCATGTGTGCAAAGCATTTGTGGAAAAACTTTTGCTCGGCAGCCTTTACATTTACAATAAACATGCAAATTGAAAATCTACAGCAGATCAGGAGTAAATCTCCTGAAATGTGACTGTAACCCATAAATTCAATCTGAGGGATCAAGATGTACACCAATAAATCAGTGAGCAAGACATGTATGAAGGTTAAACCAAGCTATACTTGGATCACATTAACACCAACATGTTATTGCAAGCAACTTTCAACCTTGATGAAGGTGATGTAAATGGACTCATTTGAATTCAGTGATGCTGCCACAACCCTATCAGCAACTCATTCCAACAGAATTAAAATTTAAACAGCCATTATTATAGGAAAGCTTCTTCAAGGGATAACATAGTGATATTTTCCAATGATTCCCTCACATTGTGAGATTAGAAAAAGGCAGGAAAACACCTTTATGTGTATATTTAGCTAGCTACGCTGTTTTAGGCTTTGTCTGTAGCTGGAAACAATCAACCCAAACTCCCACCCACCAGAGTAAAGGTCTCATTCAAATCCCACTGAAACACTTAAAACTGAATTTTTAAAAATGCAGTGGATGAACCATAGCATTTTAGGGCCAAGAATATAATTATACTTTGATACATACTAAACATTTAGTTGAGGGAACAATTTGATAATTTCCATTTCTTTTCAAGCAATTGTAAGTGACTTAATGAACAAACCATGAAAGGTTAAGTGTTGCTGTATCCTTAAATACTAAAGCTGGTGAATTGTGATCCAAAAATAAACTAGCTCCAAGGTTTGAAATCTTGAAGTCTAAAATACACGGCTTTGGAAAGGTTTATTTTAGAACAGTCATCAAGACTTTGTGAGAATATTTTTTGAACTGAAGCCATAAATACAGCATTGTCATTTAAAATTATACTTAAGACTGCTGGGAAAAATCACTCCACTGATCACCAGTTATGGAAAGTTTCCAGTGAACTAGTAGAAGAATAACAATCCTTATATTTGATATAGAGCTTTATCATGTTGAAATGTTTCAAAGGACTTGACAAGTAAAGGCTATTTTAGGTAAACGTACCAACAAGGTTCTGCAAATAGCATGGTGTGATTGGCCAATCAATTAGATGGTGGCTCTGGAAACTGGGAGAAATTACTGTCTCTTTTCAAACCGAGTAATACCCATCTTTACAGGTGAGACCTTAATTTAACAACCAAACATTAGCACCTCTAACAATGCAGCGTCCCCCAATACAGCAATGGAAAGCGTTTCATTTCCTTCCAGCTAACAGAATCAAAAGCTTAAGTAAAGCAGCTTTCCTATGTACCTCCGACTTTCAAAAGGTAATGGAGCAGAGTGACCAGCAGTACCTAACCGCTAGCCCGGCACACAAGTCACTGAATAGTAGCACTGACAAGAGTACAACCAGAGTTATAAATAAAGTCTACTGAGAAAATGAAAAGGGGCTACAGTTGCATTATTTATGGATCCTCTCTTAACCCCTTCCCAGTCTGATGCTGCACAATTCTAGATAATGATTCTTTCTGATCAATTTCCCCAGTTATCTGATTCTTTGTTATAATAAGGCTGTTCATACAAGACTGAAGGAGAAGATCTCAATCGTTCAAATCATCAATGCCCTCACCATTCTCTACCAGTTTTTCAAAAAAATCTGATAAACACTTCCATTCATGGACATTTGGGCAACAATATTGTATTTAAAAATCTCTTATTTCCCTAGTCAGGAGTGTCCACCTAAATATTTGTCAAACAAATTTGTCACAAGGAAGCATTTCTATTTACCAGAATTATTGCCAAATCTGCTCACACGTCTTGTTTGACAGGGTGAATTTCTGTTGCTACAAATATATCATCTTCATTAAAGGAAACCCAAGTTGTTTCCCAATGAGGAAATCCAAAAGAAAAATCTTAATTGTTTCATTTAAAATCTTAAGACTGTAATTTATTTTAACTTGTTTATTCTTGAGTAACAACAAGTCAGTTTTTCCCCCACAAAAGACATTGACACACAGTTACTTTACTTGAATGAATAGCAATTGAATTTATTAGTTAGAAACAAAGAATCAGTAGGACCCACTTACTTTATTGCCTCCTTTTAAATAATCTAATTATACAATTATGAGCAGGAGTTATAATACTCTCTACAAATTGAATACTCAGAATGGCAAAAGCAAATGTCAAGCACAGAGTGCTTATTGTTAGCACATTTCAGTACTTCTTGCTTCAGTGGAAGCGTGTTTCAACTGACTTCACTGAAGTGCCTCCTGATGCTGCCGACAATAAGGCACAAATACATGGAATACCCCAGAGTCGCAAACCAGATCGTGATTTTCTTTTTTAAAAGTAATTTGACATCAATTTGAAGCAAAGATATAGTTTGCAAAGGGGGCTTGGTTGGAGGAGGCTCTCCCAAACCAGAGAAACAGCCTCCTCATGACAGAATCCAGTTGTTTCATAAGCAAAGGACGAAGACAAGATTGAAAGAAGGCATTAATGTTGAAAGGTCATCAGATTTACATTACGCCGTGGATCACCGATAGATTTATAAATAAACCTGCAGGATTTATTTAATTGTGGCCTTGTGCACATATTGAAAATGGGCCATATTTAGCAAAGAAGAAATGACAGCAATTTCACTGTTAGTATAGTGACACCAGAAATGTAAACTGTTCTAATACCAGCATTTTTGCATTAGCTATTCTGATTTTGGAATTATTCCACTGCATTAATAGCTTTGACAGATCTCCCACCAAAATATAAAATGGCAATCATACTTAGAAAGAGGAATAAACTGGCTTTAAGCACAGTACATTATTCCTTATTTGTACTTTCACTCCAGACTTCAAGGTTAAGCTGCAGAACCACTTTGGCAGAAGGTCAGTAGCTGATTAGGCCACTAGCTATAATATAATAATAATCCTTGCATTTGATATAGAGCTTTTCACATCTGAGACGTATCAAAGCACTTCACTGAATATACTGTAAAGTGAATTGACTGTATATTTGTGGGTAAAGATAATTTAGTGGACTTCCAGCACAAATGTATGTGAAAAGCATCTTATTCACATACATTCGGTGGTTGCTAAATAATCAGCATGGCAGATGTTTGTTTGGAATACAGGGATGGATTCATTAGACCATTGGCTTATTCTCAACTTTTAGCTGCAGAATTCCATTCCCTAATCCCGCTGTAATTACAGTAAATTTATATCAGATGCATTATCCCAAAAGCAGTTCAAATAAGGTAACATTGCCATTCAGATGTACTACAGATACAAGGGCACGAGTTGTGTAATTCAGGCACGAGGTTTAATGGCAACTTAAATTTCCGTGGGAATGGATGACCTTAAAGAACTCATTCTCGAGGAGCTGAAAGGAAAAATCGATTGAGATGTAATAAAAGGAGAATGGATTTCCTACTCACTTTCCTCTCCCTTCGACTACGAGTGTCACACTCAGCTTATAAAACTCAGATGGGAAGGGAGACACTTTGTTTGGCTATGTTACAAATGGAGGCCAGAAAAACTAACCATCTTCTTCTAGACTGAAGGCAAAGAGCAAACTGAGACAGAGTGCTTTGCGTGGGGCAGCATGAAGTAGGCCACAAATTGCAATGTAAATGGAGAAGGGTTGCAGTAGATTGGGTGGGGCAAAGCTGCAGAGGCATTTGACGACACGTCAATCCATTGGGGAATAGGATACTGTTAGTGGGCTCAATGGGACCAAAGCAAAAGAGGATACATACTAAAAAGTTCTGATTGTGTTCCAGAGACTGTTAGGGTCCAGTCCCTTAGTTGCTGACTGGAGCTTTAGAATAACCAGTGCGTTCCAATTGACACCCAACAATTCATTGCCAGCTACTACAGCAAGTGATGCCAACAAAGCTTTGATGTGATGCCAATACGTATCTTGTATGATCATCTCAATAACGTGATAAGGCGCTATATCAAATGCAAGGATTATTATTACCTCAAATTGCTCTCACAAGTAACTACCATTTACAAAGCTCAAAAGCTCCAGGCTCAAGTCTGGAAGGTCAGAAGCTTTAACTGTACTGCTTGGTATTTTGCACAGATTAAGTGAACATAAGGTAACGTCACATGTTCATCACTGTGCTTCACTTAACACTCACCAATACACTTTAACGAACATTACACAATTTAACGCTTTTAAGAACTTATTTTTGGTAAAGAAAAATGTATAGTGTTCATTTATTTCCTTTAATATTGTCAAAACGCACACTGTGCAGCTCAAATATTCTTGATTGTAACTGACAGCACAGAAATACATATACACCTTACAGGTTTTAATAAATAAAACCCTAATACCCTCCCGTATGATGCAACAAAACCGTAATCATCAAAAGGTAGGGAAATAATAGCACCGTTCCCGATTTTATAACAGCATTTATAGGCTGGCTTTTATCATTGCTCAGTTTAATAATCCAAGTATGTTTTTTTCCACATAAAGATAAAACTCGTTAACACGTATCATATTTTGCAAGATGTATAAATCCGGAAGTTAAGTTAACCTCAGTATCTCAATCCCCCCAAAAAACTGTGCGCCTTTGTTATGAAACACATCCTAAAAGAGCAGTACAGTGCATTAAACAGAAGCTCAGACCAGGAAACAATCCACACGCTTGGTTTGTTTTTCTCTCCCGCACAAGGGGGATAAAATAAATAAAATAGGAAACCGTGTCCGATCTACGGGGCAGCGTAGTGTCCACGCTTATATTATTTTATCACTGCGATGGCGCGTGGGCGAGGGCAGAAAGAAAAGAACTTTTTCTTTTCGTGTTTCGTTTCCTTTTTACGACTGTTTGGGGGACATTGCTGTGCGCAATCGGCCGCCGCGTTCGCCCACAAATATAGTCAATTCACTTTGCAGTGTGTTCTATGAAGCGCTTTGGGACGTCCTCCCGACGTGAAAAGCACTATGTCAAATGCAAGGATTATTATTATTATTATTATAAACGATTGAACATCTGAGCGCGAGTTTGGCATCGTTCTGGAACTGAGAAGAGAGGGGTTGGGGTTGGGAGGCGGAAAAAAAACGATAAACTCTGCGAATTGTGAAACACGAGGCTTTTTTCGTGTGTGTGTGTGTGTGGCTTCAAATAAATAACAGAAAGCAAGAGGGGCGGTGGGGAGGGGGGAAGAAGAGAGAGAAAGAGAGAGGAAGGACTTTCTGGTCACTTATTGACGCGTTGGCGGGAACCAATATTACTTATAGCCATATTATCGATCCGAAAAATCGATGCTGGAGACAGAGAGAGAGAGAAAGAGAGAGAGACAGACACACACACACAACACACTACACTAACAGCGCCTCTTTGACACCTGTCAAGAAAGCCACCGATCGCTCTCCTCGGGGAGGCAATTGGATGCCATTTTTTTTTAACCCTCCCCCACCCACACCCACACACACACAGAGACAACAAACGCACCCCCCAACGACCCCCAACACCACCCCCGCCGCACTGCACGGTCGCAGAAGCGGGGCTCTCCCCCCCGCCCACCTACCCCCCCCGCCCCGCTCACCCAACACGTCGGCGCTCCGGTGCTTGGCCACGAAACAGGCGTCGTCGCCGTAGCACGTCCCCTTCTTCAGGATGCCTTTCCGAAAGTCCTTGCCGAAGCCGCAGCCGGCGGTCACCAGGCTGTAGTCGCGCGAATCCGTTTGGGAGAGACCGCCCAGCACCGCCCGGGCCACCAGCCGTCCGTAGGACAAGACGGAGAACATCACGGGGGGAGGGGGAGGGGGTGGGGGGTCGCCCGAGGCCTCTCGAACTCGCTCTCCGTCAACTCCCAACCGCTCACAACGCACACACACTCACTCACTCACACTCACTCAACCGCCGCCGATGTTGTTGTTGTTGTTGTTGTCGCCGCCGCCGCCCCCCCCTCCGTCCTGGCTCTTTTTTTTCCCCCCCTCCAACTCGCGCCTCGCTCCCTCCTCCTCTTTCTTTCTTTCTTTCCTCCTCCTTTTCTTCTTCTTCTCCTCCTCCTCCTCAGGGCGACCCGACGATTTCTCTCTCTCTCCCACCCCCCCCCTCACAGTCTGACTCGCGGGCCGCCGCCGCCGCCCGGCCCGGCTCTCGTATTGGCAAACGCCATCTTCTTCGCTCTTTTTTTTTCGGGCAACAACACCTTGTTGCGCACGTTACGGTTGACTACTACTACTACTATTAGGACGAGGAGGAGGATGACGACGACGACGACGTCGAAGGAGAAGCCAAGCAACGGACGGACGAACACACACGCGCGCGCACAGATCCGCTGCACTCTCTCTCTCTCTCCCGGTCCTCACCCGCCTTTCCCAGTCTCGTGACTCCTTGACAACGGTACCGCCACCTCTCCTACGTCATAATCGCCCCTTCACCCTCAGGGGGGAGGGGAGGGGGCGGGGCGAGCGAGGAGAGGCGAAGGGAGGGAGGGTGTGTGTGTGGGTGTGTGTGCGCGCGCGCGCGCGGGCGGGGGCGGGTGGATCACGTGGTCATGCAAGCGCGCGTGCCTGCCTGCGAGTGCGCCTGCGCGCGGGAGGCTGGCGGGCGAGCTCGAGCCGCGACCGTTTAAGGAGGCGGGGAAAATCCGCCGGCGAACTCCATTTCCCAGCATGCCCCCCTCCTGGGACAGTTCGGTCGGTCGGCAAATGGCGGCGCGTTGACGGTTGCCCCGAGCGATGATGGGTTCACCCGCTTATCTGCTGCTGTGGGTGGTGGTGGGGGTCGGGGTCGAGTTCGCGGTGGGCCAGACCGGTCCCGGTGAAGCTCTTGTCACACCGCCGCCGTCGTCCTCGCCGCCGCCGACGACGACTCCGGGGCCGCCCAACGTGACGGCAGACGCCGGGAACCTGACCACGGAGCAGGCCTCGACCACGCTCCGGGCCGCCACCTCGGACGGCCTGACCGGCGCCACGGAGGAGACCGTTAATTTCACGGACGCCAGTGGCCTCGAACCCGTGCCTTTGCCTCTGTCGGGTGCATTGCCACCTCTCGAAGTAAATGGTACGTTAGTGATCATTTACCTCAAAACCTCCCCCTCCCTCCCCGCCCCCCCCCCCACCATTTAAATAAAATACATTTATTACAGCGTCTTCCACGATTGCTTAGCGATCCCTTTGCTTGGCCGCTCAAGCTTTCCCCACCGCAAGAGCACTACACCCGAGTCAGTTCCACTTGACAGTATATCCCGTCGAAGCGCTTTGAGGCGTCTCGGCGGCGTGGACTGCAAGGGGTTTGTTAAATTATTTTCAAGCGCAAAAGTCTCCCCCCCCCCCGCACGCTCAGAAAGAGACATGCCCCCCCCCCCCCCTCACCCAAACTTGAGTTGCTTTTACTCATTGCTTTCACTGATAACCTTTGCAATGCGATACAGCGCCTTATCACGTCGGCGCGACGTCTCAAAGCGCTCCACAGGAGGATACCGCAGAGCGCGAGGACCGCGTTTTCCGGGCGAAGCGCAGCGCGGCGAGTTGCGCGCAGCGGCGTCCCGCATGCAGTCGTGCAGTGAGCGACCAATTTGATTTGGGTAATTGCTGGGAACACTCAGCAGGTCAGGCAGCATCTATGGAGAGAGGAAAGTGAGTCAGTGTTTCAGGTCCACGACCCTGTTGCCTGACCTGTTGAGTGTTCCCAGTGACTTCTGTTTTTGGTTCAGATTTTCCAGCGTCTGCAGTATTTTGCGTTTTATTACGGGAGATTGTTAGCCAGGACACCAGGCAAGAGTATACTCCCTTCCTCTTTTTGAACAGCGCCAGGGGGATCTTTAACATCCACCTTTTAATTTCACATTTTAAAAGGTAATTTGACAAATAGTTGGAAAGGGAGAAATGTAAAAAGGGTAATCGGAAAAGGGGCTAAACGAAGGGAGATTCTGAGGGTCAGCACTGGCACGGTCGGTTGAATGGTGTACTTTTGTGCTATAGATACGCTCCTCCTGTTCCTGCACCATATGTGGTTAGTTCATACAGAATCGATTAAAAAAAAAAAAAAAGTTGGGGCATATCTCAACATGCAATCTGTTAACGGTCAGTAGTTCTAGCAATTTGGAGGGAATCTTGCAACGCTCCACAGCATGAACAAGTACTGTACTTTCAACTGACAATTTGGTTCCAGACAATCAAGACTAGAGTGACTTCCTTTTCACCCTGATTGTCTGGCCTCTTCTAAGAATCCACTGTGGGGGAAATAACCTGCTTCCTACAACTGCATGTTGACATAACTTTCCATTTAAGTACAATAGAAATGTCTAGAGGTACCCTTTTTTTAAAAACAACTAACGTCTACACCTTATTCCTCTTTCAGTCCAGAATCTGTGTACCTGTGACTTACTGGTGGATCAGTGTGATCCAAATTGCTGCTGTGACCCATACTGCAAAGTATTTAATTTCACTACCTTTACAAATTGCATAGTCGAGATAGTCAGGTAAGCCAAAGTAAAACGTGCTTTAATTTATCTATCGATGAAGAATCTGAATTGAGTTTTCAACCACTTTATTAATAATAATCCTTGCATTTGATATTGCACCTTATCTTGTCATTGAGACATCTCAAAGCACTTCACAGAATATATTGTAAAGTGGATTGACTGTGTATTTTGTGGGCAAAAGATATAAAATAGAATGCTATTGGCTTTATTTGACCCTCTTTTGGGAGCTGTTCTGCTCTCTACCTTTATGGTTTAAACTTTGTGTCACCGTTTTGTTATTTTTGTTTTCAAACTGCATGAATAAAATATCAGTGCTTTTGTTCTCTTATTTGTTCCCTCTTAACTACAATCTGTTTTGATGGATGAAAATCCCTTGATTTTTGTGCAGGGATGACAGCGAACTTTGTTATCAAGAGGCAGTGAAATACACCACCAACATCTTAATTGAAACCACTGTAAAACTGATCAACCCCAGCATCTTTTGCATTGCGAGAAAGAACTGTAAGTGCATCACGGGGCAACACATGATCCATCAGCAAACAGTATTAATTTTTGTACAATAATAATAATAATCCTTGCATTTGTTATAGCGCTTTTCACGTCTTCTAGACGTCTCAAAGCGCTTTACAGGATATACTATAAAGTGAATTAACTGTATATTTGTGGGCAAAATGCGGCAACCAAATTGCACACAGCATTGTCCCACAAACAGTCGTGGAGTGAAGTGACCAATTTATTATTGCTTTTTTTCTTGAGGGATTATTATTATTAGGCTTATGGAGTGTGGAAACAAAATTAAATTCAGATTTTTATTTATAAATGGTTTCAGATCTTGAACATTTCTGCAGTAAATTTTAAAGGAAATATTCAATGTTTAACACAATATATTGAAAATCAGCATTTTGAGTTAGATTCCCATTTCTTGCATCAAAGTAAACACTCTGCAATTAACAGAAGATTTTAGTATCAAATGCAAGGATTAAAATAATACCAATATGTGAATTCTGCTTGTGACAATGTATTTACATTGCATTTCTGAGCCATTTGCAAATATTTCTGTGATAACTAATTTCTGTGTCTAAAATTATTCTTGTGTATGTATTTTTTTATACACTAATGTTGTGAAAATCATACATTTCCCAGCATTTCATTACAACAGCTTTCGATGAACTTTTAATTCAGACACAGCAGTTTATTTTAAACCAGTAAACCCCTTCTTTCTCACAAGTTTACCATTTGATCTTCAGACAAGATGGGATCATCCTTTTTAACCCCAGAGATGCCAACTCCTCATAATTTTGAAAGTTTGGTGAATCGTTTTGGCGGCTTCTTTTTTGGAACAAACACAGAGACCCCTGATCCAACCAGAGACAAATCAACAGGATGTTGCTATCAGGTAGTGATGGGGAAACAAAACTTGGAAATTGCATATTTTCTTAAATTGGAAATATGTTGAATACCGAAGGATTCACCATTTTTTTTCCATCCAGTATGGAGTTCCTATTCAAACTAATAATGGTTTCCTGAGGATCCCTGTCCCACTGGTCACATCCGAGTGTGTTGACGACAACCCAGCAGGTAAGAAATATGGCCTGTTACACCTTGCTTGAACAAAGCTGTAACCCACCACTCCAAGGTACTGCATGTGTAATTTATGTTGTAGAGCACAATTGAATTGCAATATAGGTTAGAAGTGTCTGTGTATCAGGTCCACTTTGGCTGATCTCAGCAGCAGGGATGCCTCAGTTAGGCTAATTGCCCCCTGGGTTAATGTCATTGAGTTTGCAGGTTGGGAGGGGAGAGAGAATGATTGCTGTTTTTTCCTGGTCTGTAGGCTGCCTTGCTATAAATTAATGACAATCCTGTAATATAGCCTTCAGGAGCGCTGAACATCTGTGACATGCATCATTGATTCTGCTTTCTCCACGTTGCAGGGTTTTTGGTAGATCAGGTGTCACAGTGTACAAGGAAGATAGACATCACAAAGGACTGCGTGGGGCTCGCAGCACTGAATGTGACGAACTACCTCGACTTTATCATCTTCTCTGTACGTTTGCTGCAGATTTTTATTCTCCCCATGAAGCTATGCCATCACTCCTGACCGGAATGTGTTTGACTACTAGTACAGAACGACCCCATTATAACGCACCTTGTTAGAATACAAGTCGATTTATAACGCAGGTCGGAAGTTGGTACAATTTTAAGAGTTCCAAAATACAGGGTCACCCTGACATAGGGTTACATGGTGGACTGTAATTATTTTTTGATAGTTTTACATCAATTTTAATGTGAAGAAGTGAAACACCATAGGTTAGTGAAGTCACTAACTTTATCCATTATAAAGCCAACACATTTACCAACCAGTGGAAATGTACTCTTAGATGGGTAGTGGTTGATAATTATTATATTAAATCTTTTCATCAAGAAATTGTATCCAAACTTCATTAACCCATTTTTAAAATATTAATAATTGAAATATGACATTTTATTTTTCAGATTCCCAATCAAAATAGTGGGGTAAGTATTTTTTAAAATTATATCTTGTGTTTAAAGTGGCTCCAAGTATTTATTTAGATCTACTTAGTATAGTTTGAAGCCTCTTAATGTATATAAAAAATGCAAAGAAAAAAAACTTTTTCTTTTGGGGACCTAGTTATGTTCTTATTCATATTATTTTAAAGGGTCCTTAACCACTTAAAACCATTCACAAAGTGTGACAATCATGAACAGACATCTTAGAGGACCTTGTACAGGAGGTAATACATGTGATAGAGAATAAACCAAGGACAATTTGTTTACCAAGGCAGTGGGACAAAAGAGCACGGGTTCAGGGTTGTGAAGGAGTCAGTTTATAATAGATAAAGCATGTCTTTACATGGAGACAAAACAGCTGGAACAGATAACCAGAAAGGGTGGTTGGTGCCATAGTTACTAGGGTTTGTTTAAGAAACTGCTTGATGTTTCAAAGGGCGGAGAGGAGAATAGGATCATGTGGGCTTCATCCAAGCTGTTTCGCTGGCCCCCAGTGACTATTGAACCAGGGGAGAAGAGAAAATTAAGAGATTTTGTTTTAATAAAAGTTCATAGAGTCTTACAGGACAGAAGAAGGCCATTCAGCCCAATGTGCCTGTGCTGGCTTGTTGAAAGGGCTACCAACTGGTCCCACTCTCTCGCTCTTACCCCATAGCCCTCCAAATTTTTTGTTTTAAGTACCTAGTTCAGTCCTTTTTGAAAGTTATTTGAATTATGATTTTTATTTAAACCCTTTTTTGAAAAAAGGTTCAGATGACCTTTAAACAATACAGTACTGTCAAACTCAGCATTCAAGTTACAAGAGAAAATAGACTTACTGGAGAGAAAGGGAGAGATGTCCTTTACTGACTTCATTTTATTTCTCTTCCAGATACAGCTCAACATAACCTCTGTTGTCTTACAATCTCTTGAAGGAACACAGACACTTTTAAACAACCCTGACATTGGCATTCTGGAGCCAGTTCTTATTGCCACTAGTGGTGTCTGCAACAATGTAATACTCGGAGTAAGCAGCTCATTAATAATTGCTATTAAACATGTTAAAACTTCACTTATTAATGGACTATTGCCCATTGAGACCATCTTGTTAGTTGTTTGGCATGTAACAAATTCAGAATTCTCAATGAAAGCTACATTTTATAGTAGAAAGCATATACGATTCCTGTAATCTTAGAATCTCTTATCTTTCCTGCAGGTAAACTATGAACTTGTATATAACGATAAGGGGAAGATTGTAGCAGGTTCTGGTTCCTTCACCCTTGGAGCAATCAGCAGTAAAATGCTGCCAATACAACAGCGCTTTCAGATCAAGTTTACACAGGTAGATGTAAAATCCTTATTTTTCCTCTTGCTTGTTGTTATGCCATCAGGTTCATTGGTGTTAATAATTAAACGCTTGTGCGAATGCCTATTTGTCATGTAAATGTTTACAAGAAACAATCTGAACTGCAGACACTAATACAATAAACCTCATATAAATTGTTGGGATTTAATGTGACTTATGCAAATTATGAGTTATGTGAGTTATTAATAATAGGAAATTCAACAGGACTTGGGGCAGATGTACGACTTAGGCAATTATACCGATCAGACTTATGCAAGATTTACTGTAACTTGAATTCAGGTAGGCGGGAAAGGTTAAGTACAAGGAATCAAGACAGTGATTTCAGTTTTAGAAACTGTAACCCTTTGCAGAAAATGTAGGATGTGATATAAACAGTTATGTTTCAGGTCACACATAGGCTAGCAAAAACATTTTAATTCTGGTTTTGCTGAAGTGCAGTTGAAATAATGTAATATGTGAACCTGTGCTTAATGCTGGTGTAAAATAACACAACATAAAGTGCCCTGGTAAAAGCTGAATTTGTGTGGCCTTTAATGGGAGAGTTTGCTTTCCACAGTTTCCATCTTGTCGAAACACCAAGCACACACCATACAGTATTGTTCCCTTCAACAAATCAATCGATATTCAACTTTCGTCATTTCCACTTAACATTACTTTCGACAAAAACCCAAGTTTTACAAGAGGCCACCATTTAATAGACTACTATATCGCGGCTGATTGCCAAAAACAAATTTTTCTCATTCGTTCTGCGTTCACAGGGAATCCCATCATGAAAAGCCAGAGTAAAATAACTTGCATTTTGACTTGTGTTATCCATCAGTACACGTCTCCTCATCTCCTAATGTGCATTCTTGTTCCTCTAACTTCCAGACAAACACAACAGCAATTCCTCTGAGTGGAAACCCAGGCTATGTTGTCGGACACCCTCTGTTGGCTGGATTCAGACAAACTGGCTCATATCCTTCACACGCTGCAGGTTTTCAAAACACAGCCCACTTTCTGTTCATAGCAAGTTGCTCTATTAGTGACCGATGCACGATAGAAAAACATCTCATCATAGATCAGCTTGATCTTTGCAGACTGTGTCAGCAAATTCTAGACAGAATTACATAGCTATTTAGGGAAGAAGTAATTTGAAAGGTATGATTGGGCAGTATTTATTTTTAAATGTTTTAATTTAGGCAGGTGTCTCTGTCTTTTTCAGTCCTGTGCATTATTCTGATCCAGAAAAAGCTAATATTTGATTCATTGGCAGCTTTCAAAATGAGCACAATTGATAACTACAAGCAAATTGAGTTCTAACGAAAGGTCATCGACCTGAAACATTAATTCACTTTCCTCTCCCCATAAATGCTGCCCTAACTGACTGAGTGTTCCCAGCGACTTCTGTTTTTAATAGCGAATTCTGTATCATTGTTTGCAAAACCCTAATCCTATCCCTTGTCTATCAGTAAACTTCCCCTTAACTGGCCTTTCCACACCTGGCATAATTCAGAGCACCAATCGATTTGGACAACTCACCGTCCTGAGTTCATTCAACCAGGATTGCCTACAGAGAGAGGGACTGCGGCTACCAGTCCTCTTTGGAATCAACGTACAGTCGGGCTGTTTATTACGGTAAGTATGGGAAGAAAGCATTTCACTGTTGTCAATCTAAGTTTACACACTTCAGTGCAACACCAATTGTGCACAGACTAACACGTAGTGCCAGAAAATCAGCTGTTTCAGCGCGCTTTACAAGCTTTGAAAGAGCAACAAATTGAGAATGGGTTATTTTATAAAGAATATTGCTTATAGTAGCACATGTTTTAGATTAGTGGTTTTCATTCGAAGGGATCAGAGATGAGGTACTGTGGTCTTCCCTCTCTTCATAACACATACTAACCCTCAGCCATGTGCCACTGTCCACCAGGGGGTGCAGAAGTACTGTAGTTACTTTTTTCTATGACAAAGCATCCTGCTCACCAGCATAGGCGGAACCAAAGCAAGTGGGAGATTCAAGGGCATATCCTGTGAGAGAGGCCAGGCCTATCTCTGTTTGTGTGGAGGAAGTTTCTGGACATAACAACAAGGATCCAATGTTTTTTTTATTTATGCCTAAAGACTAACCAACGCCACAGGATGCAAACAGTGGTCACAGATCATCACAAACGTATTGGTTGGCAACCCTGCTCCTCAGCTTGTAGCGTCTTTCGGAAATAGCCAAGCACAAGACGAGGCGGACTGGGTGACCATCGCACAGAGTACCTCCAGAATACAGGTAATGATCTTTACAAATACTGAAGGGACTCGAGATTCCGCCTCGTCTCCTCACTAGAAATCGTGCAGAAGTTTGGAAAACTGCTGAATTTAGTTTGGGGGCCGGTTTTTTAAGTTCTTGTGGGTTGGGGGGAAAGAAAAAGTTAAGGGGTAAACAAAATTGCAGGGTTCAAATGATTAACTAAGCCAATGATTGAAAGTACTTCCTTCTTGCAGACTTGTGACTGTAGATTGCCTCAGTCTTTACACCTGGACGTCACATGGGTAAAATACGGATCCTTCGTGAACCCACAGGCTAAAATCAAGTCAGTGACACAACGGTTCAAAGAAATCTGCATTGCGGTACGTGAGGAAATCTTGCACACCACAAGCCACGGGCACTTGTGGAAGTCATTTATTTAAAAAATAATTTCCAAGAAGTTGTGCTTCAGACTTCAAAAGGTACTTGTGGTTCTCAGTTCTGTGACTGGAGTGAAATGTACATTAAGAATAGAAAAAAGTTTCCCACTCCAAAGATGCAACCAAATGATCGCTTAGCACCAAGTACAGGTAAAGGAGCTTCACTCTACCCATGGCCTGTGTCTTACCTTCCACATTGCAGAAGTGCCTCACATTGCTGAGCCCACATTCATTCCAAAAATAAAAGCAGCCGCCAATTCAAAGAAGGGCTGTGGGATTAACTGGGAAACGTTGGGGTGAGGGGGGCACATTCTTAAACAATTTCCACACTCCCGCCATGCTTGTTTCACACAATTTTAATTCTGATTTCCAGATGCCTCTGAGAGAGACACAGACTCTGCCGATCTCCTCCTCGGTAAGTTTCACAGATCTCTCTACCCCTGCAGAACCCGGATACAAAGCCATCCCCACCATCGATGTCGAGTTACCTTATGATTTCTTCTTCCCCTTTGTATGAGGCATCGAAAGAGTTTTTTTTTGTGTGTTCTGCAATCTGCAAACTAGTTTATTTAAACAAAATGTGTAAGATTGTCATTTGACAAGACTTTTAAATGCTTCTCGATGTTTAAATTGCCCATAGCAATACGGTTCAGCAGAGATGTACTAAAAGGATCTGAAATTACAGGAATACATTGCCTAACTACAATGGATCTCTACAGTAATAGCATTGAAAGCACACTACATGTAAACGGCAAAAAGAACTGGCATTTTTATAGCAGATACTATATTTTTCTATAAACAATGGAACATATTTAGTAACTTTAAATGAATGTAAATGGTCAGGGATCATTATTTTGCTCCCCCTTCCAAAGTCAGGAGACATTTTAAAGACCTTTAGATCCATATCTTATTTTCACAGTCGATTCCTGATAAACACATGAACACTTCTGCCGAGAAAGATCACATTATACAAGCACTCCAGGGAAAAGCTGGACTGTAAATCACTGTTTTACAGGCTTTTTATTTTCTTCATTCAGTAACCCAATATAATACAATATTCTGTCAGACTAGGTTAACAGTTTTTACACATTTCTTAAAGAAAACGTGAAACCGTTTTGTGCAGAAGTCTAGAATTCATTAGAATTTGATCTTTGGATCAGGTTACATGTTGATCTGGAAACAGTTGTGGGTTCAAATAAACTAAACTTGTAACAGACCTGGTTAATCTTCCTCAATGACCTTGTGTAGAGAGACTGACTGTGTGCAAATCATGTACAATCCCCACTGCTTTTTCCTCAATAAACATTAAAATGTTATTTGATGTTTGCTATCCATTGTAATTCATCAGACTGGCCAGGTTTATGCTTGACAAATATCCACAGAAATATAGTACGTGGTTGATGCATTGATTTCAGTTGAGGAATTGTGGGGGGGTCAGATATCTGTGATAATTTCTACCGGATTTTCTTAACCAAATGTAAGTCAAGTTAGGGTAGCTGCTCCAATACAATCTACTTGTGGAGTGGAGTTCCCATGGGTTAACGTGCAGTTACTGCAGGGAATACCCACTCAATTCCTCATTAAGAAATCACGTTAGAAATCATTTCAGTCGAGGAGCTACTCAACTGATGTGCAAGTGCAAGGTTTAAAAAAGGACCGAGGAGGGTTCAGCCCCTCCAAAACCACCACCCCAGGATTTTAGTTCATTCTTTGGGATGTGATTAAGCTAATGGCTCATTGCTTCCTGTTACCACTCAACCACCTTTAGAAATGAGAAGTTAATGGAGTTGCTCAAGAGACGCAGGAAAAGCTGGGCTCAAGTTCTGAAAATCTCACTTTTCAGTCCTTAAAAGCATAAGGAGCCTTTGAGATAATTTTACGAAAATAACTCCTGATTAAGTTCCTCAAACAATGCTTTGCCCTAAAGGGATTTCTCAATTAGTCTGGTTGTTAATCCAGTGTTGTTGGAGTAATCTGCGTAGCCGTTCAACTTCCTGCGCCTGTCAAAACAATTTTGAAATGGACTGAAAGTTGTATTTTATTTCTTTAAAGAAATATCAGTTATAATCACGCTGCTCAGTGGCCACTCTTACCTGCTCGGTGCGTTCAGCTTGCAGGACATCCACTTTCCGCACCAGGTCAGCATTAATGTTTTTCAGCTTTGTTACCTTCCTTTGAGCCCGTGTCTTCACAGAGACGAGAATTCCTGCAAAATAAGGAACGGCGACTCAGCACACAGTTAATAAGGCACTGGCTATTCACATAGTGTATTTAATAACCCTCTCCTGTTATAAATAACTTGTTTTGTCTTTCTTGTCTGCAAAGATTGAGAGGAAGCTTGGTTTAGGAATGAGTTATCAGGAAGAGTGATATAGGCCAAGATTACTGTGATTTATCTAAGCAACAAATGCAAGTATTATTATTATAATAAACAGTTAAATCCTGTAATGAGAAGACGGTGGAAGGGGGTTGGTCGGGGCGTAGATTGTCTGGAAGGATGAGATCAAATGGGCTTCTTCATCCAAACCTCTCCTGATTTTTGGAATACTGTACACAGGAGAGATGACACGTCCTCCAGTTACGGACGATTCTGCCGCTTTCCTGCTCGCTCTGGAAACGTATTCAATTTGAAACCACAACGCACGGAGCTGTACCGTTAATTATCCTGGCCACTCTCCAGAGTCGGAGCAGGATCAGTAATCCCATGCCATCGAAAATATCCTCCCGGGAAATGTAGATAACGTCAAGTACGAAGGAGATGAGGATAATGATCCCGTCCAGGACTTCAAAAACATGTCGAAAGAACTCCAAGCGGAAGGCGTAGAGTTTGCCGAACAGTTCCAGTAAAAAAAAAGCCAAGATAGTAATGCTCAGATAGTGAAACACCTGCAGAGGAAAAGGGACACGGTTAATCTTCAGCAGAGAAATAGAATCATAGAATCTTATAGCACAGAAGGAGACCATTCGGTCATCGTGCCTGTGCTGGCTCTCTGAAAGAGCTATCCAACTAGTCCCACTTCTCTCCTCTTACCCCAGAGCCTGGAAAATGTTTTCCTTTTCAAGTATATATCCAGTTCCCTTTTGAAAGCTATTATACAATTTGCTTCCACCTTTCAGGCAGTGATTCCAGATCGTAACAACTCGCAGTGTAAAAAGATTCCTCAACATCTCCCCTCTGATTTTTTTTTTTTGCCATGAATTGGCAAAACATCTGGTAAATCATAGAGATAGAACATTTTGTTTTGAGTACGCTAAGAAAAATGGGATTGAGGAGTGCATAGACTTAGTCGTGTCCTATCTATTTTGAACGCACTTAGAAAGTCATTTGGCAAGTTATGTGGTTCAGGTGTCCAGTGATTGTATGGGATTTTATCTTAAATTATTATTTCGCCTGCAGTCACTGCACTTTATGATATATCCTGTGAAGAAGAGCTAGCAGAAGTCCGTAAAATGTGCAACCTTTAAAATAGCAAAGCATTCATGTTATTATGAAATTCTTAAAATTACAGTATACCACTTCTTGCTTAAAAGTTGCAAAAGAAAGTGTTGGCCCACAAGAAAATACAGTTGTTACATTTTCCAACATATCCTGTGAAGCATTTGGTGATGTCCTCCTGTGAAAGGCACAGTTACCAAAATGTAAGGGATTATTGTTAATATTAGCAAAACAGACCAGCTAGTAAATGGAGGGTGAACCTTAAAGATGTAACGTTATCAGGATATGAAGGGTGACGCAAGCATTCTGATGGAACCACAAGATTAATCACTAAACGTTTAATCCATTGTTAATGAATCGATGAGGCTTAAATTGTTGTACAATTTTCCCATAAGCTCCTTTTGTTTTTCTCGCCTCTGTAAAATTTCCTAGTATTTATTTACACCACCCGGATTTCTTAATTGGTTTAACTTTGCCTGAATGGTAAGCTTCTCAACACATACTAGGATCTAGACCTGGGATCCTCTGGGTTACTAACGCACAAGTTTTTCTTTGCTATAGAACATGGTACTCTACCTGGGGAGCTATTTTATCTTTGTCCGTCCTTATGATCGTTAAATCCATCAGCAATTCACAAAGCACGAATAATGCATCCAGGATAACCAGACACACGATGGTAATCTGTTCAAAAAAAATTCAGATGCAAGCAATAATAAAAATAATAATGATAATCCTTGCATTTGATACAGCGCCCGATCACGTTGTTGAGAGTCAAAGCGCTTGTAAAGTGGATTGATTGTATTTTGTGGGTGAAACGCGGCAGCCAATTGCGTACAGCAGCGTCCCGCAAACAGTCATGGATTGAGTGAACACATTTTTGATTTTTTTAAGGGATTATTACCCTGAGAACCCAATCCACCAATTGATTAACAATCGGGTTCCTATTTACTGCTGGGTAAACAGGCGTTGTGTGGAGTAATGAAACTTGCATAAAGTTTTGCCCCACCCTGGGAATCGAACCTGAGTTCACTTGCTCGAGGCGAGCACTCTACCCACTATGCTACAGGACTCCTTTGAGTGAAGACACTGGACTCCACCCAGTGCCTTCACTCAAAGACTCAGTTAAAATCAAAGATACCTGAAACGTATCAGAGTTGAACAGTCGTTTGAGAGAAGCCCTGAAGTCAGACGGAAGGGTTGGTTGTTCAGTAACTTCCACAGTTTCATTGTGTTCATCTTCCTCTTCCTCCTCCCACCACCTGTGATAATCATCACCCACGGTGCTGAAATGCTTGAGGATCTTTGCCATCGGCACAGTGTCTTACAGTCCCGCTTCTCCTGTAACAACAAAAGTCAGGATTTCCAAGTTAATAATCCTTGCATTTGAGATAGCAACTTATCACAACAGCAGCAGCAACAACTTGTAGCGCCCTTCACGTGGGGCAGCGTCTCGGAGCGTTTTGTCGTTGGGACGTCTCAAAGCTCTTCACAGAATATATTGTGAAGTGAACTGACCAGGGCACAGGCACCGGGAGAAACTCCCTTCTCATCTTTCAAATAGTGTCACAGGATCCTTAATGTTCACCTGACCAGGCACTCCCCCAGTACCGCACTGGTGCGTGTCACTCTGGACTATGAATTTGACGAGACAAGTGGTGCCTTTGAACCCACAACCTTCTAACCCAGAGGCGTGAGGTCTACCAAGTGGGTCAGGCTTCCCCCACCGACTGGAAGGCGAGTGGGATGTGATGCTGAAGACCAGCACATATCAAGGACAGTCACTTGGTTACGGTTTGATACTCGGGAACAAAACCCAACTTCAGAAAATGGAGACATTTTAAGTGAGTAAAACTGAAATTGTGAAACAGTATGGCAACGAGCATATTGAGTAACAGGAGGTACGCAAACGTTTAACAATAATAATCCCCACATTTGGTATAGCGCCTTATCACTTCATCGAAACGTTTGTCTCAAAGCGCTTCACAAGAAATACTGTCAAGTGGATTGACTGTATTTTGTGGGCGAAACACGGCAGCCAATTGCGCACAGGATGTAAATTATAATTATATAACCGAGTTTGAGCGGCCAAATTATAATTTTTTTAAAAAAACACGATTAAAATGTTAAAAGCAAGTTAGTTCCCAGTTCATTTTGTGAACTGGCTTTCCCATGTGATTGGGGGCGGGAGGTCTGGTAATTTCATCCTGACAAGGTGACATGAAATAACATGACTATATCCACGACTCAACCAAATACATTCAGCACAGTACCACAAAGAGAGGTGAAACGTTTTACTCTCTGCACTTAACATTGCACTCAGGTGGGGGGGGGGGGGGGGAGGGGAATTAAACACCCAGGTAGGGTTTGATATTTTTTGGGGGGCGGTGGAGTCCTGTAGCTCAGTGGTTAGAGCACTCGCTTTGCAAGCGAGAGACCTGAGTGCAATTCCAAACAATTCCAGGGCGAAACCTTGGGCAAGTTTCCTTACTCCACACACAGCCCTAATAATAATCCCTCCAAAAACAATAATAAATTGGTTATTTTCAATCTACGACTGTTTGTGGGACATTGCTGTGCGCAATTGGCTGCCGCGTTCGCCCACAAACATACAGTCAATTCACTTTACAGTATATTCTGTGAAGCGCTTTGGGACGTCTAGAAGACGTGAAAAGCGCTATATCAAATGCAAGGATTATTATTATTATTTATTATTTCGGAAAATGATCAAATTGCAACTCCAGTGCACAAGAGAAAATAACAGATTTTAAGATAAACCTTCGGCTTACAAACAAACTCAGCTGCAGAAGTACAAACGATTTTAGGAAATGTACTTACAAGAAGGATTTGGGAGAGAAAGAAATTGCGTGTCGATATCCTTCTGTGTAAAAAAGTCTACTCTTTGACCCAAATCCTTGCTCACGCCTCTTTTCCTGGTCACAGGATGCCTTTGCTTCCGCTTTTTCTCTGCTACTTTATCTGCAAATGTAAGCTTCTTACTTTTCTTATGGTTTCCTCACCGATGAGACTCACTCTTTTGCAATAGATTTAGGTTCAAATCTAAAGTATTCACCTAATGAGCATTAACTCTTTTGAGAGTTGAAGCCCATTGTTTGTTTTAGTGAGAGAGAGGGGGGGGGGAACCAAGGATTTATTCCCCCACGTTTTATCCTTTTTCATCTTAAAAATAATTAGAGCCAGCACAGTTAAAAGCCAAAGTACACTTCCTTCCTCACACTGATGCGAGTGACCACGCAGAAACCATTTGGGTGTTGGAGGGGGTATTTGGGAAGCAAAGGGTATTAATTGTATTAAGTAATTTAAAGTAAAAGGGAGCTTTCTTTTTTTAAAAAAAAGTTGTTTGGCATGGTCTTTCGAGTGCTGTGGCTAAGTCGGCATCTATATTAGCTTTCAAGAGGGAACTAGACAGATAAATAAAAAGGATTTATTTGCAGCAGTTTGTTTTGGCTTAAGCCAGGTGTCTCGACACATGCGGAAACCCATCACCGGGCTTAAAAGAGCATCCGAACCAAACGGAGAATTCCATGCATCCCACATACACATGGAAAGTCCAGAGATAGATTGTTGGAATGGAATGGGTACTCTCTCTCCCTGGAGGGACGCTTCCTGCTTATCAAGCAGTATGGTGGGGGGGGGGGGGGGGGTGGGAATGTGGGTAAATGAGACTGAATGGATTCCTCTATCAAAATAGCGAGCATAGATAGGAGCCAAATGACCTTCTTCTGTGCTGTAAATGCCATGGCAAATGAGTGATTTATCTCATTGCGCTGGATCACTGTGGGAAGCACGTTGTCAATCCTAAGTGAAAAGCAGCATCATTAAAACACAACATTCCCTCCACTCAAGAGGTTTAAAACTTAATTAGTGTATATGAGGTGCTGAAAGTCGATTGGGAGCTTTATATAGGGCTAAGATTAGAAAGAAGCAGAGCAAAAAGGGGAGCTAAAGTCTTCTATTGCACAACTGGTCTTAGTTACATTCCAAAGGTCTGGCATCAAGAAGACACCAAAGTACAGTACTTTAAAAGTCTTGTCTTTTGAACTGTTTAACTAAGCTGAGACAATAAATAAAATTCCTAGCAGGTCTGCTGATAGCTTCGCAGTGTTTTTAAAGCATGTTGAGCATTTCAACAAGGGTGCAATTAACAGACATAGGGTGCAGGAAATTGTTCTAGGCAGCGGCTTGGAATCTGTGTTGAGGTAGCAACACTTTGTGGAGTCCTGTAGCTCAGTGGTTAGAGCACTCGCTTTGCAAGCGAGAGACCTGAGTTCAATTCCAGGCAGAGGGCGAAACCTTGGGCAAGTTTCCTTACTCCACACAGAGCCTAATAATAATCCCTCCAAAACAAAAACAATAATAAATTGGTCATTTTCAATCTACGACTGTTTGTGGGACATTGCTGTGCGCAATTGGCTGCCGCGTTCGCCCACAAATATACAGTCAATTCACTTTACAGTGTGTTCTGTGAAGCGCTTTGGGACGTCCTCCCGCCGTGAAAAGCGCTATATCAAATGCAAGGATTATTATTATTATTAAACCCTTTCCTCCAATGTCCAGCTGGCAATAGTGCGGTCAGCTATGGAACCAAAGAAAGCATTCTAGGTGACATTACTCAGATCAATCTGTAGAAATCAAAAGGAGTCAAGGGTAGATTAGGGAACGTGCAAGATCAGTCATCGCCACCCACCTTTGATCAATATTAGTGCTAAGTGGTTATAAGTTTAATTCACTTTTCCTTCCCCACCCGATCAAACTCACTGAAGCCAACTAACTGGTATTCGGTACAATACTCAGGCCATACTATTTCCTGACAACCTTCCTCTTGGACTGTGCTTAGTCACTTCCTCGGCATTAGGCCACCATTAAGCATTCAAGTTGCTACCACACGTGAAGAATGCTATATAAATGCAAGTTGTTGTTATCGACATTTGCTCAACACGAGTGCACGAGGCTGGTGGAATCTGAGTGATATTTAATAGCTCACCAAAAGCAGGAGTCAGGATTTGTAAACAAGCTTTATTTCCCACCATCCCTTTTGTTTTGAACAATGCATTGTTACTCAGCTGAAAGAGCAAATTGACACCCAGGGAGTCTAACAAAGTGCCACTTTCCTCCCTCAGTGGGAAGCCCATGGGAGCTTTCCCCACGATTTTCTTCTTCTTGTGGATGGTGGAGGGTAGGTGGAAAGAGAAACGAGTCTCCTGCAGTTATAGCTGAGATCAGGAGCTTATTGTGCAGAGGAGAAAACTGGTGGTTATCGTGATCATTACAAGTACTTTAAACAGTTGCTTCTGGCTTTTGGAAATAGTTGGGAAGAAGAAAGAGAGCAAGCAGAGAGGCAGAAATAAAGAGCAGTGCTGCAGCCAGTGACACGCTGTTCCTTGTGAGCAGCAATGCAGCAAACTGTGTCAGTCCTGAGAAGAGATTGCTTCTGGTGGCCTCAGAAAAAATTGCAATGGTGGGGGAGGGGGAGAGAGAGAGAGAGAGAGAGAGAGAAAAGGAGGTTTTGAACTTTATTCTCTCTAAACTAAAAATCCCCAATCCTTAAAAGAAACAGGAAACAATTAATACATGGCTGGATGCGTTCATGAGCAGAATCACAATCCGTTCCTCCACTCCAAGGCAGCCCTAGTGACGGAATTAATTTCATATAATAATAGCATTTGATATAGCACCTTATTATGCCTTGAGACATCTCAAAGCACTTCACAGAACTGTACAGTAAAGTGAATCGACTATCTATTTTGTGGGTGAAATAATTTGGGGGGAAAACAATTTATGACTGAAAATTAAAAAATGCCAAATGTAAAATAATGGCTTTATTTCATCATTTTAAAATATACAGTACAGGAAGTGTTCAATCAATCAAATTTTACGTAATTTCCAGTGATGCTGGCAGAGTGGAGAGGCAGACAGATCCTTCCTCTGATCACGACATCTATTACAAGACAAGTTGTTTGGCGTGACAGACCTGAAGACTTCAAAAAAAAAAAGCAAAAATGCATTCCTCCAAAAGAACCGTTTGGTGAGAAAATACAATTTTTTTTTGAACTGTTATTTTCACAGTGGTTTTTATAAACAGTATGCCACTTCTAAACACTTTCGACGGTGAGTTTTAATCTCCCCCCTCTCCCAAAATGGTCATTTGCCAGCACCATCTCCAAGTCCTTTTTTAAAAAAAACAAAGAAAGAAAAACCCCATTAAACTGTCATCACAAGGCAATTTACAACACTTTCATGAACTGTACCAAATGTCAAATTTCTTGTCAACTACGATACCCCTCCCTCCCATTCAGATCTGCTGAAGGACAGCACCTGTAATGTTAGCACTCCCTAAGAAATAGGAGCCCTGTTGCAGGCTTGAGATCTACAGTTCTACATAATATTCTTCCATCTTAGGGGGAGCAGTCACATTTGCTGCTATGGGACAGCAACCAGGGTTCGGTATATCACAGCAGAGAAACCACAAGTCAACGGGTAGTAATCTAATCCAAGCAAGCCGACAGATACACATTACACAGAGAGAGAGAGAGAGAAAGAAAAAAAGTTAAAAATGGGAGACAAACTGGTATAATACAAGTCCAAATAGGCTATGCCGGAGTGTCCTGGTTTTTATTTCTTGGGCTGTTTTGTGATCATGCTCCTGGGTGGTGTTACAGGCCGGTTTGTATTCTGTTTCTTCTTCTCTGCTGGCTTCAAAATCTAAATGGGAGAGAAAAATCCAGTATTTGAATAGGCATTGCTGACAAGTCACACTGTAACATGATCTGTTGATACATTAACGAAAGTCAAGCAAGCTTAACAGGGTGGGAGGAAGGAGAGAAGAGGAAAGGAATGTTCAAGGAACCAAAGGAACACATTCCCCCCCAGGGGCCAATCAGGGTTTAGGCTGACAGTAAAGCATCTTTAATAACATGAGGTTACACATCTACTCTTGTGTTGCCTGCAATATTGCTCACCTGGAAAGAGCACATCAGGGTTTCATCAACACTCATCATGGCACCTGCATTGTCAAATTCCCCGCAATAGTTGGGTGCAGAGAACAGAGTCACCAGCTGCCTCTTGGCAAAGAACTCATAGCCATCTTCTACAACCTGTGTATAGAGAATAGCAAACCCGGATTAATTTATTTATACATTTACAATCCAATAGCACTGCTGCCAAGTATAAACCAGAGGTAGGTAATACATTCATACCGCAGCCCTAATGCTGCCTCCCTTATGTTGCTACAATTACCGAGGCAGAAGTTATTGTGGACTTGAATCATTGTGATAAATGATGCAAGTCCTACATCACCTAAATGGTGTCCAAGTTCATATCGCAAGAGGTTCGGATGAAGCAAGCCCTCCCACTTATTTCATAACTTCCTTCCAGAATACACCCATCGTAACATTGCAGTGTCACAGCAATAAGCTGTTTCTGGAATGAGTCTAGCATCCTGACCACCCTCCCTCATAACCTATTCCAAATAGCTACTGAAGGTAAAACAAACTTCCCATTGTACATCCTAAAATGCATCTCTGAACCTTGCCCTCTTATCCAGTTGTCTTATATGAGTAGGCACATCCTATTGCGCGCTTGGGAGACAAGACTCATTGAGATAAGAGATGCCCCTCTTTCTTGCTTCCAAATGTCAAGCTGACAACTTTGGCAGCCTAAACACACATTACGAGTTATTGCAACATGAAAAACACTCTGGGTCAATGTAATAAGAACACTGGCTGATTATGATCTAAGCACAGCCAATAAATGTTTATTATGACCAATCCATAGAGCACAATTTTAAACAGTGAAATAAGTCACAATCAAAAAGTTTAGCTCTGCTGGAACATTGCATTGGTGGAGAGATAGCCAGCCCCAAGTTAAACCCAAATGAAAGCTGCTGTATCCCACACCTGATGAGCTCTGCAGATGAGATCCAAGTCATGTTTATGAAGGAATTTTGCGACCACTTCTGCTCCGAATGTGAAGGAGACGCCTCGATCGTTCTCACCCCACCCCAGCACATCTTTGTCGGGATCCGACCACAACAGGTCACACAGGAGCCCCTGGTCGGGCACGTCAGTGGGTCGCATGATTCGTCTGATTTGCTCCATGGACTGGAGATCGGGTGACAAGCCTAGTTAAAGGTTAAATTAAAAAAACATGAGTCACAGCTAATATCCAATTCACCCTGTGGCCGGCAATCATAGCAAGTAGGTTTATGGTGTAAAGTATATTTCTATTTGTTGGCTTCAATGCAAACACAGAAACAGTAAGCATGTTATGGAGGGGTGGGGGAGAATAAAAGATTTGGACCATCAACAATTTGCATTGTTACAACACCCTACAGCGCTGGACAGTGGCAGAGCATGATGCCAAGACTGGGGAGTGAAGAGCACAGTCAGGCACAACCCGAAGATGGGGAAGGAGGGGGATAGAGGAAGCAAGTTCCAGAGTTTCGGGGCGCAGTGGTTGAAAGAATAAGCTTGTCAGAAGGAGACTCCTTTATAAGAATAAGCCGTGATTGGCCCCGGGGGGAGGGGAATGTGTTCCTTTGGTCCCTTGAACGTTCCTTTCCTCTTCTCCCCTTCCTCCCACCCGGTCAGTTTAAATGGCTTCCTCCTACCTTACATTCTGAAGCACTTTTAATGCCAATTTACATTGTTTTGTTGTGCATGTGATGGGACTTTGCAACCATGTCGGATAGTACAGACCTCCATGACAGCAAAATATCTTCTCATCCACAATGGCAGCGATGGGTAGACAGTTGAAGCAGTCTGTAAACGTTTTCCACAACTTAATGTTGTACCTCCTTTTACCTAAAAGAGGAAAAGTGGAGAGTTTTATCCCTTTGCCTTTTGTTGATTCGAGGGCCAGTTGATTCGAAAGCTAGCAAAGGAATGAAAAATAAATATTTCCTTACATTCGTCATAAAATCCGTAGATCCTGTTGATGCTGGCACATTCATGGTTTCCTCGCAAAAGAAAAAAATTCTCAGGATATTTTATTTTGTAGGCCAACAAGAGGCAGATGGTCTCCAAAGACTGCTTCCCCCTGTCCACATAATCTCCCAGAAACAGGTAGTTGCTTTCTGGTGGGAAGCCTCCATATTCAAACAGCCGCAGCAAATCATAGTACTGGCCGTGAATATCTCCTGGGGGAGAGAAAACAAGCTACAGTTAGATCTAAATTCCCTGCGCACAAGAAAAATAGAACGAGTTACTAATTAGTCACCAACACACAAGAGTAAAAATATTGGGGAGTGAGGCGAGCAAAGAGGAGGAACGAATGAAGACAATCCAGACAGCAAAATATTCTGTGAAGCTCTTTCAGACGCCTTGAAGACATGATAAGGCACTATATCAAATGCAGGGATTATTATTAAAAATTCTCACAGTTCCACATGTCGCAGAATGTAGCCCACATTATAAACAGGGGTTTGTGCCACAACACCGAGACCCAAAGGCAATTATTACAGGCAAAAATATTATTAACACAGTGCCCCTCTAACAACAACTTGCATTTAGAGCGCACTTAAAGACATAGCTTACACCAGAGTTTTTTTTAAAAAAGAGCACATTTAAAAAAAATAACGGCGCTACAACTCACCACATATTTTCAAAGGGGCTTCAAGTTCTAGCAGAATGGGCTGACTGAGGAAGATTTCACGTGACTTGAGGCACAGGCCTCGGATCTCATTCTCTTGGAGCTGGACACTTTTACCTGGTTTGGAACCTCGCACTAGATTGCAAGAGAGAAAAGACAAGAGGGGGGGGAAAAGAGAGAAAAAACAGACAGGTCAACACACTGGCTACAAGTTTATTTCACTTAGTCTTAAAAATTCTGATCCTGTGTAGCTGATCATGAAATATTTAGCATAATGTTACCGTGCTAAGAGCACCCTGTGAACCGGAAATTCAAGAACACATTGTGGGAAAGGCACGGATTAAGTTCTTTCGTGGTTTGAAAACGTCTGCATTGTGGAACAATCAATCTTGTCAAGATGAACCAAACAGAGGTGCAGTGATGCCCTGGTCTTTGAGGTGCCCTTTTCCACTTACAACTTGTCATGGAAGTGGGCTGCCCTGATCCTTCTCCAATCACAGACAGAAGTGGAAGCACACAAAGCAGTTAAAAATATTTCTGAAAAAAAGGTCATCGACCCGAAACGTTAATCTACTTTCATCTCTCCATAGATGCTGCCTGAGCTGCTTAGTTCCCAGCAACTTGTTTTTAATTCCAGTATCTGCAGTATTTTGCCTTTTTTATTGTTAAAAAAATATTCTGTTCCTTTTACATTGAAACATTAACCCCAATCGTGCTGTGTGTGTTGGTGGTGGGGAAGGGGGGGGGAGGAGGAGAGAAAGAAGGCTGACTTGGTGGAATTAAGGTTAAATCAGACAGAAGCAAATTTATTACTAGAGCTATAATCATTCCTGCTTCAGTGATCGTGTAATTTTTAGCTCTGCATAATTCCTCCTAGTTCTGCCTATTCTCCAGATGAGGTCAAAACCACTCTATATATATATTTTTGCAAAACACATACAATAAACTAAAAATGCTACTACAAAGTACTCAGAATGATTAATGGAACAGCTTGATGTTTTTAAAATGGGTTACTGATGTGCAAATAGCCTCTTTAGCTAATGGTTTTAGGGTTCCGCATTTAGAAACCGTTATCCCCCAATAGATTATTCAGTAATACTAATAGCCAGGATTAAGACCAAGTAATCATATCTGTGTTTATTCATATTTCTTCAATATCCAATTTAACACTTCCACTCAACAATTGATGTAAGGCATATTAGATTGTACATTACAAACAGTCAGTTGTTGTAACTAGGCAGCAGGATTAAAGAAAAGGACAAAAAAAGCTTTGTCAACTTCCAATTAGTTCCCCCTTTTGGGTTATTAATAAAATAAATCTTCCATTTGATATTGGGGCAAGAAAAGCAAGGACTTTCTCCCAGTGTCCTGGCCAACAACTAACAGCATAAACAAGACGACACCACCACAAGAGTAGGTTGTGTATCTGTTCCAATTCAACTTGTGATCAAACCAAACTTGTTATGCACATTTCTCCTCTCTTTCCAGTTAAAAAAAAACACTCTTTAATTATGCATGCAACATCCACTGGGCACATTATGTGAGTGAATACTTCATATAAAAAATGCCAACAGATGAATGTTTATTAAGCTGTCCAGAAACATAAACAGGGCAGCCACACAAATCTAACTCAATTATACAATAGGGTCTCGTATAGTAGGTTCTCAATGCTATGGTGAAGAAGAACAAAACAAGCACATTATTTACTTGACTGGTTGGCATGCAACACAATTCCAGAAGCTTGCCCTTTAGACATTTAGTGAGTTTCTGATGTTGGGAGCAGCAGTCCTTAGGATTTAACAAGCCGCACCAAAATGAAGTACAAGTAACATACTGATTCTACAGTTAACTGGCCAAAGTCCTCTCCCAGCATTTAGTAATTCAGTACTGACATTTGTATCTACTGATAGGGAGAAAATAAACATCTAGTCAAGGTTCACACTCTGCCAACAACAACCTCTGCTAAAGATTCACACATGTACTGTAGATTCTTGGTAGGGGCAGAATTGGGGCTGACTGAAAAAACTGATTGAATAGTCTGCCAACTACACTCAACCAAGGCTCACACACATAATTAATGCTTATTTTTTTGGGACCAGAAAGCAACTATTGCATATGGGCCCATACTATACTAGGGGCGGGGGGGGGAAAGAGAGAGTGAATAAGAGAATCAGTATCTCTACTTATTCAAAGCAAACCTAAATGGAAACCAGTATTTGTTAAATTTTCCAGAATTAAAACAATTCAGAAAGAGGTAGGAAGGTATTTAAAAAGAGGAAGACCCCAAAAGGTGATACGATTACTCCTTTTTTTAAAAAAAACAAAGTATTTTACTTTAAGGTAAACTTTCCAGGAAGCATTTATTAGAATACATCACTTATTGTGGTTGTAACAGTTTGGCCAATTTTATCAGACCCTCCTCTTTAACAAACGGTTCCACATGTTTATATAAGTCCCAAAGCTCCATCACTCAAACTGATCCTAAATACCACCCAGCATTTATAAAACAGCTCAGTTTATAGTTAAATCCAACTGCACAATTGAGACATCATAAACTGTTCAAAGCATCACTCAGAGTTTATGACATCATATGAACTCTTGGCTGGAATCTTACTGCCTTGAGATGTACACTTTGAGCATTTTCTTTGTTCTATAAAACCGCAGCCACCTAACACTGCAGACCCAATACAATCACAAAGGACTGCACATCTTCAGGACTTAAATCGTAAATTTAAAAAGTGCGGCAACATCCGATGCACCTAATTCCGCAAACAGGAACAGAAAACACAAAAATAATGATAGCTGATCAGTAACCTCACCTCAAATTCAGACATTATCTAATGATCGAGGTACAGATTGCTTGCTACCCGTCTGCAAGTCATGAGCTCGGGAAGAAAATGCATCATCCTTGAGACTGATTATTCCGGAAACCGTATTAAACATTCACACATAGCAAAGCAGCCCCAGAATGTAAAGCAGTCTCGCTTTTTTTTTTGGTGTGTAGCCCTTACAAAAAGAGTCTCACACGCACGAACTATAACATGGCATGCGGTATCTGGAACAATAAACCCAGACTGGATTTGACTTAGAACAAGTAATGACCTGAATTCCAAAAGCACAAAAAGCCGCAAGAAAAATCCCCGTCAAGTCCTGGGTCGGAGCCTATTTTATATATATATATATATATATATACACACACACACACATATATATATTTGCATTGGAGTTCCAGTAAGCTTTTTCGTACCCCCCCAAGAAGAAGAACACTACCCTCGCTCAATTCCTAGGATTTTGTTTTGCGGAGTGTGCCAGGGGAGGAAAGGGGGAAAAAAAGGAGAGAGAGAGAGAGAGAGAAAAAGAGAAAGAGCGCTTCTCTTTCGGGCAGAGGATTTTATTTCAATTTGCATTTTATTTCACGTCCCAGTTGTTCAAGATTTTGGACTCTCTCTCTCTCTCTCTCCCCCCCCACAAAACACTCACTCCCCCCCCCCATCGCTCGCTCTACATACACACACACACACACACACCGCCATTTCTTTGCCTTGCGTTGCTCTTGACAAGCTCAAGACGTCAAAATGGACACAGGGTGTAATGTAATGTGATGGGGAGGTGGTGGGGAGGAGGGGGGGAGGGGGAGGGGGGGGGGGTGGGAGAGAGAGAAAGGAAAATAAAAAAATCCTCGTCGCTTTTTACCCCCCCCCCTTTCCCCGGTCTTTCGGGGTCTCTCTGATCTCTCGTCCCCACCCCCCCCCCATGGGCTTGTAACGGTGGGGGAGGGGGAGGGGAAGAGGGGGAATTAAAGCCATAACTGTGGGGGGGAAGAGAGAGAGAGAGAGAGAGGAGATAGTGAATAGGACGGTGGGGAAGGGAATACGCCAGTTATTAAGGAGCCGGGAGTTTTTTTTTAATGGGAGGGGGAGAGAGAGAGAGAGAGAGAGGAGGGAGAGCTCATGGCGTCCATTGAGGGGGAGGGGGGGGGGGAGGCGTGTGTGTGTGTGTGTGGGGGGGGGGGGGGGGGGGAGAGGGGGTAAAGACGCTGAGGCCTAGTGCGTGCGGAGGCCCCCGGGGGAGCCTGGAAGAAGCCGCCGCTCCCCTTTTTTTTCCCCCTCCCCCCCGCAAAAAAAAAAACCTTTTACACTGATTAAAACAAACCTTTCCCTCCCCCCAACACACACACACACACACACACACATGGCCGCTCAGGGAGAGAGAGAGAGGGAGGAGGGGAGAGAGAGGAGAGAGGGGGAGAGAGAGAGAGGGGAGATGTGTGCGTGTACACACACACACACACACATATATATATATATATAACCTCCAGAGGAAACAAAGAAAGAAAGAATAATAATAGTAATAAAAGATTAAAACCACGAAAAAAGAGAGAGAGAGAAAAAAATCTCTCTGCTTTCACGCCTTCCCTCCCTCCGCGCGCGCGCGCCCACCCGCCCGCACCCACGTATATATATATATATAATAACCAGAGAGAGAGAGAGAGAACAAAATAATAATAATAATAATTAAATAAAGATGAAAACCACGGAAAGAGCGGGCGGGGAAGGGAAAGGGAGGAAGAGAGCTGAAGCGGCCGCCAAACCGACTCTTTTTTTTCCCCCCTTCTCTCTCTCTCTCTCTCTCTCTCACATCGAAACCAAACCACAACCGTCGTCGTGTCGTCGTCGTCCTCTCTCTCTCTCTCTCTCTCACACACACACACACTCACTCACTCTCTCTCACACACACTCACTCTCTCACACACACACACTCACTCACAGATCTCTCTCTCTCTCTCTCTCACCTTCTAACAACCTCTGGATGATGCTGTCTATGTTGAGTTTGTCGATGTCGGCCATGATCCTTCACAGAAACAGAAGCAAAAGCGGCGGCGGCGTGTGCTCTCCTCTCCTCTCCCGGCTCCGGCCGGTGTGGCGTCTCTCTCTCTTTCTCTCTCTCTGTCTCTGTCCGTCTCTCTCTCTCTCTCTCTCTTTCCTTCTCGTCGCTTCTCTCTTCTCTTTTTTTTTGAAAAATAAAATGGCGTCACCGCTCGGCGCACGGATACCGGGCAGCGGTGGAGAGGAGGGGGGGGCGGCGACCCACCCGGCACTACTTTGCATCAATCAAAGCCGCGGCTTTTTAACCGCCCACGTGTTGAACGTGCTGGTGCGCTTCCGCCGCACTGGCTAACGCGTGGTTTCACTCTCAACCCCCTCCTCCCCTCCCCTCCCCTCCCCCCCATCCCTCCCCCCAACACTATTATTATTATTCATTTTTTCAGGGATACCTCGTGAATATTCAAAGAGTGGGCTGTGAAGTCACTCCGCTTTGCGGTAAAGTCCTGCCAAGCGCTTTGATGCGTCCGTTAGTTAATTAATCATAATAATAATTAATAATTAATGATAATGATAATCCTTGTCCCCCGACACGGCGGCGCCTTATCGGGTAGTCTCGAGACCGTCCCGAAGCGCTTCGCGGGATATACCGCAAAGCGCAGCCCGTCGAGGGGCTTGTGGAGGTTGCGGACCAAACGCGGCCCCCCCCCCCCCCCAGTTTGCGCGCGCCGTCCCGCAAGCTGCCGTGGAGCGAGCGGCCAATTTTTATTTGGGGGATTTTTGATGCCCCGGCTGAAAGCTACCGTGTCGTTGAAAGGAACAAGCTGCCCCCATCCCCACTCCCACACTCACCAGCCAGGTCACACTCTGCTGCACGCACGCCGTCAATGCAAATTTTTTTGGGCAGAATGATTATCTCAGCTTCTCGCTTCCAGCAAGAATACAGATGCTGCAAAGGTCCCCGATGATAAAATAGTCGAGTGTAATGAATTGGAATTTGGGTCTAAATTTGGATAGTTTGCTATTCTGGATTTAAATGGCTCATTATCCTTGCAGCATAAAGCCACTTGACGGAGATTGAATTCTCATCTCGAAATCACTTACCGCAGCGCTGGTTTAACACGGTTATTGGCATATCAATTTCAGACTCTGTCCCTGTTTTGGGCAATCATCTTTGGCATTAACCTGAACTTGGCCCCTTTTGCACAAAGGGCAATTCCAATGAATCCCTCCGTGGGGAGAGAGCATTCCTACAAGCTGGCTTTGCAAACAGAAATGATGAATACATATCTGACAAGTAATGACAGAGATCAGCCAATTGAAGCATTCCTTTTTATTGATGTCTTGAAAGAAACAGACTCCGAATGGATATTGTCCTTATAAGGGTTCCTTATAAGCACGCGCCTTGCAAACCAGATAACCCAGCTTGATTCACAGGTCGGGCGAAATCTTAGGCACGTTTCCTTACTCCACACGCCTCTCTTTACCTAGCAATAAGTAGGAACCTGGTTGTTAGTCGATTGGCGGATTTCGCCCACACAACACACAGTCAATCCACTTTACAGTATATCCTGCGAAGCGCTTTGAGACGTCTCAACGACACGACAAGGCGTTCTATGAAATGCAAGGATTATTCTCATTAATTAATGGTACGAAACGTCGGGATCAGTTGCCTTCATTTAGTAAACAGCAGAAAGCGTCGCGGGGGTGGAGCGGCGGCGGTGGCGGTGGGGGGGGGGGTGGGTGGGGAGTGAGGGTTGAGGAGGCAATTATATTTTAGCAGGGCAACTTTACAACAGGTAATTTTTTGGGGGGAAGAGCTGTGAGGCAAACCCAATGGCTTCGCCCCAGGCATTTAAACAGGGAGGGGGAGAGAGAAAGAGAGAGAGAGAGAGAGGCAGACAAGTGCTTCCAATGTGATCTGTGTTGCCAGTTGTGGAACTGGAGGGGGACTTGCCCTCCAGCTGGTTCCAAAAGCCCATTATTCGGTAGAAGACATCAATGTTGTGTTGGTAACCATTGGCAACTGCAACCCCAGCATCTCCTGATACCCTTAAATTCCCATTTCTCTCTCTCTCTCTCTCTCTGTCTCTCTCCTACATCGTCTGCAATCGAGTGAGTGAGTGAGTGAGTAAAGTGCCTGTGGGCACCTTTCCCAGTTCCCTTCCCAGTTTCGTTGTGCAAAGTCACTCAGTTCCTAAAGGGTTGGACCACTCCACCAGTTCGTTTTGAAGGGAGTCGCCCTTGGGTTGAGTAACTTTCTTTCCAATTGTGCTGTAAAACGCTGATGCATCAAGATTTACTCCCCCTCCCCACCCCCTTTTTTTTTAACCAATAAAATAAATTGGTCACAGGGCAGGAATCTCTCCTCTTGTCTTTCTTTTTTTTGGGGGGGGGTTTCAATGAACAAATCTTACCTCTAAAGAGGTTAGGGTGTGCCTCTGCCCATCTTAGCATCAAGGTGGGTTGCTTGTTGGACTCCCAGTGTCATGGTCTCAATACCATCCTTCCTTTCAACCCTATGTCCTCTTCCAGTCATGATTTGTCCTCTGTGTAAAGAAATACTTCCGTGTTTTTCTGTCCGCATCTTCAGGCACCACACCCCAAAGCTTTGGAACTTTCTCCCTCAATCCCCTCTTTCCGTTCACGACTTAAGACCTTCCTCTTCGACCATGCTTACGGTAGCCTTCTCCCTGCTCCCCCACCCCCCCCATCTCCAATAGGGAGCCGGTTCCATACATTTACGACTCGCTCACTGAAATAGCGAGGAAACGTGTTACAATACGGTTGACACTCGTGTAACGCCTTTCAAGTTGGGAGGTCATCGCGAAGCCTCAATGCTTTTCTTTCCTCCTTTCTCTTGTGTTTCTCCGTAGCCGCCAACATGATTCAGTCGCTGACCAATTTCTCGGAGAGCGAGTTGGAACCCGAGGGGTCAGCCATCGCTCTCAAGAACAAGCTCCAACAGCAGCTGAGGCTGCTGGAGGGCGATCACAGGGCGTACAAAGAGGAGGCAGAGAGAATCATCTCCCGCCAGGAGTGAGTCACTGCACACATGCGCACACACACAGCTACACACCAACAGCCCATTGCACAGAGCTTTATTAATAATAATAATCCTAGCATTTGATATAGCGCCTAACACACCATTGAGACTTCTCAAAGCGCGTCACAGGATATATTGTAAAGAGGATTTTGTGTGCGGATGTGGCAGCTGATTGCACACAGCAGTGTCCCCACAAACAGTTGTGCATTGAGTGACCATATTATTAATATTTATTTTTATTGAAGGGTTTATTACCCCAGGTAAACGACTTGCCAATCGACTAACAACCGGTTTAACTACATACTGGTTTATTCGCAATTGGCTGCCATGTTTCATCCAAAAAAAAAAGTCAGTTCACTTTGCGGTATATCCTGTGAAGTGCTTTGAGACGTGATAAGGCGCTATATCAAACACAAGGATTACTATTATTATAATTAAGGGTACTAGGGGTTAGACTTTGGGGTCCTCAAGCCTTGGCTTCTACCAACCTGCGCATAATACTTAACGGAATGTATGTGGGTTTCCGCATGTACGTGTGAGACACTCAGCTGACCTACCCCTCTCCCCTCTCCCCCCTCCTTAAAAAAAAGCATATAAGGAGAAAAGCAAGAGGGAAATAATCTACTATGAGCTAATAAGATGGTGGAAGAGGAACTATGGCTTGCTCCTGTTCTTAGGCTTCCCTCGTGATGAAACACCAGAACAAATACATTCTGCTTCGCCCAGATCGAGGACAAAACATGTAGCCTTTCACATTTTACAGCAAATTATAAGCTGCGCTGGGAGGACACAATAAAGCAGCAGTTATATAATGCTGCTCTCCCATTAAACACAGACTTTGTCCTCACTTGCACAGCTCTGGGAATTAACAGAACATTAATATTATGAGGTTGCTAGGTGTCACCTCCCAAACCAATGTCACGATTGTGAGTTCTAAGAATACTTGTAACAGAGCCCCTTATCTTATAATCCCAATATATATATATATATATATATAAACTCACTGGATGTTTGACTCCACTCCACTCACTTTATCATTCTCCCCACCCACCCCCTGTTCAATGAGCTACATTGAGATGTAGTGACTGTCAATCAAGAGCTCCCAGCAAATAGTGCTGTAGGATTCTTAACAGAAAGCTAAGTGTCTGATGCACACGTCACGTGTCAGCTTGACCTAGTCTCCGAACCAAACCACTGAGTTTCCCCACACACATGCACGCACACACACATGCACACACACACGCACTAACACATGCACACAAACACACACATGCACGCATGCACATGCACACGTATGTGGAAATGTCTCTGTCTGGAACATAGAAATGTAGGAACATGGGAGCTGGAGTAGGGCATTCAGCCCCTTGAGCCTGTTCCGCCATTCTAATGGATTATGACTGATCTAAATCCACACCCACTGTTTCCCTGGGAGTGCCACACTTTGCTCAACTAAATCTTCAGAAAGTACCAAACACTGGTTGGCAAAGGAGGGAGGAGGGAGGGAGGAAAGGAGGGAGGGGAAGGGGGGAATATTACAATCACTGAGCAATGGAAGTTCCACCTACTTCTCCATCCAGGACCACACTACCTACCTACCTGCTACTTACCTACCTGTCAGGTTCCTTACCTGCCCTAAAAGACATAGGCTTTCAAAATGCCTATTTGCATCATTTCACCCACAAAATACACAGTCACTCCACTTTACAGTATATCAACTCGATGATGTGATAAGGCGCTGTATCAAATGCAAGGATTATTATTATATGATTATATTTCAGACGTGAACTAAACCTCTACGTAAATGAGCAAGAGGAATTGGAAACCAACCTGGCCCTGGTGACGTCTCCTCAGAACCTGCTGAAGGACAATAGGAATTCAGCAGAGATCAAATATCTGTTGGAGAGTAAGGATGAGTACGATTACCTTGTCCAACAGGAGAAAAACCTCATCTCTAAGCTCGACGCTGAGGTATGTCCCCAGGTTCCTGATCCCCCCCCCCACCCCCCCACCCACCCCCCCCCCACCCACCCCAACCCCCACCTGGCTTCTAACTCCTGAATACGAGGTGGGCTTGGAATTGGTCGCACTAAGCTCCATGAGCCGATCACCCCTATCCTCATCTGGCTTCACTGGCTCCCCATCCTTCCAGAGGTTAGAGTTCAAGATCCTCATCCTTACCTTTAAAGCCCTCCACGGTCTTGCTCCTCCCTACATCTGCGACCAATTATTCCTTTCGGTCTCCAAGCACTGGCCTGCTCCACGACCCCCGCCCTACCCGCACTACTCTTGATGGTCGGGACTTCAGCCTTTCTGCCCTCCACCCTCAGGAACTCCATACCGGAGTCCCCCACCTCGCCTTGGGGGTAGAGGGAAAGTGGTTACTATATGTTGGCATCCCATATATTGGCAAAAATAGCACAGCACAGGTATGTCATGTGAACACAGGCATCCACCCCTCACCCTCTCCTCCCCCTCCCCACCACAAACACATGCATACACACTATAAACACACACACACACACACACAGAGCGAAGAGCATCACACAGCCACAAGTGGTTTCTCTGGCACAGATCAAAAGCCAGGAGGAGAAGATTGAAAAGCACAGGATGGCCGTGGGAGGTCTGAAGAGCGTTCACAAACATCGCAGACAAGTGGAGAAACACATTCACGTCCTGGAGAACCAGTTGAACTTGGTAGGTTGACAAACATGTGTGTTGGGGCAAACATAAATAATCCCTTTCAGAGCCGGTGGGTCAATCGAGTTTGTGCCTTCAAGGCCCGTCTCAAGACCCTCCTCTTCGACCGTGCTTTCGGTCACCCTCCTACCCCACCCTCCCTGCCCTCCACCCATCCTGGTTGCCTGGTTTTGGTTGAACCCACAATCTTCTGACTCAGATGCATGAGTGCAACTGACTGAGCCAATTCGAGGGAAGACAGCCTGAGTTTCTCCTCTTATGTGAATCTTCCCGTCTCTGGTAACAGGATTTAGTACTCGGCTGATTGATGGCATTATGATTGCTGCTTTAGGTGAACATTTCATTCATTCATTGGCTTTTCTCTATCTTTTTTTTGGGGGTGGGCGGGGGCTTGGGAATAAAAGGCAACCGTGAAGTTTAACACAATTCTGACGAAGAATCGAAATCTTCGGGAGGAGATCAACAATCTGAGAATTCATAAGGAAATCTACGCCAAACTCTTCAACAAGCTGAACGCCAAACTGCAGCATCAGAAGAAGTTAATGAAGGAGATTGTTCAGGAGTCGGTGTTGGCTTATGACCAGCGGTGAGTATTTGTCTAACTCATGGCAGATCACAGAGAAGGGGATGTGAGGAGCAGGGGCAATGGGGGAAAGGGGGAGGGGATGGAGCAAGCAGGGGGAACAGCAGAGGCGACCAACCTTACGTCCAACTAAATCGCAAGATGAGATGTTAAACCGAGATCCCGTCTGCCCCCTGTTCGGGTGGACGTTAAAGATCCCGCGGCGCTATTCGAAAAGAGAAGGGAGTTTCTCTCTCTCTCTCTCTCTCTCTCTCTATCTCTCCTCCTCTCCCGGTGTCCTGGCCAACAATCCCCCAAACTAAAAAGTGGTCACTCACCTCCATGCCTGTTTGTGGGACACTGCTGCTCGCAAACTGGCTCCCACAAAGTATACAGTCACTGCACTTTCCAGCGTACCTGGTGAAGGGCTTTGAGATGCCTCAATGGCGTGATGAAGTGCTGCATCAAACTAAGTCACCTTCTTTCTCTATCGTTTTGAAATGAAAGGATTATTATTATAATAAGACAGATGTGGTGGGGGCAAGGGGGTGGGGGGAAACCTAAAATTAAGGATGCAGACAGAGAATGATGGTGATGGAGAAGGTGGGGTTTGGGAGGGTGTTTGAGGGAGGTACACTGATCTCGGACACGGACTTGCACACGGTTATCAGATAGCACAGAGGCTCAGTGTTGGTTGTTGCCAGGATGGAAGCAGAGTCCAGGATCATAGCAGTGAGAGAGCGCAGTGAGAAGGATATCCAGCTCTACAACACGGAGATCAAGGAGCTGATGCGGGTTATAGACCACGAGGCCAAGCTGAAGGAGTTTATGCTCATCAAATTCCGACAGCTTGTGAAAGAAGGTACTCGGAACCCCCTCTCTAAATTCCTCCACCTCACTCACTCTGTAAACCCCCTTCACCTCAACCCCTCTCTAAACCCCTCACTCTCTTCCCCTCTCTAAACCCCTCCACGTCATCCCCTCGCCGCACCCCTCCGCCTCACTCCCTCTTTAAACCCCTCATTCTCACCCCCCTCTCTAAACCCTTCCACCTCCAAATTGTTTGAGACGTTAAGACGAAGTCCCATCTGTTCAGGTGGGCGTTAAAGAGCCCAATGCTCTCTTCGAAGAGAGAAGGAACCATGATCTAGTAGATTGGCGGAACAGGCTCGAAGGGCTGAATGGCTTACTCCTGTTCCTATGTTCCTATGTCTCTACATCAAAGCGCCCTGGGGTGCAATATGAATGCAAGTTGCTGCTGTTGTTATTAAATGCAAGGATTATTTTATTATTATATTATTACTGTTAATCCCGGTTCCGTTGGCAGATCGCTTGGAGAATAAGTTGGGAAAGAAATCTCCCAAGGAGTTAGAGTATGAAACCTATGAGAACGCCTACACTGAACTGAAGAAATTGACGGGATTGGACAGTCTCTACACACTAGGTTCTCAGTTTCTGATCACAGAGGAGAAAAACTACGCACTGTTCAACTTTGTGAATGAACTCAATCGCCAAATGGAGGTGAAGCAAGAGAGGATTCTCAACCTCAAGGTCGGTCTCTCCGAATGGGACACCAGGATTTGTTGTGTTGGATCAGGAACCGTTTGTCAGCCTGGCTCAGTCGGATAGAGCTCTCGCCTCTGAGTCAGAAGATTGTGGGTTCAAGGGGTTTGCTACCACATGGTCTTAAGCTGACCCTCCAATGCAGCGCTGGGGGTGGGGGGCTGTTGCATTGTCGGAGGCACAGGCCTTCGTATCAGACGTTAAACCGAGCTCCCGTTTGCCTGTTCAGGTGGATGTTAAAGATCTCCCTTGGCAATATTCGCAAAGAGAAAGGAGTTTCTCTCTCTCTCTCTCTCTCTCTCTCTCTCTCTCTCTCTCTCTCTCTCTCCCGCTGTCCTGGCCAGCAATCCCCCAAACAAAATCGTTTACTCACTCCATGACTATTTGTGGCACGCCGCTGTACGCAAATTGGCTGCTGCGTTTCGCCCACAAAACACACAGTCACTGCACTTTCCAGCGTATCCTGTGAAGCGCTTTGAGACATCTCTACGACATGATAAGTCGCTGTATCAAACGCAAGGATTATTATTCTTATTATTAAAATCTGGTCTCTTCCATTGATGGGCAGAATGAAATATTACAATTTGAAAACCGTCGGATGGAAAAGGAGCAGAGCATGCACTCGAGCATCAAGATTGTAGAGGTACCACTGCTGCCCTTTCCCCTTCTCCCTCCCTCCCTCCCTCCCTCCCTCTCTCCCTCTCTCCCTCCCTCCCTCCCTCCCTCCCTATTCTCTCCCCATTGCTTCCCTTGCTCTCTCTTCCATTCCCTCGGTAGCAGACTGACACAGAGGGTTCAGGGTCGTTAAAGGTTTATCTTTCTAATTTTTCTGGTGGGAGTCCTGTAGTGTAGTGCTTATCTCGCTCGCCTCGCAAGTGAGAGGACCCGGGTTCGATTCCCAGACGAGGCGAAACCTTCGGCAAATCTCCTTACTCCAAACGCCTCTGCTTGCCCAGCAGTAAGTAGGAATCCGTTTGTTAGTCGATTGGCAAGTCACTTTCCGGGGTAAAATTAAAATGTAGTCACTCATTCCACGACTGTTGGTGGAACTCTGCTGTGCTCAATTGGCTGCTGCGTTTCATCCACAAAAATGCACAGTCAATCCACTTTACAGTATATTCTCTGAAGCGGTTTGAGACGTCTCGAAGACGTGATATATCAAATGCAAAGATTACTATTATATTATCTTAGTGTAAATCTTCCCGAGGTGTGAGTGCGCGCGGGGCTGGAGTCTTGCCAGCATGCGTCGGGCACCAAGAGAGAGTGACGAGTTGGCGTGTTTCGTTATTAACACGTTCTTTGCCCTGTGACAGGAAAAGCTGGAACAAACCACGAAGCAAGCGAACAAGTACGAAAAGTTGGGGAAACGCACGACTAAGACCCTGGAGCAGCTGAAGTCCAAGATCGAGATCACCTTCAGAAAGATAAAGTGCGACCCCACCATCATCTACCAAAAGCTGTGCGGCAGAGAAGGAATCAGCAACAGCAACACCATGGTTTACTTAGGTGAGTGTGTTCCACCGCCCCTCACGCCAAAAGCAAGGAGCTTTGGAGACTTTTATATGATGCTTGCATTTGGCACAGCGCCTTATCATGTCGTTGAGACGTCTCAAAACGCTTCACAGAATATACCGTAAAGTGGAGTGACTGGGTATTTTGGTTGGCAAAACCAATTGCGCACAGCAATGTTCCTCAAACAGTCATGTATTGAGTGACCTAATTTAAGCACTTACACGTAGGATTATTACCCGTGTGGAGTAAGGAAACTGGCCTAAGGTTTCGCCCTGTTCAGGAATCAAACCCAGGTCCTCTTGCTTGCGACAATGCAGGATAACCCCAACCCTGCATTTTAGGTCAGTTTAGACGATGTGATTCCAAGTCCCGACGTGAGGACTGAACCCACAACCTTCTGACTCAGAGGCAGGAGCGGTACTGACTGTGCCAGGCTGACGTGTAGTTTACAGCTGATAGTTGCTGATAACTGATCAATACGTATGAAACACTAAGCCTGGCTCCTCCCTGTGTGTTTCCACACCGCACCCACCTCCCACCTCCCACTCCCTCCTCTCTGCAGGTTTGATAGAGAAGAAAGCCGTTGACTTGCTGAGGATCCATATGCTGATGTTACAAACCTTGGAGGAACAGCACGGCACTCCACCCCTCAGCCCCTCCTCCAGCGCGTCCAGCGTGGCCACTGTCAACGTCCTATTTGCCGGAGCCGATCTCATCAGCACCATGAAGCCCATCAAGATAGTCTCACCTGTGCTGATCGACGAGAGCGATGACGACATGTCTACCGTGATTGGTAACTGATCAAAACCATTTCCCCACCCCCACCATCACCCCCTCATCTCCACCATGACCCTCTCAACCCCACCATCATCCCCTCACCTCCAACATCACCCCCTCACCCCACCATCACCCCCTCACCCCCACCATCACCCCCTCACCCCGCTCGCCCACCACCGTTCCCTTTCCCCACCTACGCTCGTGAAAACCCGTCGCCGTGTTTAGGACTCTCCAAACCAAGCCGCGGGTTTCCACGTACGTGTGGGAGTTTCCTGCCCGAAATGGGGAACTCTCCCTCCCGAGGCTGGGGAGGGGGTCTAGTCAGTGGTGCTTAAGTGGCTTAAAATAAAAACGCACGGCCTGCCCCACCGAGAAAGCCACATCTGGCAAGCTTGTCCACTGTTTGTCCAGCTAGGACCACCTGACCCTGGAGGGCTTTGGCTTACAGGATTAACGTGTGTGTGTGTGTGTGCGAGAGCGCGGGAAGTGTCCCTGCTCTCTGCTGGTGGCAAAACAGCCTGTGGTATTGACTCAGATCAGTTTAGAACAGTTCAGCTTAACTAAACGTGACTCTCTCTCGCTCTCTCTCTCTCTTTCTCTCTCTTCCCATCGCAGATTCAGAGCAATTGGTGCCTCTGAATCACAAGGAGCTGTGGATGATGGTTCAGCACGACTTGACGATCGGCAGCCCCAAGATTTACCAGTAGAGCAGTAGAGGGAGCTGGAGATGCAGCTGCAGAATTGGGCCGAAAATCAAATCAAATCAACCAAATCGATCGATCGATCCACCGATCAATAAGCAAATTAAAAAAAGAGAGAATTGATGAATAAAAGCCAGACAAGCAGGCGCACTTACTCAGGCAAATTCTTATCGTCGGCTCAGTTAATATCTTCAACTTTTAAAGTGCTCGGAACTTGCTGTGCGGATTTTGTGTTGCAAATAGGAAGGGTCGGGCTGATACATTTCAATAGTGCCTTTCATGTGGGGAGGCTGTCTCCGAGCCTTCAACAGCCCCGCAGCTGCATGGCTGACCAAAGTAGTAGTAGTAATAATAATCGGTGCATTTGATACAGCGCCTTATCACGTCGTCGAGACGTCTCAAAGCGCTTCACAGGATATACCGTAAGGTCCAGTGACTGTATTTTGAAACACGGCAGTCGGTATTGCGCACAGCAACGTTCCATCTATAAACAGCCACGGAGTGAGCAACCAATTTTATTTGGGGGATTGTTGGCCAGGATGCCGGGGGAAAGAGAGAGAGAGAGAGAGAGAGAGAGAGAAACTCCTTTCTCGGTGGGAGATCTTTAACATCCCCCTGAACAGGCAGATGGGTGTGAAGAGGGAGAGAAAAAAGAGAGTGAGAGAGAGAGAGAGAGAGAGACGGAACAGTATTGTATTTAAAATTGCCTTTATTCCCTAGTTTTCATCAGAGGAACAAAGCCTGGATTTCATTGCATTTCCCTGCCAAACATGGCACAGTCACAGAGCAACAACAACAACTTGCATTTATGCCCTTCGTGCAAGGTAGCGTCCCAGAGAGCTCGCACCTATCTACGCAGATACAAGTTAAAGAGGGAACACAGCTTGTCCTGTAAACTGACCTGAAGGCTCGACTTTTAATTAGAATATTTAGACTCGGTTTCTCTGGCTTTGCCCCCTTCCCCTCCCAGCCTCAAAAAAAAAGAGAAATTCCTGAACACATTAAGGTCATAAGTAACCCTGAACATGACTGCCCTTCGAATAAGAGAGAGAGGATAAAAATATAGACTATATATATATTTTTAAAAAGTGCAAATTTTTAAAACTTTCACACTTGTTTCCAGGTGTTGAGATAATTTGAGATACACAGGTGGGGGGGAGGAGGGGGGGGAGCAGGGGGTGGGCAGGGGGGGGGGATAATTTGCGACGTTTCGTAACATGAAGCTAATATGCTAAGCTACGACCAATGCTCTACCCAAGGCATGAATTCCACCTATTCTTAGCCTGGGAGTTGCCACCCTCTCCCTCCCTCTCTCTTTTGGTGCCTTTAAGATATCACAACAGCAACGAATAATTTAAAGACCCAATCTGGGTGGTGGGGGGGTGGGTTGGGGGCAACGAGGTTCCTATAGTAGTCAGGTGGGTGGACGGTACAGGTAAACAATACAGGTGGGCATTACAAGCGAAAGGACCTTACAGGCGGACCACTGAGCTCTGGGACTACTCCTGATCCTTTTCCTCTCCGTGCGTGATGATGTGCACCAGGTTCTTGTAGTCCAGGTTACCGGCCACATCTGGGGGGAACGCTACGAACATCTGCTCCACCTGAAAGGGGGAGGGGGAATGGCGAGGGGAGAGGAACAACATTTCACATCTGGAAATAGGATCTGGAAGGGTGGAGGGCAGGGTAGGTCGGGGTCAGGGTGGGGGTAGGAGGATGACCAAAGGCAAGGTCGAAGAGGAGATTCTTGAGACGGGCGTCGAAGGAGGCAAGGGAGAGGGCGAGGCGGAGGGACTGAGGGATGGAGTTCCAGAGGGTGGGGGTGGAGAGACTGAAGGTCTGACGGCTGTTGATGGGTGACATGGAGCAGGCCAGAGCCCGCTGAGTGGAGGGATTGGACAGGTCAGCATGGGGGAGGCTTTTGGGGACGGGCGGCTAATGATCACTTGTGTTGATACAACGATGACATCCCTGCTTTTACATAGCGCCAGTCACGCCGTATAGTGTCTCAGAGTGCCTCACAGTGGCAGACCTTTGCTCCCTCACTAACCAGTTTATAGCGTTTCTCTCTGATCCCCAGAGGTTAGTTAACCGCAGGAGTCAGTTGCCAACCATTCTGGCTCTGTGCCACAGGAACACAGGAACATTCATCCCCTCGAGCCTGTTCCGCCGTTCTACTAGATCATGGCCGATCTGAACCTCAACTCCAATTGCCGCAGGAACCTACCTCTTCCTTGGAGAACCGTTCCGCTTGTGTCGTCAGCATTTCCTCAACGCTGCGGGGGGAGAAGGAGACAGAGTTGTCGGAACGAGCCAGAGAACAACAACAACAACAAAATGACATTTGTTTAGCGCCTTTCATGTTAGGAGGACGTCCCAAGGCGCTGGTGGCTGGTGGTTTGTGTGAGGGCCGGTGAGGAGCGAGGGTCTGTCTGCCCGGCTGAGCTGAACTTACTCATCCTTCCTCAGAATGCCCTTGCCTTCGGGGTCAAAGATTTTGAACGCGTTCAAGATGCTCTCCTCAGGGTCCGTACCTGCAGAGTTTGCGGAGAAAAAAAAAGGTTAGCGGTGAACACAGCGCTGTGTGTGTGTTTGTGTGTGTGTGTATGTCGGTCTGTGTCTGTCTGTCTGTCTGTCTGTCTGAGTGTGTGAGACTCTGTGTGTGTCTGTCTGAGTGTGAGTGCATAAGGGTGTGTGTGCATGTGTGTGTTTGACTGTGAGTGAGTGTGTGTGTGTGTGTGTAAGCGACTGTGTGTGTGTGGGGGGGGGGGGGGGCAGTGTGTGTGTGTGTGAGTGACTGTGTGTGAGGATGTGTATGTGGCTGTGTGTTTGTGTGCGTGGGGAGTGTGCGTGTGACTGTGTGTTTGTGTCTGCGGTGTGTGTGTACGTTTGAGTAACTGTGTGTGGGGAGAGTGCCCGTGTGACTGTGAGCGAGTGTGTCTGGAGTGTGCGTGTTTGGGGGAGTGTATGTGTGCGCCTGCGCGTATATATGTGTATATGGCCTCACTCACCTTTCAGCTTCTCGCCGAACATGGTCAGGAAGACGGTGAAGTTGATGGGGCCGGCCGACTCCTTGATCATCTCGTCCAACTCCTCATTCTTCACGTTCAGGCGACCTGCGGAATCAGACGTCTGCCTGTTACCGGTTGCCGGGATGGCAGGGGGAGGGAAGGAGAGCGTGAGGAGGAGGAGGAGGAGGAGGAAGAGGGGAACTAAACGTGTTTTAGCGAGATTGAGACTTGCCCAGAGCAGCAAATGTGTCCCTCAGGTCCTCCTTGTCAATGAATCCATCCCTGTTCTGATCCATTATTGTGAAAGCCTTGGGACAGATCAATGCAGCATTATTTATAAAAGACGACGCCTTTGATTATACATTCCATTTCAGTCTCTCTCTTTCTTTCTCTCTCTCTCTCTCTCTCTCTCTCCGTCAGCGCACTATTAATGTGGCTTATTGCTGCCCCAGAGAGAGAGAGAGAGAGAGAGAGACGGAGACACACAGAGAGACACACACGTAGAGAGAGACTCACACACAGAGACAGAGCGAGAGACAGAGAAAGACAGACAGATACTACACGCGCAGAGAGACAGAGAAAGAGACAAAAAAACAAGAAACAGAGATAAAGATGGAGAGAGAGAGAGAGAGAGAGAGAGAGACGTACACACACACAGAGGGAGAGAAAGAGGGAAAGTGAGCCAGACAGAGATGGGGAGAGTTACCTCCTTGAACTCCTGAATCTGCGACTGATCGAACATGGAGAACACATTGGAGTTGGCTCCCTCTGACTTCTTCTTTGCCTTCTTGGGGGACTGGAAGGAGCAAAACAGCAGCTCAGGAATGAGCCCCCCCCCCCATCTCCCTGCGCCCCCACCGCCCTCACGGTGAAACATCTCCAGCGCCCCCCGAGCCAGCCAGCACGTCTCTCACATGTAGTGACTGAATATTAATACTTACATTTGATTATAGCGCCTAATCATGTCTTTGTACAACAACAACTTGTATTTACACAGCGCCCTTCACACGGGGTAGTGTCTTAAGAGTGCTTCAAAGGGCAGAGGGGTCAGGCTCGAAGTGTGGAGAGGGAGTGAGAGGAGGGGGGGGGGGAACGTGGTGTGTGTGTGTGTGTGTGTCATTGTAAGTATGGTCAAACAAATTGGTTTCTCTCTCTTTCTGTTTCTGTCCCGGTGAGGGGGGGTGGGCGGGGGAATAAAAAAGGAGGCTTCTGAAACACTAAATAGGATAAAGTCCAGCCCTGGTTTGCATAAAAGGTTACTCAATAGTAACCACAGCGTAGTTTCATATGGTTATTAGAATAATAATCCTTGCATTTGATATAACGCCTTATCACGTCGTTGAGACGTTTCAAAGTGCTTCACAGAATAGATTGCAAAGTGGAGTGACTGTATTAGTGGGTAAAGCATGGCAGCCAATTGTGCACAGCAATGCGGTGGATCGAGTGACCAAATTAAAAAAACCTCTGGAGGGATTATTATCCCCGGAAAGCGATCCGCCAATCAACTAACAACCGGGTTCCTGCTTCCTGCTAAGTAAGCAGACGCATGCGGAGTAAGTAAGGAAATCTGCGGAGTAAGTAAGGAAATCTGTGGAGCAAGTAAGGAAATCTGCCCCTGCCCGGGAATCGAACCCGGGTCCTCTCGCTCACAATGCGAGTGCTCTAAACACTGAGCTACAGAACTCATGTGGGTTTTTTAGTCGCGAAGTGGAGAGTAGGGAGAGGAGGTGGCGGTGGCGTAGGGTGGGGTCTGCGGGGGGAGCGCGGGGTAGGGGGCGAGAGGGCAAAGGGGGCGGGAGAACGAGACCTCGGTTTAAAATCTCGTCCAGAGGACGGCACCGAATCAAACGCAAGCGACCGAGGTCGAGTTGCACCGAAAGAGATGAGATCTCTCCACTGCATTCCACACACCCCTACCAACCCACTCCCCCCCCAAACCCCCACCCCCCCCCCCCCCACCCCAACACGCACACACAAACGGCTTCCCATTCTCACACGCAGCCAGTCGGCTACGCCGGCCATACCACTGGGTTTTCCTGGAACAATTACTGTGCGAGCTCAAGTCACATCAGAGCAATCCATCTCCTTGGCCCCCCGACAGGAAGCCAATAGGAAGGACGGCCGTTAATCACCCCCCCCTCCACCCCACCCACCCCACCCCGCAACCCCCTCCTCCTCCTCTCCGGGGTGTCGTGTGTACCTGTAGCCGTGGCAACGGGCAAGCTGCCTCCACCACCCCCTCCCCGGCAACGGGTACCGTCTCCGGGTGAAAGATGGTCGCATTGGAATTTGATCTTTGATACTTTGGGGTTGTCTGCCTATTCTTTGAGCGAGAGAGAGAGAGAGAGAGAGAGAGAGAATATTTGTGTGTGCGCGTGTGTCAGTATCGAGACCCTCTTCTCCATCACAGAGACAGACCAAAGACAATCAAAGTGACAATCCCCCCCCACCCCCCCGCTCCGCTCATCCCCCCCCACCCCACCCCACCGTCCCTGGGGGGAGAAGGAGGGGGAGTGGGGGGTGGGATGGTTGCAATCTTTATCACAACCCTCTCCAACCGACGTGTTGAAGGCACTTGCACTACACCGTTAACTACGCTGCCCCCTTCTACAGTACCTGCAAAACTGTGATTTATTTAATTATTCGGCGCAGAATACAACTTCTGCGGCTCGGGGTTAACCCCTCAGGCGCTAACGCTCTCTCTCTCTCCTGCAATTTTTTCAGGAGACGCACCACCACTTTTCTCCTCCTTTCCTTTTCTTCCCCTCTCACTCCTCCACCATCCACACACACACACACACACACACACACACACACACACACACAGGCGCACGCACGCACCCCTCCGCCATCACAATCCTTTCCCCCTGTTCCTTCACCCGAAAGCCTCTCCTGTTCACCACCTCAGACCTTCACGCGGATTCCGGATCCCTCTACAAAAATAAGTCGAAGGGTGTTACTTTGGTTAACTCTTAATTGGCCAGTTCCCACGCCTCCGCCGATGCTAAGTGCGGGTGCCTTCAACTAACCGCCTCTTTGCGATCAGTAATACAACAATCAACCAAAAACAAACACCCATCCAACCGTCAACCAACTACAGCCACCACCACCACCACCACCAAACCAACAACAACCAATTGCATTTATATAATGGCCTTCACGTGGGGAAGTGCCTTTCCTTCCCTGACAGGAGCCTGTGCAGGTTTTTCGACCGATCAACAGCGAATGAATGAGGATGGACAGAGCCCCACGATATGCTCTGCGGCATAACCGGCCGCACAGAGCGAACCTTTCCCTCCGCTACAATCACACGTTGGTCAGTAAAGCACGTTGGTGTCTCCGCACACAAAATACAACGCTCGGACACTCACCGTCAGGTCAGGTCAGGAGACCTCACCGGCACCACCACCCCCGCACGCACCAGCTTTATCGGTGGGGGGAGAAAAGCCACGTTTCGGCTGCTTTTTTCGAAAAAAAATAAACGCTCCACAAAATGCAGAGGTTTAACACACAGAGCTTCATTGATTAACGCAGCTCAGGGCGATGTGGGCCATCTGACTAGCCTGTGACGGACAAATCAATTTGGCTCAGCCACACTAGGTAAATAATAATCCTTCCATTATTTTGATATTCCCCCTCCCTCGCACTTTCGCTCCCCTTTCCCTCCCCTCCTTTATTCTCCCCCTTCCCCCACCCCTCACACTCAGCCATTTCTCCCCCAGCTCCTACGTGTTTTTAACCCCACCTCACCACCATTCTCCAAATTTGTCTCCTCTCCCCTTCCCCACCATCCACCCCCCCGACTCCCCTCCAAAAAAAAAACTGACCCACATAATGCAAGAAAAATCTATAAGTAAATCTCGATCAAAATGATCTAAGAATAATTATGGTTTCGACAGAGAGGTTTCGGGGCTCTAAGAGATAAGAGTTTTCTGTACTATGTAGAAAGTTGGACTGGACAAGTCTTCTCAAGCAGTTGGCTACAGATTCCTTCCAAGGTCTCCTGCATACAAAAACAAACCAACAATCAACCCCCACCCACCCCAGCCAGAACATCATCAACAACTACAACAACTTTCAGCATTTATACAGCGTCCCTCACGCAGGGTAGAGTCCCAGAGAGCTTGAACCTCCCCCGATCATTTTTATTGTCGATCGAGATTCCAGACTCGGTCGAGGATGTCAGACTGAGTCCAGTTAGCGAGTCGGACGCCAACACAGACAACGTTAATTTCCTGAAAAGTTCCCAGCAGCGACCGGTTACTGAAACCATCTCACATCAGAAGCCTCTTCATCAAGATCCACTATCAACGACCATTCCCCTCTCTCGCTCGCAGTGACTGTGCGTCTTCCGTAGGCAAACTCGGAAGCCGATCGGAATACCCACACAAAATAGCCACAAAGCGAATGGACGGTTTTATGTCGGGGCCAGGACACCGGGAAGGGGAAACCACCTTCTCTTTTCCGACAGCGCCGGCAGGATCTTTAACGTGTGCCTGAACAGGGCACAGACGGGGAGCTTGGTTTAACATCTCACCCGAAGGACTTCATCGTTGTCAAAGTGGCACTCCCCCCCAGCGCTGTTCCGGAGGGTCAGCCTCGACTGTGGGATCAAACCCACAACATTCATTGCTCAGAGCTTACACACTGCCCCTTACACTATTATCACTAGAGAGAATTCTCGTATCGTACCCGCCTTGACCTGACCTGCCCCGCTCTTCCTACACACAGGAAAACTTTGCAGGAATAAAGTAAAAGTTGAGGTTGGTTCACAGTTCTCTCTCTCTCTCTCTCTCTCTTATTGATGAGTAAGATGTTCCGGCTGATTAAAAATTGATCCTCTACAAATTCTAATCAACAGGATAGGATTCATACGTATGTTAGCAAGTGCGTGCTGGGTGGACAGTGAAATCCAAGTTTCTTATTAACCCTTCAACAATCCAACACAGCGTAGACCAGACAAGGCGGGAACGGTTGCTGGCTTAACTTGTCCCTCCCACTTAAGTCATCGTACTGTCAATATCCCGGCCACATTTATTGATGTCTTTACACACACTCCTAACTCGCCAGCCCCGATAACTCGTGACCGAGCCCTTTCTCCTGGAGCGATGAGTTATCATGAATTTACTGTGTTATAATAATAATAATCTTTAACGATGCAGCGCTTTCTTCCCCCAGTCTTACACTGGAGTGTCAGCTTAGACCGTGAGCTCAAAGACCCCCAACATGGAACGTGAACCCCACAACCCTCTGACTCAGTATGACCAATGAATGAGCTGACACTGGGTTACCTGCAGAAACCATCCTCGTTCACAATCAATGGCCACATTGTGAGTACAACAGTAGTGTCTTTGTACTCGGTCCCCGAAGCCAAGTACTGAGACACAAGGCACCTTTGAATGGGAGAGGCAGCAAAGGGGACAATGGGAAACTAGACGGCTCATTACAGTCAATGGCCGCCCGGGACAAAGATTAATCAGCTTAATGCTCCACAGTGCAGAGAATCACAGAGACAGAAAGAAATAAAAAGTGAATGAGAGTGAGAGAGAAAGTAAATGAGAAAGTAGAGAGAAAGCGAGTGGGAGAGACACGCAGAGAAAGTGAATGAGAGAGAGAGAGAGAGAGGAAGGGTTGGGGGGGTGGGGGGTCGCCTATGTGGTGACAGGTATCTAACCCTGACTGACAGCAATTCAGAACAGCGACCCAAAATTCAATCGTTCTACAGTCCATCATGCCACATCTAACCTGTCAAATAGTTCCCATACATTCAACTCCCCCCCACACCGCTGGCACATGCACACAGACGCTGATACATGCACTCACAAACCTTAATATAATTAAGAAATCTCTGGCATTTTGCACAGTTTTGAGTCTATCCAGAGACCCAAACCACCCCATCTCCTCATTCAAATGCTACCTACAGAGCTACCTACTATTGTGCATTTCACATCAAGACTCATTATATGATCCTCTGTGTGTGGGTGTGTGTGTGTGTGTGTGTGTGTGTGTGAGAGAGAGAGAGAGAGAGAGAGAAAGTGGAACAAAATCCTAATGATTAAAAGTAGCCGGTGACTCTCTCCACGGAGAGAGGCGAGCACTAGCTGAAGCCTGTCTGTGTGAAACCCACATTCAAATAAAATATTAATTCCATTTCACGACGATAACAATAACACAATTTACATTTACACAATGCCTTTCACGTCAGGAGGGTGTCTCAAAGGCGCTGGACATCTAAACCCGGGGAGTGGGGAGGGAGAGATGGGGTTGGGGGGGTGAGAAAAATGACCCTTGCAATTAAATTTAAATAGAGCAAATCTTCAATTAAAACCAACCCTTGAAAAAAACACACACACACACACACACACACCCACTGTGAAACTTAGCACTCTCGCCCTTCGCGCAGAAGATTCACGAGAGTAAATAAAACGTGCACATTATTAATAAAAAACCAAGCGGTGATTTTTTTTTTCTTTTTTTTTTAAAAAACAAAAAAAAAGCCAACGGTTAAAAAAACAAAAATAATTTCCACGCAGATACGAACCAGATTGAACCGTACGTATGCCGGGAGATGGTTGGATTGTCTGTCACACACTTCACCTGCTGGCTGGTCGGGAGAGAGAGAGAGAGAGAGGGAGGTGGAGAGAGATAGCGAAAGGGATGAAGAGAGAGAGAGAGAGAGAGAGAG